GTATGCAGTTGGTGAGGTGTTAAGTTATGGACAGAGTTGATTTAAAGCTGCAAGGCCCGCCAAAACCTGATTTAGTTATTACAAAATGTCAAAAATCAGGTAAAAGTAAGAAAGGATTTATGTTTGTACTGTTCAATTATGCATTAGCCTTACCCCAAACGGGCATTACCTTCTAAGTGCTTAAACATCACCGACATCTACCCGCCATTTGTAAATTCACGTCCTTTGCTCAGTTCCTGCTGTTTACGTGCACTTGGTAAAGCTATCAATTATCAATCATTGAGATGGGGACGCCACCTAGGTGCATATTTTAACCCAAATATGAGTGAAGGATGAGTGTAGAATGGTGTGTTATGACCTGTGTAGCTTTGTTACTAGCTTTGTTGTAGCGGTTTCATTAGTCAGGATCATTTATTTAAAGCCCAATGATCAGGAACAGCTGGGTCCAGTTTCGAACCATCAAAAAGCTACTGACTTTTCTCAGGATCGAACCGGCGACCTTTTGATTACCAGGCGAGCACTATAACCACTCAGCTACCCAGCCAGTTTCATAAACAATAACAACAACATGATCCAAATAATGGATAATTTCTGCTATCCTGTATTGAGGAGATTTCTAATTACAGTAGACTCCCTCTTATCTGGACTCCTAGGGACCGAGGCCAGTCCGGATAACGGGTTTTCCGGTTAAGCTGACGTCCCCAAAAACTCAATAAAAAGGACCGTTTACATATTCAACTTAAATTTAGTAGAGCATTGTATTTAGACACGTGATCACTGGTCTCAAATTTTTCCCACGAGAACAGTTGTTTCAGTACTGCCCACTTCCTGCTGATCTAGTCCGGTTAAACTGATGTGCAGATAAAAGTTGTCCGGTTAAAGAGATGTAATTTTGCATAGTGTAGTCCGGTTAAACCGATGTCCGGTTAAAAGGTGGTCTGGATAAGAGGGAGTCTACTATAAGTAACATGGCAGAAGGCAGTAGCAGATCAATAAGTGACAACTAATACCTACTGCTTGACACTAGAACCGACAATTGCTGACACCCTAGTTAAACTAGATTGTAATGCTAGCAGTATACTATCGCCGAATATAGGCGAGCACGATAGTGTATCCGGTCTGATCGTGTACGCTCGGGATACTTCGCCTCGCCATGATTCGTGCTCGCTTGTGCTTCATTTTTGGTGGATTTTGGGGAAGAGTCAAAGGAGACAAGCAAAGGCAATTGTCAGAAGTTAAATTATGTCTAACACCAACAAGCACGTTTGGCAAACATGGGCGAATGTCTACTTGGTGACCTCGTGGTTCAGGTTTGGCAGCATTCATCGTCGCAACTGGGGTAAAAAATGTGGCCAATCATTTGGCGATAGTCGATAGTGTACTGCTAGCATAACATGTCATGGATCTACAAAACTCTCCTACCACAGTAGATTAATTTGCTTTCTCAATTTGCATCATTTTAATTCTACAACTAACCAGTTATTTTATTTCCTAATATAACTTGCAGGAGATGTACGTAGTCTCATAACAGCTTTGTTTGATTCAACAATCTGTGATGTGTCTGTGTGCAGTTCAACTGGTACAGTAGGAGGGTGGCGCTGGCTGCCATATACAAGATGACAGAGCTGTACCTGCTGCAGGATCAGTCTGCAGACCATGCAGCCACATGGCAGTTTCTACGCAGCAGGATAGACGAGGCTGCACAGCTGCATAGCGTAATGATGCAGTCAGAGTCTGGGGTGCAGTTCGCCAAGGAGGTGGCCACTGCTACGTTCACTACGGTCAGTCGCACTTGAATTACCTTTTAAAGTGGAACTTTTAATAATCACAGTCCAGGCTGCAAAGGTTGGTGAAAATAAACATATACATTTGGAGTTGGTATGGCCCCCATAACTCTGTCCATACCGTCATTGCTTGGAGTCTTTTTTCAAACCAATCGAAATTCCTTGCCTAAAAAATAGATTGGTCAATGTTTAGGCCTTATTACTTTTCAGGTTTTCAATCCGCCCGTTGTTAGTGCAATTTAATCAAATATTAAACGGTAATGGGGAATAATAGAAATATTATATAGTAAATTTACTGTCAAAATTTAACAAAAATGAGTTGATAAACTCTAATATTAGTCCTTGAACTAGAACAAACAGAAACCAAGAATATTGATGAAAATTTGGTTTTGGCTTGTTTGTTGTTAAGCAATAATTTTAGTGCTATCGCGGTTGCTACGATTATGTCCTCCCTATTGTGGGAGACGATGAAGATATCTTCCTGACCGCAGGACACGTCATGACCCCATTAACCCCCCCCCCTCTTTGGGACAGTCCTTAAATTTTTCTTGTGAGTGTCAGTGTCATACTCAAGCTTAAGTGGCACTTGTTATGTAAAAAACAAGCTGCTTTTACACCAGAATACATAAAGAGAACACAGATTTTTCTATTTTGGTGTTGAAACTTATATCTTGCCCTTTCAAAGAGTTTATTTTATTGATAACTGATTGATACCACACAAAATTACGATTAGTAAACCGTTTTTCAACAACCATAAATGATGATAAATGATGATGAGAGGATTATACTAGGACGCTGGCGTCCGAGAGGCTAGCGTCCCACCTCGAGCCGAAAAATGACGCGATTTGTGTTGGGATGCTAGCCTCTCGGACTGCCATTTTATTTCAATGTTTAGTCACTTTTTGTTTAGATCTATTTAAATAACATTATGTTTAACGAGTACCAAGGTTTGATGTTTTAAGGGGGCTAATAAAGTGTGTTTTTAGTAAAATACTGTATTATTAGCTTAGTATAAAACAAATTGGCCAAGTATAATCAAAATATATCCATACACAAGCAAATTCCAACACTTAACAAGATTTTCTATAAGAATAACATGGCAATTTTTAATATTCTTTTTTTTAATTTTCTCCATAACTAATAACAGTACAAAAACACTGTTATATACTATATACTTTTATATATGTTGTATACTAAATTATTTGTTCTTGAGCTCATTAAAATTGTGTAGAGAGAAATTGGGAATTTTTCAGTTTTATGGGTAAAACCCCGTTCCCAAGGTCTTTTCATGCTGGTTCGCGAACTCATTCAAGTTTATCCCCTTCACCTTAAAACCAAATTTCTTCAAAATAGGATAAAAGTTACTCCAGTTATCGCGTTTACAGACATATATATAATATTTAAATCCATACGAACGGATGGTGTTTTTGGCCTCTGGGGACATCAAAATGAAAATGTAAATCGGTCCCGGGCCTAGGTCTTACCATGCCACCTACGGTAATAGCTTTGAGCGTCCGGTGGCTTTTTTTAGCATCCGACACCTAGCATCCATAGTATAATCGCCCCCTTTTTGATTTAATGCCCCGCTAGCGTCCCGGGCGCTGGCCTCTCGGACGCCAGCGTCCTAGTATAATCCTAGCCTAAATGATAATAAATTAGTCTCTATGTAATGTCACACTGAAAGTCTTTGATTTTTTGTTGTAGGCAAGGAACATCCTGGGACTACACAGATAACCTTGGCGATACGAGTAGCCGACTCTAAATGTACGCTTCTGTTTTAGGTTTAAGTATTTATTGTTCTGTTGTTGATACTACCAAAGTAAAATTGTTATTTTTTACGTATTTTGTGTAATTTTCTCCTTTTCTAGTGGGGTACTTTTAAGTACTGTACCAAAAACCTTGTTATAATTTAAGTAACCTGAGACGTAAGTAATTTTGTGGATGGTGATGCTTTTGCAATATCTAGAAATGGCTGATTCTCAAACAAACTGGAAATCGATACAGGTAGACTGAATTATCAAAAATTTCTTCTTACTATGGAAAAAATTGGAAATATATTCTTATAAAGTTAAATACAGCCATATTATGATGGAAGCTAACATAGCGCTTCTTCGAGAAACCTCTTTCTTGCTTATTTAAAGATCCAGTTTATGCTGCTGTACTGCATTACCTGAGCTTCTCACTGAGATGAAGATTCAGAAGGAAATAATATGGTTCTTTCAAATTACTGTAGAGTACAACAATTGATTATTACAATTGATTAATTCCAAAAAATCCACCTTGAACTTAAGAAGTCCATGATGCTGCATACATCGATAAGGACAAGAAACCTTTGTTTTGTATAACATGTTCATGTTGGCCTACAAAACACTATTTTTCTTCATAAAATTCAAAATTGATTACAAATATCCCTGTCTTTTAATGTTTAGGCATACATGGAATTGTTGTTTTTGGTGATCATAGGTGTATTGGGCATCCTCTTAAATCCAATTCAAAGAAATCTGGGTTGAAAATATTTAAATCTACCATTGATAGTTGAAGAATTTAAAATAAAATAACCAATGACACAAATTATTTAAATATCCAAAGGTTTACATTAATGTATTTGTGTTCAGGGATAATTTAATTTCTAGTAAGAAGATGCAGACTTTCATTCCTGTACCTTTACAAATTATTTAAAGAAAAAAGAATTTTGTAAATTTTCTAATCAAGTTATCTGTATTTCATTTTAGCATACCATTTTGGTATTTTAAAAAAACAACCTTTAGGATTGTGATTTTTTTATTTCCTGATTATTTCTAGTGCAAGATTAAATTCAAGTGTACTATACAGTGTACTCCATTTGCCTGCAGTAAACTTGACTTCTTTTATGTGGCAAATAGACCCTAATAGTGTATTTCATCGCTAGGGCGTAAAGAGTGACTCTTTTTAACACGAGCTTAAGTTTCACAGAAAATGGGAGAGGGTTGGAAAACACTTTTTGTTTCATGTGATGAACTATATTTGTTGTCATATTGCACCATTAACTAAGTAACAAAATGAACAAAAAGCAGCAGTATTGAGCTGAATTTATTAAATTATATCATCCATTACGATTGTGTAATTGACATTATAGTTTGCTCATTCCACTACTAAAAACTACTATTTTAGTGTTGTTATCTTTTGTGAAAATTTCTACTCAATGGAGAGGACAAAATAATTATCTATTGATTTTTATTAAACATTTATTTAAATGTTAACACCTCTGTATATAAAAACTACACAAAAATTGTTTATAACGACTTGCAACTATCTAACTATAACGTCACAACAAAGTGTACACAAACAGAATATAAACAACAGTAAACAGTAAACAATCAGTCAAAATGAGTAAAGAATATAAGACTTTGGACGTTTCTTTGATCATAGCATTATAGTCAAGGTTATCTATGACTTTTGTCTTATTTCGTAAATTAGTCATACCTTGACCTCGGACACAGGACTTTACTGTCTCCAAACATTTAATAATACAGCATGATTACAAATTAGGTATTGACTAATTAAAACTACAGATTACAGCATCGATCTTATGTTGAATATACATAAGCTCAATCTAAGCTGAGTTTTTAACCAAAACATTGCAGCATTAAATAATACATATATACGGGGTGACCCGGACTCTCTACTGACCTTTTGCGCTTTAAGGTATCTTTCCTGGACCAAAGACAAGCTAAAATATCATATTAAAAATGCCTAAAACTCAATAGTTGCCCATACAGCTGCCATTTTGTATTTTCCAGAAAACTATTTTTAATTGTTTAATGACTTTCTTTGTTGAAGAAATTAGGGAGATTAATAATGAAAAAGACCTATTCTGAGGGGGGAAAATTGTTTGTCACATATATCTGCTGTTATTTTACCCAATTAGCAAAACGTAGATGTACACAGTAGCCTACTGGCATCTTAACGATGAGTGTTCTCCCTTATTATTGAACCGATTTGCTTACATTTGGTATCATACAATTAATTTTAATAAAATTGTCTAAATAAAACCATTACCGTACCTCAGTAGGCCTAGTTACAGTAGTTTTGTTTACCTATGTAGTTTTTAAATTAGGCCTTAAATTAAGTTTAAAAAACATTTTAAATACAAAGTTTAAACATAACTTCATAAAACTATCTATAACTTTCATAACTTACTAACATCATAAATAACTCAACATTTACAACGAATATTTTTTTTAAATAGGCATTTGCTTTATTAATCAATACGTACCTAATTTCAACTAGGCCTAACTACAAACAGCTGTTAACAAATAAAAAATAGTTTTGTGAGAAAACAAATTGGCGGTTGCAAGGGTAGGCTAATTTTTGAGTTTTGTAAATTTGATGAATGGTACGGTACCGGTACCTTCAATTCTTGAAAGGTAGCCTACCGGCAGGTAGAGAGTTCGGGAGACTCTTTATAGACTCTAACTTGATTTTAACTTGGTCTGTCACATCAGGCTGTTCCTCATAATATCCCAAGAAGAATATATACGTAAATCAGCTTACAGAGTACCTACCTATAATAATATTTCCTAGTGGTTCAATTTACAATTTTTAGATCTTTCTAATAGCTAAATATTCTATAAAAAGCTGAGGTTTACATTTAGATTAAATATTTTAAAGAATTTCAGCAAAAACGCTAAGGGAATTTAGAATTAAGTTTGACCTGTTTGATCCTTTGGTAGTTGATGAAGGCTGCAGTAGGCCTAATGCAACTTGAGCATCTTTAGTCTTAAATTAATTATATGGCGGTACAATACCTACAATTAGTGTGTCACTACCTGAAGACAACTCAGTCAGTCAGGCCCACGGTTTTCATAAAAGATAATTGCGCCCCTCTCCACCTACATTGTTAGGGAATTTTTCTCTTCCTTGCACCCCCAAAAAACCTAAAACCTCTTGCGCCCCAAGGACCGGGCCCATTTCTCAACTCGACCCTGCTGTCAGAGGTAAGTTACCAGTTTTTTTTTTTGGGGAATGCAGAGAAGAGTCATTACTTTGTATTTTGTAATAAACTTAAGTTATTGTTACTATTCGGTATTACCATCTTGTAGCCACAATCTTAAAATGTCACAACGGTTTTCTATAGGCTATATCAATCTTGATTAGGCCTATCTATAGGCCTACTGTATTGGGTTTTCTTTTTTAAACTGGTGTTTGGGACATAAGTAAAGATTACTAATAATAAATAATAAATATTACTCATATACAGTAGACCCCCTCTTAACAGGGCCTAGGTCAGATTTAACTCAAAAGGTCAGTTAAAACGGGCAATCTCTAAATATTTAAGAAAATGAAGTGCTATTCATTGAAATTAGCCTATATAACTTAATATTTATTCTTAGGTTTTGTGTTCGTAATTTGCAAATAAATTTTTTTTCAGTAGGCCTATTGAAGATAGAAAAGTCATAGGCCTAAATAAGTCCAAAACACCTAGTTAAGTTAACTTAAGTCAAATAAGTTACTTTCACCGGAATAAATCATAGTTTCGTAGGCAAGAGGTAGGCCTACAAAACTTAGCCTATATTGTCAAAATTAACGATACAAGCAACTTTTTCAATACAAGACACAATGTTTATCTATAGCCTGTAACATCCTGTAGAGTTTAGCATGTTATTCCCATCGCCGAGCGTGGGAGCGGAAATGCCGAGATTCCTAGAAAGCAGCGGTTACATCGATCAAAACAAGGTCGGTTAAGAGGGGATCAGTAATTCAAAATAACCCTAACTTTGTAGTCTTAAGGCTTGACTTAAGTCGTTTAATGGTTGTTAACTTACAGTACGGTCCACCATGGGAGTCTGTTGTTGAGGGAGAAGCCTATTTACCACGTGACTTCGAAGGAACCAATGAGGACAGTGCGATGTTGTCAAATCTCATAACTTATTACCAGCTGATTTGAAAATATTGTTTTAGCCTAATTAGTGTCGAAAATTAGTGGATGGGCGATTTTGCAACGCCGCGCTAGTCCGGTCTTTCTATTGGCTAAGTTCCACCAACTGCAGACTCTCGTGGCCCCTGGTGTAGGTTTTTCACGGCAAATGTAGTTTAAGATCTGTATTTGAATTAAGTTACCTTAACTAATTTCATTTAAAGAAATACTTATTTTACATCAGTAGTGTCCCTCTGCGATGTAGCCAATTATACTAGGTGGGAGAGGTAGCTTTTGAATATTATCTAATCTAATGGACTCGCGGATGACAAATCTGCAAAGATGCTGGAGTGAACGCACATGTGCAAATCTTGACACTGGTTTTGTTAGACGAACTGGAAATGCTGGTTGTCCCGGAAATTTTGGACGGGAATACCAGTAGACAGCAGATTTAGAAATCAGCATTGAATGTTCAATAAGTTCTGCGATACTAGGGAAGCTTTCATCAGGCTGCTGATAAAAACTGAACAGCCCCAGTCCAAGTCTGTACACTATGCGAGTATGTAAAGTCTTGCCAGAACTTCTAAAACTAAGGCTTAGTAAAAAATGGTCAGCTGAAGAGTCTCGTAGTAGAAATGCTCCATCTGGTTGATCAGTTAACTTTTCCTCTGCTTCTTCTTTAGAAATATTGCCCCAGTACCATCCATATTTAGACAGTTTCAGAAGTTCATTCAACAATCCAGACTTCAGATTCGACTCAAACTGATTTTCACTACTGTCAATTCCAAAAGCAGCATTGTTTTCAACTATTGGTTGGGGATCACTTACACTCAACACTGACTGTAAGCTTGATTGGGATGCTGAGAAAATGTGATTAGAATTCCTATTATTGCAGTTTGTATTATCTTCACGTAATTCCTCAGAGTTTACGCCTAAATTTATGTGAAGCAAAACTTCTTCATTGACATTGTCCATTATCCCACCAAAAGAAGTAATATTTGGCCTATTATCATTTGAATTCCCAATAGCAGGTTCACTTGTGCTTGTTTTTAAATTACATTCGTTTTTCTTGGTAGGCCTATCCTGAGTATCCTCATCCTCTGTATTAACTCCGTGACTATCACAAGGTATGAAATTGCAATGGGAAGACTCTGTTGTTCTTAATTTACGTTTGGGCCCTTTTTTCTTGAAACAAGACTTTTCAGCCAGGTTACCAGACCACAATCTTTTCTTAATAGCACTAAATATTCCTTGTTTCTTTAGTTTCTCTTGCTCCATACTTAAACCTCAAGAAATATATTATTTTTAAATAGTTCTATCTACATTGGAACAATAGTTTGTGGCCTATATTTAGACCTAGACCATACGACATGTCCTTCTGAATGGCAACACTACCTCATAATGGATTACTGCGGAATCCATCTATATGGCACCAAAATAAACCAATATTTTTATTTGAGATCACAATAAGTCTGATATACTATAAGGCTTATGAATTCCTGTAAAATACTGTACATAAATCAATAACAAAATTAAACTGTTCCTAAAACACTTTCGACAGCAGGAACAACATCCATTTCAAAACAGGCAGACAGAAACCGAGACACCAGAAACGAAACGAAGTAATCAACTCACATCTTTACTTTACTGCAGAGTGCCAGTAGTGCAGCATCAGAACCAGATGACATTACAGACAGAATGTATTATTACGAACCAGATGTTTTTCAGCTGAGCTGGCAATAGACAGGGCCGGAGGAATTTGGTTTTTGATAGCTCCGTTTGGATTTGGATTTTAATTTACACAAAACTGTCTTATGATAGGTACTTTTATAATATTTGACTCGGTTCCAGCTTAAATATTTAACCCTAACTCTATCAGACATCAAATAAATTGTATACTTAAATGCACACTTCTCTTCCGCAACTAAAGAATAAACTAATATATCACAGTTAACGTTAATACCAACATAGGCATATTTCATGCTATGTTCTACCAGCCTGCCTTTATCATTGATGATTGACGAATGATTTCTCAAATAAATTAATGTCAAGTTTAATGTTGTTAAATGTTTGTTAGGTTAAATAGTTAAATCAATTCATTCATTGGTGTGACTTGACTTCCCCACATAACTTACTTGGTTTATAATTATAATAGCAAATAATAAATAATCCACACCAGGTCTGTTATAATATAATGGGGTTATCACAAGTTTTTTTTTTATACAGTGTTTATTATATTTGGAACTTGAGATGTCAAAATTACAGATATCAACAACTATACTACTAACTGTCAACTAACTAATTTAAGAGGTAGGTAGAGGTAGAGGTAGGATAAGATAAGGATTGGCTCAGTGAATCAGTAGTAGGGTGCAGTATCCTAGTCAAGTGAGTAGCCTAAATACAAAAATAGGGTTATACCATTGACTATATGCCACAACTATATGTTGTGGTATACTGGTATATAGTCAATGGTTATAGGCCTACCCAAGGACAATCTTGATACCTATCTTTAAACAGGAATTTATGACGTTAAATACCTATAGGCCTATCCTGTGTTTATGATTGTGAAATAACACGAATAAATTCATTATGGCTGCACTTTACTTGACGTCCTACACTCATTCGATTGTTTTTTTCGATTCGATATATCGTTTGGTTAGTTAGGTTAGGTTAACCTTACCTAAATAACCAAACGATATATCGAATGAAGCAATCAATTAATCGATATATCGATCGATATTTTCATTCGAATGAGTGTAGGACGTCAAGTAAAGTGCAGCCTTCATTATTTTTAATTATTCCTTCATAAGTTACTTGCTAATACAGTACTCTAGCCTAATAATAAGATTCTCGACAATATAATATTGAACAAGTTAGATAGGTACCTAGGCTACCTACTTCCTTACATATATTTGTCTGTAAGAGTTGTAATTCTTATGGACTAAGAACTAAGTACTAGGGCTGCACTTAACTTAAGTTTATGTCCTACATTCATTCGAATGAATCAATATAATAGGTCCGTGAAGTTGGCGTACCCATATTAGCGTATCCAATTTTGATCATACCAATCGTTAGTTCATCGTTAGTTCTCGATAGTAATGGCTATAATATAAATTTGTTTAGCTCAACCTGTCATAAAGAGAACATAACAGAGCATACATGTACTGTAGGCCTACCATGGTAATCTAGCCTAATCCATCTAAATTGAATATTTACTAAGTTAGCTACCAAACCTGGTTTTAACACTGGGTCCACAGATTTGGTTGGTCAAATGTCAAACTTTACAAACAGGCATGGACTGTTGGAAGTGCCAAACCTATACACCACACTAGGAATTTAGCCATAATTTAGGCCCAAGAAGCTAAAGCATGGTTCCAGATGAATAAGCTGCAACTGAATGGAGACAAAACCCAGAGACTCCTTTGTACCCTCTCAAGAGACTCCTCAGACGACATGGCTGCAGTAAAACTTCTCGGATTCCTGGTCATTCCAGTTGAGTCGGCTGTCCAGCTGGCAGCCGACTTAACTGGAATGATCATGCTGCCCATGTTGCCCTCCAGAGGGGAGGTAATTGCCCGGTGTTTGAACCGGCACTTCAGGTAGGCCACAGTTATGGACGACTGGACAAGCCAGCCTCTTTGGGTGGTACCCAAAGTGAGAGTACCCAGTGACATTTCCTCCATTCAGGGTGGAGGGGTGTTCAGCTCTGCGAGACTTCGGTCTCCCACCTGCCTGTAGCTGTGGTTGTGACTGGAGTTCTTCGGGCTCGTCCTGCCTGTTGTGTACGACTGACATTTTGTGAGGCATATCCTCGGCTCTGGAAGTAGCCTCGTCCTGGGAGGTGAAAAAATTGGGTGAGTTAGCCCCCAAAGGGGAGGTAACTGCTCGGTGTCGGAATCGGCATTGCAAGTAGGTCATAGTTATGGACGACTGGACAAGCCAGCCTCTTTGGGTTTACCCAAAGTGAGAGTACCCAGTGACATTTCTCCATCCAGGTTATGGGGGGTGTTCAGCTCTGCAAGAGGTGGAAGTGCGCCACCAATCTATCATCTGCCTGTAGCTATGATCCTTTGGGCTCCGACCCGCTTGTTGATGTGCGACCGGCATTCAGTGTGGCAAATCCTCGACTTTGGAAGTAGCCTTCCTGGAGGTGAAATCGGGCAAGTACCCGTCAGTTCACGGGGACACTCTAGGGGAACGTAACTTTCCGCAGTGTGAGGGCAACGGCTGGGCGCACTCCATCAGCCAATCCCTGTCTCTGAGACCGGAAGGTTGTAATGGTCACATTTTATTGGGGGGTCGTTTTAATTATTTAAAGGCCGCGAAGGCTTGAGCGCGCTTGACAACAATGTCAGACATGTCCACTGCAGCTGGTCATGTCTCCTAGTTCGAGACTCGGCCGCTGCCACCTTGAAGCGCTGCCGTAGACGTGGTGGGGAGAAGCCGAGACCGGTGGACAGTGGACAGTTCTTAGGACAGTCTACGGCGAGCGCTTGTTCGCCTAACAACCTTCCTCAAGAGCGTGCAGCGGACCTGCGAGCATAGGTCGTGGATGTCGACTCGCAACGTGCGAGACAAAATACATAAAAGCGACAAAATAATAGATCGAGAGAAGTATCGTCAGACGTAAGTACAGCGGTCTATCATTGCGTTAATAATAATCTTATTTCCCCGTTTTACTTTGGCGAGTAAGAGTTACCATTTACTATAATCTTAGTTGTAGGTGATTAGCGTATTGTATTTCTCGGGCCGGCACTGCGTGTGCGGTGCCACAGTAGCCTAGACTTTTTAGTTTATTTATCGGAAGTTATTTTATTTTATTTTACCTAAAAGTATTTCATTTAGTTATATTTTGAAGCCAAGAAGTTCATTGGCATATTAGCGCTGACGCCATTTCATTTCGTTATTTTGTTATTGCGCGGGTCGACCTTTTATTTCATTACGAGAGTTTTATTTTTAGTTTTATTCGAGAAGCGATACCTTTTGTTAGACCTAGAAGCTGGTCACGTATTTTAGTTCGCATAGAGGCATCGTATTTAGTGCCGATATATTCATGGTCAGTGCGTCGTTGTGCTGACATACAACCCTAGTATCGTGTGCGTGTAGGACGACGAAGAAAACGTCTACGAAGATCAAGAGGCGGTTAGCAAGCGACGGAGACTCAGCTAGAACCCTGGACTACTCCCGAGTTGTCCGAGCAAATCGGAGGTAAGTTTAGGATAGGTGCCCTACCCGACACAAACACCTCACAAAGTGGCGCCCGAACAGGGACATTGAAAGTTTCGTTATTATCGTAATATTCATACGTGCTTCACGTATTGGCGCCCGAACGGTAAAATCGATATCGTAGTGGTTTTTTCTTTGGAATATAAGAAAAAGCGAAAATGGTAGGATCGAGTGTTAGCGCGAAAACTACGCCTAAAACGGTCAGAGCGGTGACTGAATCGACCTCGACTACGACGACTACAACTGCCGGGTCTTTACAAGCTCAAGTAGCGCAAACTATTTCACAACCAACTGTGCCATCGACTTTAAGTTTTCCCGCTACGACCGCAGAGGCTACTCAGCCTCAAGTAGGTACAACGACGACACAGTTAATGGTACCAACGACTTTAAATTTACTTACTACGACTGATCGTACGTTGACGTCTAAGAGTCCCTCAGAGGATGACCCGCGAATTGGGTGGATTCACACGTTAACCAAGGATGAACTTCGTTACGAAATGAGTCGATACGGTTTGCCTAATATGGGGACAGTCGACGAACTTCGCAAGTCGTTTTGTAAATTTTGGAAACATGGCATTCCCCGAGCAGTGTACGGTAAGGACGTGAATGATAGCGTGGACGGTGCGACTGCACTTCCACACCGGTACGACACGGGATATGTCGACTCGCGACCAGGTGCCAGTGGCATACGAAGTGAGGAACTTGACAGAGTACGGGAGATAGTTGGTTTGCCTCCAGGAACCAACTTTGAGGACGTTTGTCGTTCGTTATCAAGCCTAACGATGCGCGCTGATAAGACCAACAATCAGGCTAGTAATTATCCAGTCAATGTAACACAATCCGATCGTTTGACGAATTCCGAGGGGTTAGTGTATAGTACACTAACCAGACCAAGTGTTAACTATGCTTTCGACACCTCCCACTCTACAGATTTGATTCATCGACCTACGGTGTCCGGTACCGGTCAGCGACCGTACGGTGGGTTCGCGAGCGAACAACTAGGTATTGCTACACAGGCAAGTGTGAATCACGGATTCAGTAGTGGTTTGCCTTCGTGTCACGAAAATTCGAACGTAATTCATAAGGTTGGTGTTGATGTCTCGGCGTTGTGTAATTTAGTTCGAAAGTGGAACGTTCGTTTTGACGGCTCTAAAGACCCCGTTTCTTTCTTGGAACGCCTGGAAGAGCTTATGGAGGCCTACGAAATAAATAAGAACGATATTATACGAGCACTCCCCGAGCTACTACATAGTAATGCACTGTTGTGGTATCGAAACTATAAAGACTCCTGGCATAATTATGAGTCATTTAGATCGAGTTTCGAACTACAATTCCTACCACCGGGATACCAGCGAAATCTAGACGAAGAAATTCGGCGTCGGACTCAAGGTGACAACGAAGCTTTTAGAAACTTTGTTGTGGCTTTAACTACTCTCATGCGACGCAAGGGAACCCTCAGTCTCCACGAACAATTGAATATTTTGTATATGAATATGAGACCCGAATATAAGTTGACGATGAGGAGACACGATTTTTTCTCGGTCGACGAAATGCTCAGACAAGCGGAACACGTTGAGAGCTATTTTAGGGAAAAATCTCTTTTCCGTCCCCCTCCCCCTCCGTCAGCAGCGTTGGTCCCCGAAACGGCTTATCACCCGAGACGCGGACGCGATAATAAATCAGGAGATGATTTCGGAGTTTCAACGATTGGCGAGTGTCAGTCATCGAACGGCGTGACGGGACGATTAACTGAGAAGCGCGTAGGCTTCCGGTCAGAGGCAAGACCACGTAGGTCACGAGAGAAATCTCCGAACCCCCGGACGGGTAATTTTACGAGGACTTCGTCATCTACAAAACCACGACGTAACTCGGAGCGTGAGCGCGGAGGTTCACCCCGAGAAAACAAGGCAGTTCCGCGATGGCCGAATAACATGAGAGAAAAATCTGCTATCACATGTTGGAACTGTGACAAGAAAGGTCACATGTTTCGTGACTGCCGTATGCCCAGAACTCTAAAGTGTTTCTATTGTAAAAAGGTGGGTATCCGAACCCACGATTGTCGGTGTCGAGGAAAATACCAAATGAGGTCGCCTGAATCCTCAGTAGTACCTTCTACGAAGACCTCCCCGGACTGGTGCGCTTGGTTAGAGAAAATTAAGCAATTCCCGGAAACCGACAACGCTCAGATTCAGACCAACGACAGACGACCGCACGTATCAGTGACGATAGCAGGGCGAGAGTTCGCCGCGCTAATAGATACAGGTGCCGTAGTCACGTTGATCGGCACGGCGGTGGCACGTCACTTGGAACAGTCTGGAATTATGTCTGTTTTGACTCCTATGGTAGTGAGACTCGCCAACGGTAGTTATTCGAAGTCGGACAAGTCCTATCACTTCAAAGGTCTATTGAAAGGACGAATGGAAGAGTTCCATGCTCTGTATCTTCACACGCTTACCAGTGACATAGTTCTCGGGGTCGATAGCTTAGAACGACTGAATTTGGTGACATACCACGTGGAGATAGAGAATACGAGACCGGACGCGGCTGATGGAGTGAACGAACGGCACGGTGTTGAGACTCAGTACCAGACAGGTACCGCCAACAATGTGGCTGGTGCGTTATCGGGACAGGCAGAAGGTGTCGCCGAGTATACCTCCATCGAGACAGCGGTGTGTCCCCTTCAAGTATGCGTTAACTCGGACGCTAAAACACCAGGGAGTGATCCAGAAAGGTTGAATAACCGATCTGGTGGCACAGACAGATGGTACGATAATCTTTGGACCAAGGTGAATGTTAATACCGGGAGTTTCGATAAATACATTATTCGTAGCGGCAAACTATTTCGGTTGAACGGTCGGAAGGATACGGACGGTGATAGTCGCGATCAGAGAAGGAGGATGGGTGTTCTTAAAAACGAGCGCCAAATGTTCGTTGCAAGTCGAAAGGATAATCGGTCGTCGCCGAGTGATATCCATGTCAAGCATAGGAACAGTTTCCCGAGGTTGTGCGATAAAACTCAGCCAAATCGTAGATTGAAATCTAACTTTGACGAACAGGCCAACACTTCTCTTTTACGTAGGCGTGAGAGGAGAGCGTTCTCCCCGCCAGAGAAGGGCCGAGCGTTGGGTGCGGGGAAGGTTTGTCGCCTCGCCCACTAGAAGAAGCGTTTGTACAAGCGAAGATACCTGTAGGCAGGTACCTTTTTTTTTGTTTGTTTTTTTTTTGTCGCCAAAGTGAAAAGGGGGTGTAATGGTCACATTTTATTGGGGGGTCGTTTTAATTATTTAAAGGCCGCGAAGGCTTGAGCGCGCTTGACAACAATGTCAGACATGTCCACTGCAGCTGGTCATGTCTCCTAGTTCGAGACTCGGCCGCTGCCACCTTGAAGCGCTGCCGTAGACGTGGTGGGGAGAAGCCGAGACCAGTGGACAGTGGACAGTTCTTAGGACAGTCTACGGCGAGCGCTTGTTCGCCTAACAACCTTCCTCAAGAGCGTGCAGCGGACCTGCGAGCATAGGTCGTGGATGTCGACTCGCAACGTGCGAGACAAAATACATAAAAGCGACAAAATAATAGATCGAGAGAAGTATCGTCAGACGTAAGTACAGCGGTCTATCATTGCGTTAATAATAATCTTATTTCCCCGTTTTACTTTGGCGAGTAAGAGTTACCATTTACTATAATCTTAGTTGTAGGTGATTAGCGTATTGTATTTCTCGGGCCGGCACTGCGTGTGCGGTGCCACAGTAGCCTACACTTTTTAGTTTATTTATCGGAAGTTATTTTTTTTTATTTTACCTAAAAGTATTTCATTTAGTTATATTTCGAAGCCAAGAAGTTCATTGGCATATTAGCGCTGACGCCATTTCATTTCGTTATTTTGTTATTGCGCGGGTCGACCTTTTATTTCATTACGAGAGTTTTATTTTTAGTTTTATTCGAGAAGCGATACCTTTTGTTAGACCTAGAAGCTGGTCACGTATTTTAGTTCGCATAGAGGCATCGTATTTAGTGCCGATATATTCATGGTCAGTGCGTCGTTGTGCTGACATACAACCCTAGTATCGTGTGCGTGTAGGACGACGAAGAAAACGTCTACGAAGATCAAGAGGCGGTTAGCAAGCGACGGAGACTCAGCTAGAACCCTGGACTACTCCCGAGTTGTCCGAGCAAATCGGAGGTAAGTTTAGGATAGGTGCCCTACCCGACACAAACACCTCACAAGGTATGGTTATCTAGAGTGTGGGGGGTTCTCCCTGGAACCTCAATTGAGCAAAGGGTGTCGCCACCTTTGGTGGATAGGTTCATCCGGGTGGGACCCACTTCTATTCCTGCCTCCTTTTGGGGAAACCCTGATGGCCTGGCAGTGATGTTGGGCTTGATGGGCAAATGAAGTAGATCGGGTGCTGGGTTCAAGCCCGCTGGGGGTGTTCAGGGATCTATCGCCTTGGTCACCTCTGGTTTCCCAGCAACTGGGTAAGGCCTCGATCGGGTAGTGGTGTAAATGGGTGGTTGGGGTTCCCCCCATCAGCTTGCTGGTGGTCCCCTTCTTCCTGGCTTTGATGGCGGGTTTTGCCTGTCAGGGATTGGATAGGTCCCGAGTGTTGCTTGCACTAAATGCGTCAGGGCATTTCACTATGGTCCTTCTGGATTCCGTACCTGGGGGAACCCAGGTGAAGTGACGCTTAAACAAGTAGCCGGTATCCCTGGTTAGGATTGAGGGGCAACCCTCTTTCCGAAGGGTTGCTTCGGCAGCCGGTGAGCTTGATGACCTTAAGTCATCCTCCCATGGTGTACCAAAGGTCGGTGGGAAAGCTTCGGCCTACATCATGGGGCCCGGGTATGTTTAATTATAGGTACCGGGTTAGCAGTCAGGGAGTTTCTTGCTCTCATGACAAAACGAAATGGAATGGAATGGAATGCCCATGTTACCACACGGCTTGCGAGAGTAAACTGTCTCCTCAGGCGCTTCCGGAAATGTGTCACGGAGCAGTACCTGCTCACGGTATACCATACCCTGTTACATTCGCACATTGCGTATGGACTACACCTTTGGGGTCATGCGTCGGAAGTGGAGGAAGTCTTAAAGCTTCAAAAAGCGGCAGTCCATATCATCTCAAGGAGCCCTTTTAGAGAACACTGCAAACCGATATTCAAAAGACTTGGAATTCTAACCGTCTGCAGCCACTATATCTACGCCTGCCTTATTGAAATCAAATGCAGTGTTCCTCTTCTCAACACCAGAAGCCACATCCATGCCCATAATACCAGAGCTAGGCAGGATCTCGATGTTCCCAGTGCGAGATTGAGCAGGACGCTCAATTCCTTCCCTAGGTCAGCCATCAAGTTCTTCAACAGACTCCCTTCCACTATTCGATGTCAGCATTTGGAAGTTCAAGAGTGCTGTGAAAGACTTGATGATCAATAGACCATATTACAAAGTAGATGATTTCTTTAAGGACAATTTGGAGCGGAACAATTAATTTTTTGTACCGCCTACTGCCTGCCCGCCATGTTAAATACATAGTTTTATTTTATATGTGCGTGTAGTTTTTGTTTTTGTGTTGTTTTTTTTTTCGTATTAAACAACGACGCAGTTTATTTCCTCACCAGAGGATCAACGACAAAGGCCAATGAATAATGAAGTCTAATGTTGTATGTCTGTTCTCTGTTTTAGACATTGCCAGTTAATTTGTGAAGATGAATAGAAATCTTCAATCACCAACAACATTGACAGAGTTTGCTCCTCTCAGTCCCGAACCTGAAGACACCCCAGGGATAACTTATCTATTTTCCAAGTTTTTCAAGAGAAGTAATACCAGCCAGGCTCTTGGTAGGTACTCTGACTGTAGGCTAATATTAACACGCAAGAAAAAATTTATTTAAATTATATTTGTACCATAGTAAGTAAGCAATATAAATAACTAACATACAGAAGCAATACTAACAATAAATAGTTAACTAAAGAATGTAACAATATGTAAATTAAATTAACCCAATTATTTGAAAACACTTAATAAATCACATAAATTAGATACAAAAACACTGTTAGCCTATTCAGTTACAAAAGCATTGTAGGCCTACATAAAATATGTCTAATAACACTTATACTTTTGTACTTTTGACTTACAAGACGTTACATTTAAAATATGGTAAGTGGTACCTAATCAATTTAAAATCAGACCCAATTCTTGCGAATCTTATTCAAATATAGGCCTATTCTTGAAGATTTTTTACTGAAAAAAAACCCCTCAACTGAAATTTTAGGATTCAATTTTGATAAACTTTTGTTATTCCGTCGCTTTTCCCATTAGATACAAAAACAACATCTGCAGCAGTTGTTGGAGATGGTGCCACCACACCAGAGATTCCAGTATCTCCTGAAAGTAGGTGGCCTGACAATCCGGAATTCAATAAGGTAAAATCGAAAATTCAAATGATTATTCAATTTTTAATGGCAACTAGCTAAATAGATAGGCTAGTGCTGGATGAGTGAAGATACAGGACAAGTAGATTAATGGAAAAGGGTTAACATTGAGTCTAGCGATTACAGCAAAATGGTGAACATCTCCAGCAGTTGTGAAGACATTAAGAATTTTTATTGCACAATTTCCACAGATGCTTTCTGCGATTGCAGTACTATCGCAAAAATAAAGGCACAGTTTAGCCTGATTTCCTGCCTTGGTGCTTGATCACCCAAGCTTTTCGGCCAGGCTTGTTCAGCTCAACCAGCTCCAGTGGCGTAACAGAAGGGCCCGCAGTGCGGGGGGGGGGGGGCGGGAGCTGAGGGGGCCCGCGAACCGGTGAGCGGGAAACGGCGAATAGAGAGGCCCCTGAGACGAGTGGGTCCGAAAAATTTGGGTTCATTCTTATTCAAATGTATTACTACATAGTTCCTTAGTAGATTTCCCATCCTTATGGAACAGCTGTTCGAAGCCAATTTTATTGTTAGTTCTGTCCGGTTTTCTTTAGATGTCGTGTTTTGTTTACAATTTGATTCTATTATTTTAGGGTTAGTTTCTCATTATTTGTGTCTACTGTTATATTGCTAGTGGACGAGTAATTGCTTATAATGACTATATAGTTTTATTTGGTTAAATGAGGTTTTAAATTAATTAATAACAAGAAACAAATTGTAATCAAAACACGACATCTACAGAAAACCGGACAGAACTAACGATAAAATTGGCTTCAACTGTTCCATAAGGATGGGAAATTTACTAAGGGAGTATGTTTTATCTATGTCATTACCTATCAATCATTCAATAATTGTATTGAGCAAGTAATAACATAAAGTGAAGTGATTAATAATATGATGTTATCGTTTAATTTCGTTAGGCCCCTTTAGTGATAACGAACTAAGGTAACAAATTTAATTTAACGTTTTATAACGTAGGTTAGATTGGAGATGAGTGTAGGATGAGTGGCGCAACCTTGTAGTCTTGATAGTTAACAAAGGCAGACATATTCTTTAGACACAGCTGTTCAAGGGGCCTACAGGTCATAGAGGAATCTGAACCACATTTTTGCCTTGTAATTAACAAATTAGTCTAATTATCAGGATAGCAAAAATGGATAACATGTGTGATAAATTAAATGTAAAATCTCCTTGATATAATCATTCTGATACGGATGATGAAATAAGGAATTTTTAATTTATTTCAAAACTATTTACAAACACTATAATGATGTAGTGATGTAACTTTTTGATAAAACCATGACTGAAATACTTTTGTTACACACCCTTTTATGGAACATAATCCATAAATTATTTACTACCGTACTCTATTTATGACTAATCTGTTTGATAAAAGGTGGTTCAAAAATAACTCTGTGGGAGGGGGAGGGTGTTTGATAATGTTGTATCGGTGGTCTAAAAATAACTCATGTGAGGGGGGGTTGGCCAAAAAATAAGTTTGCAGGGGGGCCCGTACAAATCTGTTACGCCACTGACCAGCTCGAACTCTTTAACCACTCAACTACCTAGCCATGTAGATTTTTTGACAGTTGAATAGACAATCAATTTTTGCTGGACATTTTTAAGCTGCTGGGGTAAAAAATTGTAAACTGATTGAGATAAAACAAAATATAATACAGTATAATTTTTAGGATACACACTCGGACACTAGCAGTCTACCTAGCTTGGATTTAGAGGAAGGAAGAAGTCTGCCAAATGTCCTCAGAAGGATCAGCAATCTCCTTGCTCTCAAAAGCTCTGTGAGTGTTTAATTGTTAAGCATTACAAGGAAAAGACATTACAGAACAAGTTTATTCTTACCCATTTATTTGCCTCTGATAGATTTCCGTAGCTCTTTGACCACTATAAGTTTGTGTTTATAAAACTTCAATACAGAAAACTTGTTTCAGTTTACAGGATATTATATTTAAAAAATATATATTAGAATGTATATCCAACAAATAATCTCTTAATTTGTATTTCTATTAGTTATTCATTTTAATATTTACAAGCAAAAACCTCTTAATGGTATTTATTCTGTTTGAAGTAGAAAAATCGATTTTTTTTCTCTTCGTTGGTTTACAAACATGATACAGCAAGCATCAAGTTTTTCTGAGCATTATTTTCTGTTAACGAATTCTCTTCACTCTCTTACCAGGGGCTCCAATCCTACAAGGACACTGAATTGAAGCAGTATTGGATGCCTGATTCAGTCAGCAAAGAATGCTACGATTGTGGAGAAAAGTTTACAACATTCCGCCGAAAACACCACTGCCGTGTCTGCGGGCAGATATTTTGCTCTAAATGCTGCAATCAAGAGATTCCAGGAAAAATAATGGGTTGCACAGGTAAAGTGGTGGTAAATACTGGACAAATAATTAGACGATTAGGGAAGGTTCATTGCTATATAGTTGTATTGTGTACCACATTCAATTTAAAATTCCCGGCATAAAAAAACTTAGAGGTTTTCCGTTAAAAGAAGAGTTTGAGTTTTTTCCTTCTAAAATTCCACTTGAGTAGGCACTAAAAAGATATACCAAAAAAAGTTTGTGTCACAGTCAGATAGGATTTGTTTAAAAAAACTCAAGATTTACCTATGATTTTCAAATGAAAGTATAAAACACCTTATGATCTACACTTTAACCTCAGCAAATTTTCAGAAATAGCTGGAAATAGATAGGAAAATCCTATCTAAGCCTAGTAAGCTTTGCCTTACAGAATCTTCATATTGTGCCTTTCCCTCTCAGATTTAAGATTTTGTTCTGGGAATTACACAACTTGATTACATTACAACTGTATTACAATATTGCATGCAGTTAATATGTTGTGGCAAACTACCATGCAAAGTAAAACTAGGTAAAGTGATAATACTATAATTAGTAAATAGATAGTAAATAGACTACTGCCTTAAGTGAAAACCTTGGGTGTGTTGTTAGCCTTGTGGTTAGCGTCTCGGACTTGAGTGTGGGGGGGGAGGGGGGGTTCAATTCCAGGCACATCTAACACATATGGGTTTGAACTGAATTCCCTAAAGCACTTTCTTCTGTAAATCCTCCAGTCAAAATGCCACTGGCGTACACACCTTGAGAGAGAGGGAGAGAGAGAGGCCAATTATTTTTTTTTAACAATAGTATCTGGCTCATTCTCATTCTTATTCTGACTCCATCCAGGAGAGTACCTTCCAAAATGCCATACGCTTTTGTAGAATGTCAATGTACTGAGTTTTTTGTTAATAGTCAATGAATATTAATTTAATTTTCAAAGAGTTGTTTAGCCTCCGTATTACTGTATTATAACTACATTGGTTTATGATACATACATAATCATTTGCATATTGTTATAATACGTAATACACAAAGTCACTTAAAACCGAGACCATGTATAGCAATAACTAACTGTACTTCCCCTCCTCTCTAAAAAAATAAACATATGACATTGTGCAATTTACAATAAGATAACTTTCTACTAGTTAATTAAGACTACTGTTAACCCAGCAATTTTGTTTCTTTATAAAGTGATATTTATTTATCTGTACATTCTGACCCACAGGAGACCTGCGTGTGTGCACATACTGTGGCAAGGTGGTTCTGGCTTACCTCCAATCCAAAGACATGGGAGCAGAGCTATCCTCAGATCTGCGTGCGCTACAGCAGGATCTACAGACCAAGTTTGGGGCTTCAGACGCAGCCTTATTCCCATCTGTGTCGTCTAGCCTGACCAATCTGTCCGTACAAGCCAGCGAGCAAGATGACCAAGTTAAACGTAAACCTTCTGTTGGCTACCAGGAGGAGAGGTTCATCCAGTCAAGGTACGGAAACAAAATATCTGTACGACTCCCCTATCATTTAACCACTTTATCAAGACAGCGACATAGCTTGTGTGCGGAATTTAGGCTGAATATGAATCTAGAGTGATATTAGAATGTAACGAGATGACAAAGTACATCTGTTACTCTAGCCAGGACCATTTATTTAACAAAAGCCCATTGATCAATCCAGCTGGGCCTTTAGAACTATCAAAAAGCTATTGAATTTACCTGTCAAACTTTTACTCTTAAAATACTCCTTTGAACCATTATAGAGTCAATGACAACTGAAGTGTTATCGCAATACAGTGTTTTTCTCTTTTATTAAAACACATCTCTTAATCTTTACAATAGGTGTACTTCATACTTAAGCTCTTCTCTGGCTTCTTCAGAAATGAAATTTCAAATTAGACACTGTTGGAAATTATCACACAGTGTTGCTCACAATGCTTGCACTTGAGCAAAACTAGGGATGGTCAAGTCTCGAAATTTCGGGAAATTTTAAATCTCGTTACACGAGACAAGATTTCTTTTTGGCCAAGATTTTTATCAAGACGAGAATTCAAAAAAAAAAAAATTAAAAACGCCTGCAGAAAGTCAATGCAATACCCGCAGTACAGGAGCGTGTTGTAGTTGCGTTTCCTTTGCGAAGGCGTTCTTATTTAATTAATTCTATAAATGTAAATATTACTTTAATTATTTTAATAATATTACTTTAATAACATTTGAGAAGTTTTGTTAAGTGTAAGCAGTGTGAGGAATGTTTTATTACTATAAAAAGTCAAAACAAGTAACTATTTTGTAAAAATTAATATTGCTTTTATTTTATGATTTATTTTATTTTAGGATAAGTTGAACTCTATCCTAACTGATATCACTATGTTTCCTAATCGTAGGCATTTTTAATAAGTTAGGCGTGATTAATAAAAAAATGTTATGCTGATGTTTTTTAATAAAATATTGTAAATATTCTTGCCTATTATCATTATTTTTGTATTTAAACAGTCATCTAACAATGTTACAAAATCAGGTAAAAATTTAGAACGTGCATTTCCCGTTGTTTATGAGAAGGGAAATCCCGTCTCGATCTCGTCTCGAAATTTTATGAGAAATAAAAAATCTCGTCTCGTCTCGAACTAAAAATTCAATCTCGTCCATCCCTAAGCAAAACATATTCAATAACAAGAATAACAATCAGTTACACAATTTTTATACCTGCAGACAGTATAGCAGTAGTGAGCAGAGCTCCCCTCTTCACAACCTGGTCAATGAACTGTCACATCCGTCCAGTGGGCTGACTGCCAGACTAGGCTATGGTGTCTTCACTGCTAGTCAGCTGGTCGACTGGCTGATGTTGCAGAACAGGGCGTCAATCAGGTGACTTGAACTAGACATTCCATCCCATGTTTTTGCAGAAAGTTTTTTTTTATGAAAACGTTAAATTGAGTCACCGACTTGTGTGCTGACATAAATTACTGATGTTGAATGTAACATAAACAAGCCAAACTGAAATTACATCTAACTGTAAGCCATAACATCCTTAGTATCAAATCAACTATTTCAGTGACTTAAGGAAAACTAAGGGAGAAAAAGAATTTTTTTGTGTGGTTTTCTCTGTGAGAGGCTTAGGCCTATTCGACTATTTTCATTATTATATATATATATATATATATATATATTTTTCTTATTGGCAACAATGCTCCTCCATTAATGGGATGTGTAAGCAAAGATAAATAGTAGAAGAAAAAATCACAATCACAAGTTATACAATATGTAGAAAATATTTCCTACTAAAATGTGTTGCTTAGGCTAAAATGCCATCGCCGCCAATGAGACTGAATTAAACTTAAAAGTAGACTAAGTTAAAAAACAAATTACAGGTTGTTATATTCATTTGTTTCATTGAGTTCTTTTAATGTTGAAGTAGGCTTAGTTATTCATTTATTTGATCCAAACAGAATGAAGATTTCACATTTTTGTACAAAAATCTTATAAATACATATTTTATATATTTGTGACATAGATATAATGTAATTAATAAGACACAATGATGTTGAAGATCGCGAGGGGTTGCTATCGGCCAAGCTCTACAAGATACTGGGTACATTGAGAGTATTGGTCCTGAGACAACAGAGTTTGCTGACAACGCCGCAATGTTCCGTTTACGTGAACCTCACTCGCCTTCTCGCACACCACCTCCGCCCTCGTCTGACGAGCTCTGGCCTCATGAGACACCCCACGACTGTACGACCACTGGTCAGTATTGTGGAGTAGCTCTCCTCACAGGAATGTGTAACATATGCATTTATTTTTTATTTTTTGCTGCTATATTCAAATGGGTGAAATTGACCCCCTCATATTCACAAATAATTTATCCAGCTGGTGTTGCTAATTACTTACTTGATACTTGTCTCCTTCATCGGTGACCGACAATGCTGGATAGATTGTACCATTTTTTAAAATTTAAAACATACTACTAAATACATACATTACCTACATATACATATTTACAAAAACAGTTTCACTTAAGCTTAAATAGGCTGTGGCGGTAAAGTCAGGAGTAAACAAATCTTTTCACCACAGGGTAGAGAAAGTACTTTGTTCTTAAGAAAATAATTGTTTGGATTGAGAAAAAATTACATACTTTTCGCACCCTTGGGTCATGGTACCATTTTCCTTGGGAAATATAGAAATACTTTCTGCACCCTTGATTAGGAGGAGGTACAGTGTTCCTGCTGTTGACAGACTCTGAGTCGGAGTGTCCTGCTTCGGAGACTAACATCCCCTCCTCCTCCAGTCTGTTCCGGCTAGATCTCAATGTAGAAGACAGCACAGTGCACATCAGTAGACCTGCACCCTCAGCACCACCTCGCCGCAGAAAGACCACCACTAGTGGGTATTGTGTGAATAGGGTGTTAAGTACTATAGACATCCCAAGAACAAAACGACATGCGCAGAAACGAAAAGATCATGTGGTTCGCACTGGTGGATGTGGCGTCCCCTTCAAACCTGCGCAGTGCAAAATGGCCCAGGGTTGTTTTGTTTCTGGGTTTTCTATAGGTAGAAACGTTCTAAAAAAGTATTTTACTACCATCTCTTTCTATCCTCATTGTGAAGTTAAGTTGTTTCTGTCTTTAACATGTTTCATAGATGGAAGTTTTAGAGGTTTTTTGAAGTTTTTTGTTTAGGGAGATCAACTATGATTAATGGCCGGTACTTGCACATTATTATTGTTGTACATTGATTGCCTAGCGAGACAAACTTTTACCTGGGTTCAAGCGTACTGCTACATGTTTATCTGTAGATATAAAACTATAGATGTTCTCATAGTAATGTTCCAATATAAAACATTCAGATTAAAATAAACATAAAATTACTGAATTCTTATGAGACCTACATGGTGGAAAGTTGAAGGCAAACACGAATGAGGGATGTATGGAGACTGAATGACATAACAACTTTGTTTTTAAGACCAGCTGGTTTCTTAACCAGTACTACCATCAAAATTGAGCAAATAAGAAATACATTTAAAAAATAAAAATATAAAATCTATAATGTGAGCTGCAACTGTATTTTTATCTTGATCTGTAATTAAGTTGTCCCTAATGTCAGCAGTAAATGTGTAAATCTAAATTAAAAATGGATACTCAGTCTCTCATTCTACTCTTTCCTTGAACTCCTATTAGGTGTTATAGATTGGTTGTTTTATTTTATATTTTTTTCCAGTTAAGGCTTAGTTAGGATGAAAGTGTAGCTAATGTACATTAGAAGAAGCACAGTTAGGTCATAGAAAACACAGACAGAAGACACATAAAACACAATAATTCACCCCCTGGGTTACTTTATCAAGTGTAGACAGTTTGTATTATATTGTGTGTTTTTTGGCCTAACTGTACTATTTCTAAGTCAAGCTCTCTGATATCCTTTCTTCCTTTCATTTACGCTAACGTTTCAGGTACAGGGGACAAAGACCCAGTGGACACAGCTGGGATGGTAGTGAAGGCGTACCAAGAGGGTTCACGTGAACCTGTCAACTGGTACAACACTTCCCCCAACAGTCTGCGCACCGACAATGCCGAGAGACAAGCCTACCTCACTCTCAAGTGAGAACTTACTGATAATAATAATAATAACTAATGTTGCGATATGACAAAACATATATTTCAAACACGGCCAGTTTTCAACTTCGTTCATTTTCTGACCTCGGCTTTGACTCGGTTGTGAAACTTGAGCTCGGGTTGGAAAGAGTCACTTTATGTCATAGTTTTAGCGAATTTCCTGTAGCATGGTGTCTACTCTCCGGGAAATTCGGGAAAACCGGGAAACCTCCGGGAATTTTATCTTACCTTGAAATGTCCTGGAAAACTCCAGGAATCCACCCAAACCTCCGGGAATCCGGAGCCCAGTCATCGGAATCGTCGCCTAACCGAAACACTACCGCTTTTGTTGCCACGATCGCGGGAAACGATTATCGGTGTTGCCGAAACCGCAAGATATGCTCACGGGTATTGCCGCGATCGCGAGTGACGATTATCGGTGTCGCTGAAACCACGAGATATGCCTACGGGTGTTGCCGCGATCGCGGAACACGATTGTCGATGTTGCTAAAACCGCAAGATATGCTCACGGGTATTGCCGCGATTGCGGGAGACGATTATCAGTGTCGCCGAAACCACGTGAGATGCCTACGGGTGTTGCCGCGATCGCGGGAAACGATTATCGGTGTTGCTAAAACCGCAAGAAATGCTCACGGGTATTGCCGCGATCGCGGGAGACGATTATCGGTGTTGCCGAAACCGCAAGATATGCTCACGGGTATTGCCGCGATCGCGAGAGACGATTATCGGTGTCGCCGAAACCACGTGAGATGCCTACGGGCGTTGCCGCGATCGCGGGAAACGATCATCGGTGTTGCTAAAACCGCAAGATATGCGCACGGGTATTGCCGCGATCGCGGGAGACGATTATCGGTGTTGCTAAAGCCGCAAGATATGCTCACGGGTATTGCCGCGATCGCGGGAGACGATTATCGGTGTTGCCGAAACCGCAAGATATGCTCACGAGTATTGCCGCAATCGCGAGAGACGCGTGAGATGCCTACGGGTGTTGCCGCAATCGCGGGAAACGATTATCGGTGTTGCTAAAACCGCAAGATATGCTCAACACGGGTATTGCCGCGATCGCGAGAGACGATTATCGGTGTCGCCGAAACCACGAGATATGCCTACGGGAATTGCCGCGATCGCGAGAGACGGTTATCGGTGTCGCCCAAACCGCAAAATATGAATACGGGTGTTGCCGTGATCGTTGACGGTGTGACGTTTTGTCGCTGATGTTGAAGATACTGCAAGATATGCTCACTGATATTCCCACAATCGCGGGAGATGATAACTGGTGTCGCCTTACCTACCAGTTATACTGTTTTATTATGTTGTATAAAATATTATTCTTTGGAAATGTTTTGTTTCAAATAATAATAATCATTATTAATAATAATAATAGCCTAATAATAATCATTTTCATTTATTAGCTGGTTGCGATTAGTTAAACGGGTTCCGATAGTAGCTCCTTAAAATTCAGGAATTTGTCTTGAATTCTCCTGGAAAACTCCTTGAATTTTTCAAACCAGGTTTAGTAGACACCATGTATAGGCTATAGGGAATAAGCTATTAAAATGTACAGTACTCTCAATCCTCATTAATAGTGGTAAGCTAGAATAAAAAAAAGTATTGTCTCAGAGTTTTACATAACCATGTAAATTGTAATCTTCCATTATTAAGTTTTGTTTATTCTCACTAAATTAGGTTTATAAGTAATTTGGTTTATTTTGTAATTACATGTTTTTCATTGTTCGCAACAGTGGCTGTTTCCAGCAGCACTTGACGGTGTTGGTGAAGCAGCTGTTGAATGCCGAGGGATTAGCTCAGTCTTGGTCGGAGACTGTGTTACCTCTCGCGCAGACTGTCGTGGACACAGTGAGACCAGATCTGCGCAACGACAACGACGACATGGACATACGACAGTGAGTGGCTTACAATCAAACTTGTAATGATTCAAATTAAAATAACAAAATTCAAAATAAATAAATAAACAATATTTGTTTTTGACAGGATAGTATCAATTCCTATTCTTCCTATCTAATTCCTTGATTTTTAAAACAGACTAAAATTACTATAACTATAACAGTTTAAAGTTCAAAAAAACATAAAATGAACTAAAAAAATGAAAAGTAAAACATATATATTTATGTTTTGGTTTTGTTTAATCGGCCAGGTACGTCCAGCTAAAGAAGGTGAGTGGTGGGTCACGAGCTGACAGTTGTATCATTGGAGGCGTTGTTTGTCGTAAGAACCTCGCTCACCGAGCCATGCCCACCAGACTCGCCAATCCTCGCATCTTACTGCTCAGCTGTGCCATTGTGTATCAACGTGTTGAGGGGCGACTCATGTCTCTGGAGCCAGTTATGATGCAGGCAAGCGTCTTTTGTAATGCATTTGCATTGCCAAAGTTTAAATAATTAGAAATATTTGTTATGAATTTGATTTACTATTTTAAAAACTGTGGTTTAAACGTTTTTACTGGTCAGTATGGATGGCATGTCTAATTCAGTATCCAAAAGTAAATGAGCCTACTGACTATGCGTTTTTTTGTAGGAGCAAGAGTACCTTAGACACACAGTGGCTCGTATTGCAGCCATGGCGCCGGACTTGGTACTGGTGCAGCGCAACGTGTCCCGGCTTGCACAAGAGAGCTTGTTGCGGCTCGGCATCAGTCTGGTGCTCAACGTCAAGTCCAGCGTGTTGGAGCGTGTCGCTCGCATGACTGGTGCTGACATTGTTAAGAGCATTGATGCTCAGGTGTGCCGCCCGCAGCTCGGCAAGTGTGCTAACTTCTATGTGAAAACGTTCACATCAGAAACTGGTGAGGAATCATCAAACCATTAGAAACTATGTGAAACTATCATCCTCCATATTAGAACTTATGTGAGTTGAAGGGGTGGGTTACTGTGTGTAGATTTAATTTTAGTGTGGGAGAGATACAGTCTAACTCGATAACAGGTTACTTGAGTGAGTTAATTTTCCCCTAGAATTTATTTCACCCCTAATCACATGGCCACATGTTATTGCAAAGCTCAATGAGAAGTCCGAAGTCAACCTTGATAATAAGTCTTATTATTAATAATACTCATGATAATGTTGTTATCGAGTTTATTCTGTAGTTTGAGTTTGAATATATTATGTATTATGTACTACCCTTTCTGATCCCTGAATAACCAACTCCCTGGAACTTCCAATCAAGCTGCAAACCATCCCTCTAAAGTTGTTGCCTAATACACAAAGGTCTCTGTGGTTTAGGGATGGTCAAGTCTCGAAATTTCGGGAAATTTTCGGGAAATTTTCAATCTCGTTACACGAGACGAGATTACTTTTTGGCCGAGATTTTTATCGAGACGAGAATAAAAAAAAAAAAAAAAAAAAAAATTAAAAACGCCTGCAGAAAGTCAATGCAATACCCGCAATACAGGAGCGTGTTGTAGTTGCGTTTCCTTTTCGTAGGCGTTCTTATTTAATTAATTCTTTTAATGTAAATATTACTTTCATTATTTTAATAATATTACTTTAATAACATTTGAGAAGTTTTGTTAAGTGTAAGCAGTGTGAGGAATGTTTTATTACTATAAAAAAATTCAAAACAAGTAACTATTTTATAAAAATTAATATTGCTTTTATTTTATGATTTATTTTATTTTAGGATAAGTTGAACTCTATCCTAACTGATATCACCATGTTTCCTAATCGTAGGCATTTTTAATAAGTTAGGCGTGATTAATAAAAAAATGTTATGCTGATGTTATTTAATGAAAGATTGTAAATATTCTTGCCTATTATCATTATTTTAGTATTTAAACAGTCATCTAACAATGTTGCAAAATCAGGTAAAAATTTCGAACGTGCATTTCCCGTTGTGTATGAGAAGAGAAATCTCATCTCGATCTCGTCTCGAAATTTTATGAGAAATAAAAAATCTTGTCTCGTCTTGTCTCGAACTAAAAATCCAATCTCGTCCATCCCTACGTGGTTTTACTTTAAATTTATTGAATTTAACCTATCCTTCAAGTTTATTTTGACAGAAAATATTGTTAATTAATGAGTTTGTTGGTTATTTTCTCTAAACTTTTGTTGCTCCTCTGATTAGCCTCCTCTTTTTAATTTCCGACCATGAGTGTACTCACGCCTGACGGATATGATGGGTGATAGGCTACTGTTGTTTTTCAACCTTGCTATGATTGATTAGATTGTCAAAATTGGTGTAAGAGAAAGAGGGCTAGTTACATTTTTTTAAATCTATTCTTGTGTGATAAAAAAAAACATACAATATGGATAAAACATGAATGGGATAAGCCATGCAAATGTGACTTCAGTTAGTGCACATACATGCACATACTTAGTTGGGGATTGTTGCTTATTTTGCTATTATTTATGTGTTTTATCATTTTTTTTTTATTCCAGGAGCAACCAAAACCCTGATGTTTTTGGAAGGCTGCTCCTCTCCCCATCTCGGGTGCACGGTACTGCTGAGAGGAGCTCCAATCAACGAGTTGGCTAAACTGAAGCGGGTTAGCTAACCATTAATGTTTTCAACTTTTATCTTAGAAATTTTGTTTTAATTTTCATTTACCATAATTGTAAAGAAAAAAGAATCAACGAATGAAGGACAACTGTGTTTTTTTTTTACCTGTGGTATATTTCATCAGGTTTAATGACTAAATTTAAATCATTGTTTTTCTAGTCCGAAATTTTCACTGTCTTTTTATAGTATATATTGAAATCATACACATCATAAATGTTATATTTGTACCATTTTTAGCATTTATTTCAAATACATTTTTGATTGTAGAGTTTACCTTTGTGTCAAAATTAGGATTTTTCTAAACGAATGGTTTAGCTAGTAGTATCTTTGACTCCAATAGTCAATGTTAGTATTAGAGGCTAAAGTATTCAATCATTACATAACAATACATACACTTTTTTGTTTACTTTTATGTTAACTAAAATTTTCTATTATTGTTTTATGTTAGTTTGGTTGTTACTTAAAACATCATGTTACAAATGGCCAATTTAAGAGCCAAATGAGCCAAGGCATCAGTGTAAAATTATGTTCTTTACATTACGCTGATTGTTTTCAAATTTACAATGATCTTTGTTTAGAAATGAAAAACAGATGTTACATTTATCAACTGGCCCCAAAAGTAACATAGGTGTAGCATGATCTTCTCTACTTCTACATATAAATATATAATTACCATGTAAAGATCTCTACATTCAATTCTTGCCCCTTAGGTCACTAGCTGGCTGATCTATGTTTTGTACAACTGGAGATTGGAATTATCCTTTCTGATGGACGAGTTTGCCCGCCCGCCCTCGCTTAAAGACGATAACTTTTTTCACGACAACTCCAATTCTTCACCCAGTGACGAGAAACCTTCCACTCTTTCTCCATTAAATGAAAAGGATTTTCTCCCCAATAACCCTCTAGCCCAGTATTCCCAACATAGAAAATCTGAAATTGAAAGTTCTCAGAAAAATAGTGATGGTGAAAAAATTAATGTTGACAAAGAAAATGAAGATTCCACTAATAGAATAGCTATTATGAAGATGAAAGGTGATTCAAACAAAGTTACCAAGTTGGCTAAAGAGAAATCAGTGAGTGAGGAACGGAGGATAAATGTGGAATCTGTGAGTGACTTTAGTGATCCTCTACATTCTTACTTGAACCTGGATGATGAAGTGTTTAGCGAGACCAACAACGGACAATCGTTTGCTGTGTCGGAGCCTCTACAATCCAACCGGTTCAGGAAAGCATTGGACGATACGTTGCTCACCGTTTCTCCATTTTTAAAGGTAAAAAGGCCTTTTTACTTAAGCCTACAGAATTAAATGTATTGTTTTGATTTTAGCTTAGCTTTTTAGAGGTCTAAAATTGCCTTTGCTGTTGATGATTACGAGTTTTGTAAATAATCATGAGTTGCACTTTTTGTTTACAAACAAAAAACTTTTTCAATGCTTGTGACAATGTTGTTAAATTTAAATGACCAAGTTTTAAAACAAAAAACCAACACCTTTTTCTTCTATGATTCTTAACCTGCTAACTACTGTGTAACTGAGTGGTTTGAATAAAGCTACTAACTTATAGCTAAAATATATAGTTTTATAATAGTTCTTGTGATTGTGAATATGTAAAACTTCATACTGAGGATGTTGTTTGTGTCCAGTAAAAAGCCCTTAAGCTACATACATCTATTTAAGTGCTTAATAAATTACAACTGTTGATGGTTGAACACACAATTATTCCAGCTTCCTTTCTAAATTACCACTGCTCTTTTCAGGATCACTTTAGCAAGTATCTTTTGTAACATTATAAAAACACTAGCATGACCAACACTACTTATTGTGAATTGTACAAAGAACGGCAGGAGGGATAAATATGCCATAGTACCTGCACCTTGTGAGCGATCGATATTGAGTGAGGAAATTGTTATTGGTAAAGTCTGGGTCTTATCCTGTTCATGACTAATATTAAAATACAATTAAAACTCTTCTGTTAAACTTGAACTTAATTTTACTTCAACTTTGCTATGTACATTTATTGTTATACAAAATATGATACTTGACCTCCAGTTCAGCGTGCCTTACTTGGAGACGGAGAGTGGTCGCAACTGTCTACTCAGAAGGTACTTCCCCGAGACAGTCTACTGGACTGCTCAGCTGGAGGACAAACCTACAGCTCCGTCTAGAGCTTCCAACACAGAGTCTTCCAACAAAGATGCCCTTCTGAAGCTCAACGGGGTCAAAGTGAGTCAAGAAAGTTCATTCAAGTAGCGTGTCTAAAAAAAATATACTGTCTATGGCTTTAATAGCTCAGTCTGAGTCACCAAAGCTACACAAGGTGTCGCACCCTGGCCATACTTGTTCATTCATTTTTGGTTTTAAGTACTTTGAAAACTGCTTGCGTATTAATATATAGATACCAACTCAGCTCCCTCATATATATATGTGTCTGTGAACACGATAACTTGAGTAGTTTCTGTCCGATTTTGATGAAATTTGGCTTGAAGGGGTAGGGCGAGATAAACTTGAATGAGTTCGGGAACCAGCATGATCGGACCATGGGAACGGGGTTTTACGGGTTTTGAGTTTATGGTGAGTTAATTTAAATTAAACGTAGGTAATGTTTTATAGTGTTTTGAGTTCTAAATCACCAGTTTTTCTTTTTATTCTTCCAACTAGGATAACCAGAATACATATAACAGGGCACACTGTTCGCCCTCCTTATATTTAGCCAGCAAGATTTTTATTTAGCTTTAATAACTGACAATGTTCAATGCATCATCTTTGTATGCCTAACGAAAAAAATCAACTACCCGTATCGCATATTTTATAAACACCAACAAATTTAGTATCTTTCAAAATTTATGTACAAAATCTTATACAACCCTGAAGCTGTTATACCCTCTAAAAGGTACAATGATTAAAAAAAAAAAACATGAAATTTACTCTTGTTTATGTCTTCAGCTTGGTCCTGTACATCCATTCGTCACAGCCAAATTCACACAGCCAGTCAACAGTGATGAAGTGCAGACTCTATTAGCGTTGTACCGTGCCAAGGGGGGACGCCTGCCTCTGACCCCCCAGAACTCCCAACCTGCCCCCCCTGGCCCCATCGCTCCGTCTCCCCCTCCACCAGTCGACTCTCTAGATCCTGCCAAACATCAGAGATTAGCCGTTCTTTTTTGCAGCTTTTCCCCTGAATCTCCGAATGCACCTGCGTTTTGCGTTAACCCTTGGTGAGTTTCTAACTGGATAATAATGTTAGTTTTTGAAGAAATTATTGTTCTTTGCTTAGAAATACATTAATAATACATTATCTGAATTGCTTACAGAAATAATTTAAAAACACACTAATAAGAATTGTTAGAAGCCATGATCGAGGCAAAATCCAAAACCTGCCTCACAATCGTGTTGACACCATCATCATATTCCGCGGTCACAGAAACATTGTCACTGTTTTTTACGATCGCGGCAAAATAATAAATACCCGATGTAAACACCGTCATCGCCTCCTGCGATCACAGTAACATCGACATCGTTTTTCACGATTGCGGCAAAATGTTAAATATATCCCACGGTCATGTTGTTGACACCAACATCGTCTCCCGCAGTCACGGAAAATCATAATCGTACTCAGCAATCACGGCAAAAGCGTAAATTTTCCAATTGCAAAATCATCTCAGACGCGTTCTGCGATCGCAATAGTAAATGCTCTGTACCACTCGGCCTTTTTTCATTTTAAAATCTGAATTTCGGGAAAATCCAACTAAGCGAATTATCAATTATCCAAAGTAGGGTCTGGTCCCAATTGATCCGGATAGTTGGAGCTCTACTGTCTCTAATATCTGACGAAAAGTTTACGATAAAATTAATTTTACATGTCGTCCCTAAGAGAGTGCCTCAGAAGCAAGTAGTATGATCTTTGGAAGTGTAATTTGGCAGAATTACTACTTACTACTTACTTCAAAATGATTTAAGTTTTGTGGTAAATCATTCAAGTACAGTAACATTAACTTTTTCTATTCAACTTGTGTTTTGAATCTTTCTCGTTAAGATTTTTTTCTAATAAATTGTAAAGACAAGTTTTAATCTTAACACTTGTACGCAGGGTGGTTCATATGGACTACTATGGCCGTAATGACATTCCCCTTGGTGCTTTCCTAGAGAGATATTGTTTCCGAAGTTCCTACGTCTGTCCGTCTGACCGCTGTGATACTCCGATGGTGAAACATGTGCGAAGGTGAGTGCTTGATTGGATAGGAAATACCTTGCACTCTCTAACATTCATTAATTTCCTTTTTATTCATTCATTTCCTTCCATTACATTCATTCCCTCGTATCAAGCAACAGTCAATTCTGGTTGATTAGGAGGAAAATATCAAGAAATTAAGCAAACCCGTTTTTAAATATCACTTATTTAGCGTATAAAAAAGGTTACTACCCTAGGTTAGTAACAACTAGGTTTTAAAAAAAACTTGAAATATTCACTGTAATAAATTGTGTATACCCTGTTTGTTAATGCTGATGAAAACTAAAACTAACCATGAATTAGGTATTTGAAGGCATACATATTAATCTATTAGGTGAAGCATCATTGTAATTTTATAAATTGCCAACAAACATTACAAATTCCGTATACATAAATTTTTTTAGCGCCAATGTTCAGTTTGGCATAGTATAATCAACAAGGAAATATAAAAATATTGAATAAAAATGGATAACCATGTAATTAAGTTCTACGAAAATAGCAGGATACTGAATTAAAGACTCCATTTAGCAGGGGTTGTATCTGAATTCAATTTTGTTCGTCTGTCCAAAACAATGGTAGGGTTTTTAAAAAAATTGACTTTACTGACTCCCTGGGTTCCAGATTCGTTCATGACGGAGGTGCTGTACAGATTACCTTGCGGGAGATTGAAGGAGCCCCTCACACTGATGATAACAACATCCTCATGTGGAGATATTGTACTGCATGCAATCAACAGGTAAACAAATTCATCAACTCTGCTAAGTCAACTTAAGTTAACTCTCTTAAGTTAACTTATTGATTAAGTTAACTTAATCAATTATTCGCTCTTATGGTCTCACCTTCTAGTATTGTAAATCTTAAAAAGAGCTGAGTCAGAGACATGAGAATGCTAAAAATTGTTTACTTATTATTCTTGCCACATCTTTGGGTAACCTGTTTTTTTTTTTTTCGATCTAGGATTTCCTTCCAAATTTGTTTATAATAATTTTATCTCTCAGCACACCAATGACCAATACTTTTGTAAAGATTTTGTCAGAGTCTACAATTTACCTTTGGTAGCTGGAATTGACCATTTATACGTTTCTGAAAGACAGTTTCAAATCTACTATAGCCATTGAACTGTATTATAATATATAACTAACTAATTTATGCTAACTACTTTCATGTTTTGGTTTCTTTGAATGATTACTCAAACTGTGTATGGGAAACTTCATTAATTTATCAGCTAAAATGATCAGCTGAATTTACTACATACAGGGTTGTCAGCAGGATCTATAAACGAAATTCACACATTTTTCCCGGTTTTCCCGGCTAAAAAGTATGGGATTGCCGGCGTCTATTATACTTATAAAAACGGCACAACACAAGTTACACTTATCAGTAAATTAAAAAAAAAGCAAGCCAAATTGCCCAAGGGACTACGTAAGCCCCGACCGATGAAACGGTGAACACTTCGTGACACATAATTAATTAGTGACGCACTGATGGTCGGGCGGGTAAGAGGTAGCGCGGTGGGTCATTATGGGTGCCATTTTGATAACATCCACTCATAATACTATATTTGGCTAATAATTTGTTCAGAATTATCAGAGGTTATAAACTCTATTACCTTAAACATTAATTGATCAAGCTAGTACAGTAGGCTGGACTAGTCATTTGATCAGTTTCAAACTCAAATAAAGGTCACTCTTCTTACTTGTGTTTAATAATTGTTTAATAATGCTTATAAAAGGTTACTATAAAGTTGTATTACAGAGCATTCAATTCGAAACAAGCTGAACATCGATCGAAAAGCGTGCCAATCGATGATGGATTACAAAAAGAAGTTGCTGAGGTTTGTGCCGATGTCAAGGTCAATTGACAAGAAGTAAACAATTGCCAAAGATTTTGCGAACTGCTAGTAGACAGTAGTACACAACAGCTGCGCCGAAACACGGTAGAGTTAATTTAGTAAAAGAGTTTGTGCACAAATACGTTAAAATGTTACAAACTATTTTCAAATTATTATAACCTAAAAAAAACCAATAAGATAAGATAAAAATATAAACTTGATGCTCTTCGAAGTCAATGGTAAAGGTAGGTCCTAATCTCACATTGCGCACAGCTATCTCAAAAGGCAGAGTTTAACGAGACAAATAAATAATAACTTGTGTTGATTGTCTTAAATTTGCCCATATCCGAATGATGTATGTAAAAACAAATTCAATTATAATCACGGATTTTGGTAAATAATAAAGACAACACAGACGTTAAACATATACGTTTATTAGGTAGTTCTTAAAATCCATTAACTCTTAAAATTCACTCGGCACACATTGAAAATTGAGGTTGAAAATTAACATAGTTAAACATTTTGCAGAATAAACTTATACATGTAAGTTTGTAAAACAAAATAAATTTATGTCGGTTTAGTTATAACAAAAATAAAACTTAGATATGAACAAACAATAATGACAATAATATATTTTGATAAACAACATTAGTTACATTAGGCCTACTAGAGACAGTATTTACATACGATACAGACTTTGTTTTCTTGTTTGGTATGCGTCATTACAAAGGAACGTAATATGTTCATCAGTTTTCTTGCAAATTATTTGCAATGCCATGCCAATACCAGCTGTACTGACCTCTCGACTCGACATTCCTACAGTAGGCCTACATAGCTATGATGATAAGATTCTGCCCTTGTTTATATTGATATGCAAAAACTAGAGATGGGCCGATACCAAAAATTGTCGATACCGATACCGATCGTACTTTGTCACCAAAGTACCGATCAGTATACCACCAAAGTACTCTCGATACCTATCGATACCGATACCTATCTTTTTTGCACAGTTTCTTCAACTAAAAACTGTTATATTATAAACTGTTATACCATAAAAAAAACACAATATGTATGTGTATCAAACTTATATTTTGGTGTTAAAGGTTTATTATTAATTGCAAAAAACAATTGCAAAAATATGGAACTAAGTGTTTATTTTAAAATAGGCCTACTGTAAATGATTGAATTTGACTAAAGCATGAGATTTAATAAAGTTTCCTCTAATTTATAAATATGCTTATAGAAACAGTTATATATCTTCAAAATTTGTTTAACTATGAAAAAGTAACCAAGTCTAGCTGAAAACACATTCATAAATGAGGATATTTTTAAAATACAGAATAACTAATCAAGCAACCTTTTTATTTTTTACACTTTTATTTCTTAACTTTTCTTTCTTGAAAATGTCAACAGTTTTTCACTTATTTTTAATCAAGATTATCACTTAGCCTATAATTTCTCGAAAGAAATCTACGTGTGAGCTATGAAGACCAGACAAGAGACATACGTCACTGCCACAAAAACTATTCTCTAATGTGAATGAATGAACTGAGTGTTTATTTAGTGTGAAGCCCCGCCCACCGTCTAACGGGACATGGGGTAGGAAAAGAGAAAGTTTGCTCTAAAGCCTGGTTCACATGCCCTCCCTTACCCTTGGCGTCAGTCGCTTGCAGATTTCCATTACACAAACGTTTCGTTTCTGAGTGTTAATTATTTTAAAACACTGCAAATGTTTGAATTTGACTGTGATGAGATCTAATAAAGTTTCCTCTAATTTATAAATAGGCTTAGGCCTACAAGTATTAATCTAAGTCACTTGACAGTTTTTTGTATTTATTTAGCAATTGCAGTTATACTTTTAAAAAACTACATACATCTTGACCTATAAATACTTTTTGTAAGGAGAGTCTTTTCTCTATAAGAAGTAAAAACGATCGTGGTCAAGGAATGACTGTGTTAAAACAGCACACTGTCAATTTTTACAAAAGTATTCTGACTGAAACCTGGTATTTTTTAAAGAGTTGTAGAATAAGTCGACGTCTGTGGAGTAAAGTATGGCAATAGATAAGTTTTACTTTTAGCCTACAATAAAGATTATGTTTAGGGACTAGAATCTCCAAAAGAGTGCTTTTATAAAACATGCCATAGTTTTATTTAGTAACAAAAGTGTTTGACTATGTTCCCGATGATACCAAGAGTATAGGTTCGGGGTTTGGCAGAGTGGATTCACTGTGAACCGGCCTGCCTGGCCCTTATGCACGACGTCACTATAACTTCCGTGTAGGGGTGTCAAAAATGGATCGTAACAATCGATGTTTTGAACCTGTCTGTAACTAACCTAGTTTTTTATACTTAAATACTCATTATGCATAAACGAACACGTACTACATATCGGATCTCGAATCACGATAAATTATCGATACCCTTCCCACCCACAATAAGCAAAGCACATAAAACGATGTCTAGCAATCGTCATTTGCTCCATTGAAACACGAAAGTCGATTGGCTGACATGGTAGTGCATTGTCGCCTCCTGACCAATGAGAACTGTTGTTACATACTTTTATTGTCAACAGTCACCATTCGTTATAACATTACAAAATCTACATTGACTAAGGCTTATGATATTTTTCAATAAATGCATTGTGTCATAGTAGCACTTAAAACTTCACTAAACTCTTTAATCAGGTAGATAGTACAGATAAATATGGACCTACTTTTTGGCGCAATATAAAGCAAGCCTAACCATACGACGATGTTAAAGTTTAATGGTTAAATATAAGTTAATTTTTCTAATGATGCGTATAATGCAGGGATGAAACTGAACATTTCGATGTGTTTAGGTTATTTATTTTGTACTAAAAATAAAAATAATACATCTAAATGTCTGACTTATTGATACAGACATTGTTTAGTATAATTAATTTCGTGTTGGCAGGACATTCGCGCGCCGGTTGTCTCATGAGTTGAGTCTGACATCTTGAAATGTAGATTGTGTTGTGCAATGAGCTGAAGCTAAACAATGTCACCGGCACCGTCGCTATTTTGAACTAGAACTTGTTTAATAATTGGTTTTCCTTTATAATATTAGGAACAAAATGACTACACACAGTGGTTTATAAAGTCCAAAGTAGAAGTGATGTTTATTTACAACAAATAATAAACTTAGCAAACACATGGCATAATTCACACATGGCAGTTGCTTCTAACTTAGTACCAGGCAATAAGGAACAAGATTACAATAAATCAATTCCAACACCCCTCCTTAATCTTGATCCTTCATTGGGGTAAGACCAAGGTCGGTCATGAAACCATCATGCTTGATTTTGCCAAGTGATTTTGTCAAAATGTCCGCTACCATCCTGGAAGTTGGAACATAATTCAGCACAACTAGTTTTCTCTTGATTATGTCTCTGACAAATAACTGTTTACGAATTATAAGTTTGGTCTTGTCATTCACGGTTCTCTTCTGCAAAATCTTCATTGCTGGCATGTTGTCACAATGCAAATTTACATGCTCAAGAAATATTCCCAGCTCTTCCAACAAGTGCTTCAGAAACATTGCTTGCTTGCATGCCTGAACCATTGCTACAAACTCTGACTCTGTTGAAGAATCAGTCATACATCTCTGTTTCTTACTTCCCCAAGACACAGGTCCTTCACTCAGTTTAAAAACATGTCCCGTACAACTTTTCCCATCAAAGTTATTTCCATGACTGGCATCAACAAAACCATGTAGAGGTTCTTCATCAGCTTGCTCCTCCACAGCATGCTTCCACAAATTCTTATTCGGATCTTCTATTGCCTCTTGATAACTACTTGGCTCTAGATCCTCACAGGTAACCATGTAAGTAACAAAATCAGGAAACATTTTAGGTTTTCTTACTCTTAGAGGGTACCTACTCCCAACATTAATTTCAACACCTTCCTCATCATTTCCCGAATCCCCTTCAGTGGATCCTCCAGTTCCAACATCGTCATCATCTTGCTCAATGTTGATATTATCGAAAATGAAGCTCTCCTCTTCTGCCTCAGGATTCCTGCAAGGTTCATCGAGTTTGGCGGTCTGGATGCTTACTAAAGTCTCGACTAGTTGAATAGTTTCATCACCGTTATTTTCTTCACGCCCATTATGAAATAAGTTTTCAAAAAACTTGACATCTCTAGAATAAATCAATCTACGGGGAGACTTAGGATCGACCAATTTGTAACCTTTGACATCCTCACTGTAACCTACAAAAATGTGAGGAACACTCTTATAGTCCAATTTGGTCCTTCTCTCCTTAGGCACATGCACATAGCCTATGCACCCGAAAACTCTAAGGTGACTGAGGTCCACATTCGATCCAGTCCATTTCTCCTGTGGCGTGACTCCAAAAACAGCTTTTGTAGGACTTCGGTTCTTAAGATAAATAGCTGCCTCCACAGCATACTGCCAGTAACCCTTGCTCAAATTTCAGTCACTTAGCATGCTTCTAGCCTTTTCAATAATAGTTCTATTTGCACGCTCTGCTACCCCATTCTGCTCAGGACTGTATCGAGTAGTGACCTGGTGCCTTATTCCATATCTATTACACACTTCTTCTAGTCTCGCATTCATGTAATCCCCGCCTTCATCTGACCTAACAGTTTTTATAGTCTGGTTGGTCTGATTTTCAACTAAAGTCTTAAACTTAAGAAAACAATCAACTACTTCATCCTTTGATTTCAAGAAATAACCAAAGGTCATTCTAGTGAAGTCATCAATAAATATTAGCATGAAGCGATTACCTTGAAGAGACTGAACATTCATAGGCCCACAGACATCCGTATGGATTAACTCTAGTTTTGCCTCAGCTCTCTTACTTGGAGTGGTTGGAAAAGATTCTCTGGAGTGTTTCCCCTCCACACAGGGAATGCATGGTTCTGGCCTTTGACTAGGAAAATCAACACCCAAAGCCATCCCCTTTTTCAAAACACCCATGCTAACATGATTCAAGTGACCCAACCTTCTGTGCCATAAATTGTGAAGGTCCACACTAACTGACTGGTCAACTTGAGTAGACATAGCTAAATTTCCATCATTTGGATCAATGTTGCATTTACTCTCTGTATCCAACCGATACAGTCCGTTTACATTTGTTCCAGTTCCACAAATTTCACCTCTTACTGAAAACCCATCTTTTATGTAAATATTACACCCTTTGTCATCAAAAACTAAAACTTGCCCTTTACTAGCTATTTTGCTCACAGATAGCAAATTTGTAGATAAATCTGGTACATACGTCACATTCGATATCACTCTCTCACCAAAGTTTTTAAGGTTCACAGAAACTTTCCCAGAACCCGCAGAGTAAATTTTGGTATTATTAGCGACAGTGACCTCTTTAACTCCCTCATTCGAGTTAAACGTGTGAAAACATTCTTTACTTTTAGAAAGATTGTCAGAACAACACGAGTCTAAGTACCAGCTTTACATTCAGGGCAGTTATCCAACCTACATTTTTATTTTTGTCTTTACCATCTGACTTACCAATTTTGGAAATTGACCCTATCTTTGAGCTATTACTGATATTAGCTTGATTATTTTCAGGACAATCCCTTATCATATGGCCTGCCTTTCTACATTTGTAACAAGTAGGAATAAAAGGCTTCCTTGTCTTTGAGCTTTTATTAGAATTAGCTTGATTAGTATTTGATTTTGATAGAAAAGGCTTCCCAGTATTGCTTTTAAAAGTTGAAAATACTACAGAGGACTCAGTGGTATCCTTTTCAGCCATGCTATTTAATTTTTCTAGTACTTTACTATATTCTACTTTATCTGTACTCTCGACTGCCATCCTAAATGCCCTGTAGGACTCAGGCAAACCTCTTAGAAGTAGACACGCCTTCATTTCATCGTCCACAGGTTTCTCTATGTCAGCGAGTTGAGCATTGAGGTCAAGAAATTTAGAAATATACTCACTCATGCTGTTGCATACTTCCAACTTCAAATCTAAAAGCTGGTCCAGCAGAAATATTCTCCTGTTTGTGCTCTTGACTTCATACTGCTTAGCTAAAATGTCCCATGCTTCCTTCGCTGATGTGGCCGTCCTGATATGTAGTTTTGGAGCTGCCTCCAGGTGCATGGCAATCTTGGCGAGTGCCCTCTCATCTTTGTCTAGATCCACAGTTAGCGGTGTCGTCTCTGCAGTAGTCCTTCGTGGTTCAATGCAATTCCACAATCCCTCATACTTTAGAGCCATCTTCATGTCAAATTTCCAACTGGCATAGTTGGCTGACCCTTTCAACTTAGCAATTCCAGGGGCTGATGTGGAGTATATAACTTTGTCTCCCATCATAGTAATTAATAAGTGTTCATCTAATGAAATTTACTATAGTATTTCTTAAACACTTCTCTTCAAAAATTAAACTGTTCAAAATAGGCCACAGAGAATATGTTACAATAAAAGTGAAACTGGGCCCATAACCACTTGTTAATAGTTGGTTTTCCTTTATAATATTAGGAACAAAAAGACTTCCACTTTGGACTTTATAAACCACTGTGTGTAGTCATTTTGTTCCTAATATTATAAAGGAAAACCAATTATTAACAAGTCTAGATAGTTTCTATGTTGGCTATGAAAATTGTTAACCGTGATTACAAAACTAATCGTGATTACAAAACTAATACTGTAGCTATAAAGTTAATAAATGTTAAAAAAAATATTTATCCCTGTTGGGTGTCAGGTGTTATCGGAATTGACTTTTGACAATCGAGTCTTGGTACCGAACCGATACCAATGTCCAAGTGGTACCTAACCAATGGATGGTGGTATCGATGACGATAATCGATACATCCCTTTTTAGAATCGAATTGAAATCCCTTTTTAGAATCGAATTGAAATTTCAATACTCGCTGCACACCACTACCTATCACTATCACCATCACCCAGTGTCAGCTGTCGCTGTCAGTGAAATGGATGACGCAAGCGATGCCTAGGTTGCCGATTATTATTAGGCCTAGTATGTCAATATTGAAAGGGGTTAAGGGATTAAATAAAACTCAAACATTTTCCTTTCTTATTATTTACTTGTCAAACATCAACGAAATCGGCTTAACCTCTACTACTCGACTCGAGTTGCGAGTATATTACTAAGTGCTTCCGGCGACCGGCGGCGTCGGCTTCCCGTGTAGGCCTATTCATGGTGGTAGGTAGTGTACATCCAACTTACCTTCTGCTTCTTTTGAACCATCGCCACTCGCCAGTAAACCGTAAATTTTGGTTTACTATAAAATCAATCAAACAAGTATTGCAAAACGGTTTATAACTATTAAAATTACTTGAAAAAAACTGTAATAACGATATCAATTAAATTCAAGGAATAATACGATTTTCACGCATATTTCCCGGTTTTTTCACGGCTGTTAAAATTCACGCATAATTCCCGATTTTCCCGGAATTCCCGGCCGCTGACAACCCTGACATATTTTTTGCTATTGCAAAGATCGGGATTTTGAATGTATTTATTAGTTAAAAAACATGTTGTGAAAGATAACATCGAGGCACTTTGAGATAAGGTGATTAGTGTGTTAGTCAAAAAGGCTAGAGACTTGTTGGGCTTTGTACAGAATTGAACAATGAACATGTTTGCAGGTGACACAAGTAATGCGCATGTCTAATGACACCTGGGCGTTCTCCTTTGCCAAGTACCTGGAGCTGCACTTCCACGCAGGACTGTACACTCCACGAGGAGTTGACTGTACACACTCGCTACATCAGTCCTGCAAGCAGTTCTTCGGCCACAAGAACATGTTTGCTTACTTCCAGTTAGTATTCAACTGTTCAGGGAAATTAACTGTATTTTTTTAAACATTCAAAATTTGTTTGTTGGAAGAATACATATATCTTTTAAAATTTAAATGGCTGTACTTGTATAGCAGGGTTAAAGAAGAAGCAACAGATACATAACTAACTCCCATAAGTAAAACATTTATATATTTTTTTAAGAGGTTGGCGGCCTCTTTTAACCTTGCATTTGCCCGTCCACATAGACTAACTGCCAGTGCGTGGCTCATATACAGCAAAGCAAGGAGTGAGCAGGTACAGTACAAAGGTACTGATAAAATGTTAACAGCAGTGACCAGAATCCGAACCCACGACATCACTGCCTTGGGCCCGAATTCTGTGACGCTACTGACTGAGCCACCGACTCACTGTTCTTTGTTATTAGCAAAGAACAAGTTGAGACATTAAACTCGATTTCAAGTCCCTCCTAGTAGGTTTTTTGTAGAAGGAAGTAGTAGAATAACTTAAACTAGTGTACCTGTTGCTCGAATTCGAGCAATTGCTATGTATTACAGGCGTTATTTTAAGACGAATAAAAGTCATAATTTGTGATGTCTTTAAAATATTCGTCTCAAAGATTATGGAAATACTCGAGATGTACATAACAGATCGATATAATCAACATTTATTGTTAATATGTTTTTTACAAATAGCCGCATTTGGTTTCCAGACACATTATGTGTCCAAAAGCCTAACAGCACGACTCCCTTCCCCATACTGCCCTGAGCTATAGGGATCGTTGAGATTCGCTCTAACCTTTCCTCTTCCCTTCATGGGCAAGTTTTCATTCCTTTTCTTTCTTAGTTTTTGTTTGTTTCTATTTTCAAAATTTAATGCCTGTATGTATCCCTGGTTTTTCCTATTTCCCTAGCTACTTTTCTAAACGTCTCAACTGTTTCCTTGTCACTCACCATGTTCTATTTTCTCATCTAGACCTATCTTATCCTAGACTTCTTCCTGTTCTCTCGTATTTGTCTCCTGAAATGAACAATTTATAGGTACGTGACTCGTGGTTTTTATTTCTCCACATCCACATACTTCCTCTTACACCATGTGAAATCTTCACAAATTCGCCTTGAAATTTTCCATGTTCTGTGACAAACTGCGTTTCACATGGGCCATCTCCCAATCTTGTTCCAGTCTCTTTCTGATGTAAAACACTCTGCTCCCAATGCATTTTACACTAATCTAATATCTCCTTTCTTCTGTTTCCGATGTAGTCCTACCCGCCTCCTTGTCTTCAAAAATCAACAGCTTATGCAGCGATTATCCAACAGTCCTAAATTGAATGTGAAATCTTTAGGCGGCTGTTGGAGAGCACACTTAAACCCAACACGGAAGGGTGCTTGCTGTATTTGGCTATCAACCACAATAGTATTATTTGTATTTCGTTTGCGTCTACCAGGTAAATTTCGTCAGCCTCCTCCTATTGGCCGTCCTGGTCAATATCTTATAGTCTCCATTATGTCTAAAGTTTTTTTGGTTATGTTTTGATTTTGTGCAAAATTTTAGTATAACCAGCTGTTTCAAATATTAGTGTCAATTTCAAAGTATTAATCTGTTCAAATGTAAACAAACATTTTCTCCATAAGAATAACATGGGAACTTTGAAGGCCACTGGGGCAGAGCCCTGATGGAATTCCTACGTTTTTTTGTTTTATGGCAAAACTACATGCTAAGACCTTTCTAACGACACCTTGGACAAGGTGATCGGTAGCACCACCACTCTAAAACAATTATGACGAAAATTTTCCTAGCGTATTAAATATATAGAATACTCTAGCATTCCTCGACCACTCTACTTTTTCTTTCTGAGAGCTTCTTTCGTGGAGGTGTAAACTATCACGTTATTGTGTGGTGAACTTTTTCTGTGCCACCAACTTCCTTTAACTCTCATATTAGTAGTTGATTGAGTATTCCTTACCTCTTCCTTAATGCATAAAAATTGATCAAGTATCACTTTGCTTACTGGCTAAGCTATGATATAAATGGACAATAAATGAGATGTCTTTTGTTTGTCACTTCCTAAGTAGTAAGTACTAACCAGTAGTATAGAATAGGCCTGTCATGTTTATAGAATTAACTGTAAAAATGAAAAGTTGAAGGCATGGCCAAATCACCAGTACGGTTTGTGTAGTCAATAGTCATGTTGTATATGAAGCTACCTTTGTCAGAATTGCAAACGGTAGTAGCAGGGTACTGCTCTAGTGATGAGATTATAATATAATCTCATCGCTGATATTATCTGATTGATCTATCAGATTTATGCACTGACACATCACAGTGTCTAGGTGACTGAAAGGATGAGTGTAGGATTGTTAAGATGATAGATTTGTTACCGGCGAAGATCTGTTCTTTTTAGCCTGTACCATTTGTTAAAATTCCAATGATCAAGAACAGCTGGGTCTAATTCCGATCCATCAAAAAGCTTTTGACTTTTCTCAGGATCAAACAGGTAACCTTCTGAAAACCAGGCGAGCACTGTATCTACTTAGCTACTTAGCTTCCTATCCCAGTTGACGGCTTAAGCTACTGAAGTTTGTAACCATTCCTTACACCTATTATTCTTTGAATAAGTTTTCATTAACCCTTTTTCAAAATAACGTGTCCAGTCTTGTTCTTAACTTAGAGTGACTTACGCTTCTTGGCAATTTTGAGACATTTTGACTGCAGGTACCACAAGATCTCAGTGTGGGAGATCTCCCTGCCGCCGTTGCTGCTGGTGACTCAAGCTGTGACGCAGGCTGTACATCAGGACATAGTACTGGAGGAGGTGAAGAGATGGGCACTCAACGGCTACGAGGTGTTCAGTGCTATACTCAACAGACTGTGCACCCTAGCGTCCAACGGAGAAGGTAAATATTCTCATTACTATGGATAAATACGACCCTGATCTTCACAGTGAAAATCATCATTTAAATTTACTTCATTATACACTTACCACCATCCTTGTGGAACAGAAATATAAAATATGTTTCTGTAGGGTTCATGTGGCATTGTGTTGGTCGTTTACAATCTGTTTCTTTTTCTTTTGACTTTATTAACTGAATTCTACATTGTAACCTGTTTCTTGTCTTCTGGTATTGTAATAGCTTCCATTTCTAATCAAACCAGAAATATGAGACAACCAGTTACTCGACATCAGCATTTCAGACTTAACCAACAGGAAAAGCCGGATCAAAAATGGCTTTGGATTTTACCAACCCATAAGAAGAAATTAGACATCTACTTGAACTTTTCAAAGTAAACAGTGAAACCGTTTCAAATTAATGACATTGATGACATAGTATGATGATATGTTGGCCTAGTTACAGTTAGTTTACTTCAGGGAGGTAACTGAGCTCTACTATTACTGGGCACCAAAATGATAAATAAAGTGGTCCCAGGCTTGCTTCCTCTATAGGAGAAATTCGCTGACAAATCTGACTTGTTTCAGATTGTATTTTTTCCTAAAATCCAATGAGCCAAATTTTATTTATTTATTTATTAACACTATTTGTGCTGTCGACATGTTTGAACATAAAATTTGCATTTATTTCAATGTTAAGCAATTGCGGGAATTCCCGTCATCAGCACCCAACGTGTTAAACATCATCACATTACATCAATTCTCTTGACAGGTGATTTGTCACAAAGTCTAATACTATACTACATTTTAAATAATAAAATAGCTTACAAAAGAGGGGATAAATGAAAGATTTCAAGCCTATGTTGAACTGGTTTTATAATATTTTTGAATCTTGTGTTATGTGGATGAGATTGTTTACAGTCCATGAATGTGTCAAAATCACTTTTAACCATTAATGGCAATTTGTAAATATAAGAGTTAAAAAAGGTTAAAATTTTAAAATGAATAAATAAATCTTTACAATGTGTGAAGAACAGTGTCTAAAATAATACTACTACTACATCAACATTTTGGAAGTTAACACTATATACAGGGTGTCCATAAAAAACCTTTCAGGACTTTGGGAAATGAATCCCCATACTAAAAGGAAGAAAAAAGTTTATGGGAAGGTGTGTCCGAAAATGCATATTAACCCAGATATCCGCCATTTTGTTTTTTATACAAAAATATTATTATCTGTGAAGTTTCTTATTCGATGATTATGGTAAAAATGTTAACATACACAAGACCTATAATAGAAAAAATAATAAAGTTGTTCCGATTGTAAATTTCAAAATGGCGGCCGTTTGAATTTTTCTAACTTAAATAACTCAAAAACGGCTAATTCTATGAAAAAATGTCAAGAATACTTTTTTTAGCACTTTTAATTTCCTATCACACGATACCAAAATCAAAAAGATCGGACGAAAGATAACTGAAATATAACGTTTTTTGTGTAATAATAAGGCAAAAATTGAGGGTTCCTCGACTAACTTTGCCTTATTTTTACACAAAAAACGTTATATTTCAGTTATCTTTCGTCCGATCTTTTTGATCTTGGTATCGTTGGATAGGAAATTAAATTAGAACTTTTTTCTTCCTTTTAGTATGGGGATTCATTTCCCAAAGTCCTGAAACGTTTTTTATGGACACCCTGTATAACAAATTGTACCCTTCAGAGTAAATTTGCGTTTCTATAGAAACAATTTCATTTCATTATTCTATTATTGATATTGACACAAGATTGAGAGGCAGCAATTTATATTTAAACTGCAACAGTGAATTTATATTTTGATAAAAAAAAAACAATTGAAACAGGAAATGAGTCACAAGAGGCTATAACGAACTATGAAGAATGTAGAGAAAGCTAGCAATAGAAAATGTTAAACAATTTAAATTAACACCTTTCACATATACGTCAAGTTGGATGGAAAAGTGCATGCAAATTATGATAGGCTACATAATAGCAAGATGGATCCACCATACAACAACCCAAAGTTGGTAGACCAGCAGTAGAAGATCGGATGAACTCTACGGACATCGATCAATGAAGGGCTTCAGAGGGTATTGAATGTAAGAAATTGTAGTAAGATAGGAAACCTTTGAGTTGAACAGAAGAAGACCAACATCTGGGCATGTAGACCTGTAGAATAAGAAGAAAGAAGCAGTAAAAGAAATGAAGAAGAAAACATATCTAGCATTAAGTATATTTTTTAGTACCTCATATTAATGTATTAAGTATCATTGTATCTAGGGTTAGAAATCTTTGTATTAGTATTAATCATACAGAGTGAGGTGGAATCATCTCGCATTCGGGAGGTCCGACTATCGGACCGGCCATTCTGAGGAGAGTTTGTACGGTTTCTTTCCTCACTTAGGCGAATGCCGGAATGGTTCCCTCAAGGGCCGTACCCCGCCAGGCAGAATGGAAGATAGAACTCAGTTCTAATTCTGTTTGGTTTATCGAACCCCTAAGTAGGTGACCCTTAATAAATAAATATAGTTTTTTTCTATTATTTTGTTATTATTTAACATGTAGGAAGAAGAAATAATATTTTGTATGTCTGCCAATCAATAAGTACAGCTACAATTTGGAAAAATGATAAAACGTGAATTGTTCTTAATATGGTTTTTTGTAAAGTATTTTTAATGGAGAATTAAGTCAGTTTCATCCTCAACCATGTAAAATGTGTTGTAGAAAAACACTATAATTATATTTACTTCCAGAGTAATTTGTTGGGTCAAATAATGTTTTGTTAGCAATTTTTCGCTGAAAAAATAATTAACAAACATACTTTGAGCCAAGCTTTCTCACGTAAAGCCAACACTTTTGTTATGTCATGAACAACAGCAAAGATAAATCAACATTTTTATCATAAATTAATTATGGTAATCCATCAAAATGGATGACCAGGTAATGGTGTGGTTTTTAAACAAATTTTCCTAGAGAGAAGAAGCTATTACCATTGGTGGCATGGTAAGACCTTTAGACCCGGGATTAATTTCTTTTTTTTATGTCCACTAAGTACTCGTTAATCAAAATATATTAAAATGGGGAGTAAATCTGACATTTTTCAGGTATTTGAGTAAAAATCCTATCAGGCAAGTGGAAGTTTGCGTAGTCTGCAGGTTTGCTGTAACAGTATTAGTAACTTTATGGTTAGATTCATAACACTGCTCGTCATCCTTACTTCTACCCCGCGATAATTTCAAATTTTCATTCAATCATTTCATTCATCTTGTACATTTTCAGCAGGTGCAATGGTTATGAAGCAACAGCTGCAGAAAGAACAGGCTTTGTTTAAGAGTCGGGTTGAGGAGATTCAGCTGCGTCTCACCTCACCTACACACTCTTCTGACCCAGAAAAAGGTAAGTTATTAGTAAGATTAAACTGTTTTTGTGAGTTTGCATTAAATCTAGTCATGTGTCAAAACCGAATCTCAAATCTCAAAACCATCAAAACTTTGGAAAAGTTTCGGTTTTGAGATTCGATCACCGAGTTTCGAGATTCGAAATCTTTGAAATTGAAGATTTTGGCAGTTTTATTCTTGAAACTGACACTGTTTCCACACAAACTGGTAGCAATAGATCTAACGGATCACCATTAACAGTAATAAAAACAGTAAATTGTATTCTGATTCTGAACTTCAAAAGGCATCTTAAATACTATAACTGGAGCAACATACAACTCAGTTTCATAGCGATATTTAATAAACACAAATAAATATTAATCACTTTGTTCTAATTACTCTAATATTCATGTTTATGTTGGTGTCTGGAGCTTAATTTATTTTATTGTTATACAAAATTATGTTGTTATTGGTTTTTTAGTCACATATTTATGTTATTATATCAGTGTCAGGAGTCGACCTCTTTCAATTTGATTGCATGCTTAACATTTTATTATTATCTATATTTTTTTATAACCTTAACTCTTGTAACCAGCTAAGTAAAAAAGTTTTGCATCTAGGTTTTGAGATTTGAGATTCGGGATTCGGTTTTTTAAAGTTCCCGTTCCGGTTTCGGTTTAAAGATTCAAAATTTCTGGTTTTGACCATCACTAATAAAATAATGTATCAAGATCAAGGTTTCTGTAAGTGCAAGTGAGGTTAAATAGCATTTAAATTTTGTTTTTCAGCTCCCAAACTACAGTATCTGTGGCACATAGAAGATTCCCTGGTGGGCCTCAAGCGAAGTATCGCTGAGGCGGTGTGTGACTGGAACACCCGACTTTCGGAGGCTGAAGCGGCGTATCACATCCGTCGGAGGGAGGAGAAGAACAAAAAGACCTTGGATAAGACTTCATCTTCAGCGGGATTGGGAGAAATCATTGATGGGGTTGGTGTAATTTTTCTTTTAACCAAACACTTGTTCTAGTCATTTTTTACAGTAAATTCTTTAACTGAAATTTAAGTAGCATGAAAATAATTACTTTCCCATATTATTTTTTTTCCATCCCGGTTATTTGTCTGGGTGTGAACTAGGCCTTTTCTATTCCTATTCTTCCACCATCTACCATCTCATTCCTTTCTTCTCTACATCCTTCTTTCGCCATCAATGGCATCAACTCAATTTTTCTACAAACTCTGTCCATCATTTTCACATATCCAAGCCTAATAATTTTTTACTACTCCAATTTCCCTTTGAAGCCGTTTTCAACAACCCATCTTTTATTTGATATTTTATTCCCAAACTCAGACGACCCTTTGTTTTGATCTCATTTGGTACATGCAGAACTTTTGCTTTATGTTAAACTAGCAGAGTACCCGTCCTTCGTAAGGGGTTGGAATATAAGTATAAAATGCTTATTGCAGTTATACTCAAGCTGTGCGTTTGCAATAAGGGAGGACACAGTTTGATAAAATTTGCTTTTTTAAATTTACAGTATTCTATAGTATTACACATCTACCATAGCCATAATGTTCTACGACTTCACCTAAACAATAGAGAAAAATAAATTATCAACAATTCGCAAAATATCACAAATTATTCATTAAATGAAAAACATAAACATAACTGTAAACAATCCTACTTCGACAGTTCTCATTGCCAATCACAGTTTTTGTTGCTGCTTAGTTCAAATTAGCTGTTTTCATAAATGCAAAAAAAATATAGTGCTGCACCCTGTTGGTAAATATTATAACTTTTTAATGCTTTTCCATATCATAGAACCAACTTTTTTAGTTGAAACAGTTGACTAAATTCTTTAATTCCCTTTAAATATGAATACTCATAAGGTTAACATGGGGAATTACAGAGCCACTGGGGTGGAGCCTGAAAGGATTTTTGAGATGAGAATATGCCTATATGTTAATCGGGAATGTAAGCTATCATCATGCCAAATTTCAGCCCAATCCGTCCAGTGGTTTATGCATGATTGAACTTCAAACACACAAACTTTCACATTTATAATATTAGTAAGATATGTCAGACGGTCAGTTAAAAAAATTGGTTTTTTCAGTAAACCTTCATTAGCCATTTTTATGAATCTTGCAATTCAGTGAAAAAGCTAGTTTTAGCCTGTATACTTTTTGTTTGTTTGAAAAAAATTCAAAGTTAAGATAAGTAATAACCTCCTCTAACCCAAAGCCGCGGTGTTGGTGTATGGCAACGTCGTGTAATGGCTGTTTCGGTAGGCCGGGCCACGGTGTTGCCACTTTTGTCTCGCTGCAACCTTCTTTCAGAGGAGGCTATGGTTCAGTATGTTTTCTAACTCCGGTGCTTTGGAACATTGTCGATTTAGAACGATACATACCAGGTGACTCGCTCCTGTGTATCTTTGCCTACCTCATGTAACAGTCGGTACTAAATGTGTTACCGTAAATACAAATTTAATGTTAAACCATGTTTTATTCCCTTTGCTCTTGTAACTTTGAATCCAGTATCAGGGACTTACCTGTTGATGTATTGTAGATGATGACCAACCAAATACTCGATGTCCAGACCCCAGACAGTCCTCGCCTAGCTCGCAGACCTCTTGGCTCCCAGCTGAGTCAGGGTTCCCTACACTCTGCCATCGATGTCACAGAGGTAGAAGATTCTCACGACACTCTGGTCGAGGACTCTATCTTTACTGGGGACTTTGATGAGTCTGGTGATAATAAGGACATCAGACCCAACAGTATTCAGGTAATTGAAACAGAATTCACATTTGATATTTTTTTTAAAACGTGTGACTCCTAATGAATTAGCTAAACCATTGTAAAGATGGTAAAGATGGAAGTCTTTCTTAGACTTCAAAGACTTTGATTTCAGTTTATGATTCTTCCAGATAAATCCAGTGCTCAGTGAAACCTCTTCAATTGCAGAAGCTAAGATCAGCCCTGTCACAAACATGATCTGTGAATCAGAAGAAGTTCAAGAGAGGAAATCGTCAGATCATCCTGGAGATGAAGATGGTAAGTAATACTGATTAAAATTAAGTTTTACTTATATTTTACTGAATGATTAAGTATCTGTTGTGACCTTCATGACGGTAATTGGGGACTGTTTTCAAGGTCAATTCCTCAATTTCAATCATCTGTGTGACTGTTTACAGTAGATACGAGCACAGGTCAGGGCTCTGTCTGCAAGGAGAATCATCCTAAACACCCTCTGACAGACAGAGTCAGCGTTAAACAGATTCTGTCCCAGCTGCTTCCTAAAGACACCCCGGTCAACCCGTTGCAGGTAACTGTGTGACATCATCACTGCTACAAATTAACAGACAAATCATTAGCTTGTGTCTGAAACCTTTGTTAATACGAGTTAAAGTACTTTCTTATAGATTATAATTTTTATCAAAACATGTATGAACTCAGAATAAAACCTTCACTTACTGCGATCATACAGTAATTTAACATACACTGTTATTATATGTTAATATCTAATATGTAGATAGCCGCACACAAGCTGCAACCGAAGAGTCAAGCTTATAACTATTAAGCTTGCATTTTTTACCAGTATTGTTAGTGTGGTTTGTTATTGTCATGTGATGTTGATGGAGGGTTTGAATCAAATTTTGCCAAGTTAGGTTTAGAAATTTCATAAGTATTGAGCAAAGCTTAGCTGAGAAATAAACAGAAGATGAAATTTGTATCAATGAATTAGACTTAATTTTATATTGAAACATGTTATGTTTGTAATGTTGCAAAGTTTACCTTAGGACAAAACATGTTGCTATTATTTTAATCAATACTTTAGAACTTTACAACATTGCTGAACATTGAAACAAGACTGCCTGTCCAATTGAGGTATTGCCTGAGGATAAATTGAGTTTCATTTTCAGTGTCCAATGAGCCCTCAGGAACATTATACTCTGCCTCCTGGAGTATCTGTTCCCGTGGTTGTTTATGAGCGAGAGCCAAGCTCCATTATTGCGTACGCACTGAGTTGCCATGACTACCGGACAGGGTTGGAGGAAATACGAGCCAAGAAGACAAATACATCTGACCAGTCTACTCAAAGGTAGGATGGATGTTATTACAGTACAACAGTGATTGAGCCATGCGAACGAGCTCATCTTGAACATAAACGAGCATTTGATATAAAACCACATTAGGACAGGACGACGTCTGTCGGGCCAGCTAGTATGTTATAATTGCTTCCATCATGCGGTGAGTTAAAAAATCAAACTAATCAGATGTTAATAATCTGGATTTGGTCTGGTTCCGATTGATTTTAATAATTGCAGGTCTATTGAACTAAACTCTGTAAGGGTGAAATCAAGTTTCAACTTTGTATTAATAACTTCAGCCTCAACACACAACAAAGCTTATAATTTTCTAAAGATTAAACTAGCTATCTTCTGTTTTGAAATTGAGTACTATAACCTAACAGCTACGCTCTCAATTAATACTCAACACCACCTAATGTGTGTCACAATACAATATCAGAAACAATGACAGTTACTTTATAATTCATACGGATGTTAAGTAAAAGTGTGAAATAAGTAGCCTGGCTTGGCTTTTTCTGATAACAATATTGTTGGATAGAAAATCAAAAATCATTTTAACTTATTTCTATCCACCCTTATCTGTTATTTTAATAATTATGTTCATATTATTATATTTTAATGCATTTGTATTAGTGTATAATTTATATTAATGGGTGACTTTACAGTCCGTTGCTCAAGCGCAAGTCTGGTAGTCTGGAGACGAAGGAGTCAGCTGCTGAGGGAAACACAAGTGACAGCCGTAAACCAGGCGTTCTTTCTTTCCTTAGGTAACTAAACAATATCCCTAAATGTTAAACTCATATTTTCTCTGCTTTCCTTTCAATATTTCCAATGGATATGGCTTATTTTCCTTCAATTTTATTTGTGAGTTATTCAATGCACGCTTGATTTTTTATGGGCTTTTAAAGACTGGTTTAAACTGAAACCTTGGCCTTGTTACTATGATGGAAGTCATTGATGATCCTTGGTTTAATTATAAAAGAATATCGTTTCAATCCAATGAAGTTATTGGAAAGTTAATTTTAGTTATAAATTTATTATAATCTGAAGAAATGTACAAAAGTGATTCAGTAAATTTAATTTAAGTAAAATAAAATACTATACAAAAACTGTATACTCAATGCACATGCATTCAAAATTTAACAATTATTGAAGGCCAACAATTATCAAACAATTATTGACAAATTATCATCACCAGGAAGTTTTGTATTAATTAACTGTACTTTTAATTGTGCCTTAAGGACTGTTCACACCAGCGTAGTCAGACGTATTAATACTTTTTCTAAATACGTAGCTGACGTAGCTCTTAATGTAATTTATAGAGAGTGTTCATACCGGCGTATTAATACGTGAGCTACGGAAGCTATGGCGCTGTCATTACGCCAGCTAGCTACACGTAGCTCGCATAGCCGAATACGTGCATGCGCACTAGCACACCGGGCTGTCACGGCCACCCTCCCTCCCCTCATAATTAATTTATAAGCTGTAAATTTTGGACCATAACACAAAAATTCACTAAAAATTATTGCATGTTTTCTGGTAATATTTTTTTTATATTATAATATAGCGCAAATGTAATAGTCTACTATATACGGCCCAAATTTGAGTGAAACATTTTCGTCAACATTAACACATTAATCAACAGACTTTTTAGGGTACAATAAAAACTGCAATTGAACCGTAGCAATCTGAACTGAAATTCATGAAACGCTAATAAAAATAAACAAATATAAACAAATATAATTAAAAAAAAAAAAACAACAGCCTGCTCACTGGCTACGTAGCCGTCAGACGTAGCTGCGGTGTGAACAGTGCACTGGCGACGTATTAATACACCGAATACGTCTGCAGACATCTGGCTACACCGGTGTGAACAGGTCTTTATAATTTTAATAAACTGACTACCAATCAATTTTAAAATACCAAGTAGTAATAGTAATTATTTTCAGGACCACCAGTAGCAGTGGTAACCTGAACCAGGGCGTGGCAGGGGCTGGGGTAGGGGAAGGCCCAACTGAGGTGGAGGAGGGGGTAAAGTCAGAATCGGAACCAATCAAGTCTAGAGGCAGTAAGGATAAACCATCATCACATCTTGAGGTGAGTAACGTTCAGGAGATATATCGTAAAACAGCATCATTGAGCATATTGATAAATAATAAATACTTTATTGTCTCGACAATATACATTGTATGGGCATTAGAAATAATTAATTTTTAACTTAGGTTTAGTATAAATTAAATATCATTTTAAAATTTTGCTGCATTTTTCATTTGAAGTCTTCAATGGAATAGATCACAACAATTTCAGTAAGGATCTTCAGTAAGGATTTGTTTTAATCTATTTTGTATTCTTCTAATTTTAAGTTTTGAACATTAATTGGTAATTTCACGTAGATTAATTGTGGGCTTCACTCACCTTTATTTTTGTCTGTGATGTCCGGGACTCACAGACATCACAGTCAACACACCCAACATGTTTTTGTCGGACGGTGATGACCGAACTTTTTTTAAACTGAGCCCACAGTTCATTAAAGCTCCGCATTTATATGGACTTCCAAAGATACATAAACCTGGCATCCCCCTAAGACCGTTAGTTAGTACAATAGACTCACCATACTACCAACTTTCAAAATTTATTTTGCCTTTACTTACACCTTATTTTGGCCAATCTGACAGTTTTGTAAAGATTCGAAGGATTTTGTTGACAAAATACACCATCTTAAACCTAGCAATAGTACTATATTGGTTAGCTTTGATGTAACCAACTTGTTTCCTAACGTTCCCATTGAACCATGTCTGGCGATAGTACGTGAAAAACTTGAAAATGACCTGATGCTGGAAGATAGAACCAAAATTCCTGTGTCTAATATCTAATATAATGGAACTGTTGACAGTCTGCGTTAGGTCAAACTACTTTCTAGTAGAGAATAAATATTATGAACAAACTACAGGAATGGCAATGGGCGGCGTGTTAAGCCCGATCCTATCTAATTTTGTCATGGAAAAGTTTGAACAGGACGCAATTGAATCATTTGAAACTAAGCCTAGAGTCTGGTTACGGTATGTTGATGATGTTTTCTGTATTTGGGAAGATTCAATGTCAGAACTATTAAAATTTAAAGAACACCTAAACAGTCAGGTAGAGTCCATACAATTTACTATTGAACTGGAAAAAGATGATAAATTACCGTTTTTAGACGTATTGGTCCAGAAACAGTCACAAGGTTGGATCACTAGTGTGTTCAGGAAACCTACTGCTACAGGTCAATACCTCAACTTTGCCTCCAATCACCCCACAAACGTCAAGACAGGTCTAGCCATTGGTTTGATTAAACGGGCCGAATCCATCTGTAGTACTGAGGAAATTTTTAAAACAGAACTGGAAAACATAAAAACACATCTCCAAAACTGTGGATAGCCTCCCCTCGTTTTTGCTAAGGCCTTAAAAAGCTTAAGCAAAGTAAACATTCCAAAAGACCCTAGCACTAAGATAAAACCCCTGACCACTGTATGTATTCCATATGTTAAAAATATTTCTGAAAAATTGAGACGGGTGAATTCCAAATACAATATGAGAACTGTTTTCAAAAATAAATATACCATCCGTAGTCGTGTCACAAAACTAAAACCCGTTAATGAGCAACAAAATACAAAAGACATTGTCTACAAAATCCCGTGTTCTTGTGGCAGAAATTATGTGGCCCAAACTTCTAGGCCAGTTAAAGTTCGAATAAATGAACACATAAAAAAAGTCAAAAACAAGGATAAGTATGGCTCTAAGATATGTGAGCACGTTGTAGAAACGAATCATATTGTTGATTGGGGTTCATCTGCAATTCTATACAAGGAGTCTGATTGGAGGAAACGAAATACGGCAGAGTCGCTTTTCATGGCAATAGAAGACGAGCCACTCTCACGACCATCGGTGGATGTCAGTACAGTGTACTTAAACATTGTTAAAAACGAACTAGAACAACTACGAGATAAGGCCAGGAGCGTGAATGGCTTATCAACAATGAACAATGCACCTATTCCCGCCCCCGCCCGTCCTCCTCCAAGCTCAGCTGATCTGGCAGTTGTGGTTAGGCGTTCGACCCGCGTTCGGGCTAAAAATAGTTTATTTTTACCCTGAAGAAGCGGAACGTTGTTTTGAGTTCCGCAAAACGTCGGACCTTGATGCCGTGGACGATTTTGTGTTTTATATGTGTGTTTTGACAAGTCCCGGACATCACAGACAAAAATAAAGGTGAGTGAAGCCCACAATTAATCTACGTGAATAATACCACCTCACGTGAATAATAACACCTCGCCTAAAAGCATGTCGTTCAAAAACATAATTGGTAATTTGTTAAATAATTTTCTTTCATTTGTAAAGCTGCGCGCGCACTACGGCGGCACGGCACGGACGGGCGGGCGGCACGGCAATTTTTAAAAGTTAATAACATTGAATGTCATATGAGTGCGCCCACTACGGCGGTACGGCCGGCAACGGACGTTCGGCAGCTTCCGCCGTTTGTTAAAAAGTCTGGGAGACAGAACTCCAGGACATATCCGAGCTGCCGTGACGCCCGTACCGCCCGTACCGACCGGGAGCACTACACATCGACCGGGCGGGCGGCACGGGACATCCGCCATTCTCAACTGATCTCTGTCAAAGTAGCAGTGTTTTCGTTTGTTGTAAACATAGATGTTAGTAAGTTGATTTTTTCTCGTTGAGAAATACCCGAAACTGTACAACATGCGACATCCGGAATATTTTAATAACGTCCGACTTGACAATTTATGGGCAGAAATGTGATCTATTATAAAACAATCAGGTAAGTTTTACACATAATCCTTCTACAAGATCAGGAAACAAGGTGTGGAACTCTCCAAAACTTAATCTTTTCCTCTTTATGTGGTGTATCTAAAATCTTTGCTTGCACCTTCTTGTCTCCTCTACCTCTGCTAAAATTAAACCTACTATCACCACTTTATCTACATCCATCTTTACTCACAATTTTTAGCTCGCAGGCTGTCAACTGTCCTAAATTGCGGATGTGCGGATGTCCCGTCCCGTCCGTCCGTGCCGTGCCGCCCTAGTGCGCGCACCCCCTCTTAAAAATGCCGTCCGTGCCGTACCGCCCGTCCGTGCCGTGCCGCCGTAGTGCGCGCGTAGCTTAATGAAGATGTTTTTCATAAAGCTTTGTTTTGTGTTTTAGAAGAAAATATTAGTAAATTTCTCAAATTATAATTCTTCACTCATAATTCATCATTTGTACAGAATTTCTCAAAATTGTTCTTTAAAAATAGTAATGTTTCGTAAATATACATTGAGTAAAAGGTAAAACCTCATTAATTGGTAATTTTTAAATACTTTCTTACAGGATTGACGTGGTTCCATGCAGACTTTTGTAATTTAAATATTTGTTTAGTTTTGGATGAAGTTGAGCACCATATAGGTATTGCATATCTAATGTTGGAAATAATTAACGAATGATATACAGTATGTAATGCGTCTTCACTACAGAACATAGACAATCTTATTGGTATAAAACCAATTTGGCAAAGTTTTTTACACAAGTGCTCAATATGTGAGTTGAAATTTAAATTTTGGTCCATAATAAGTCCTAGGAATTTGATTGTTTCTACTTCTTCTATATGTCGATCATCAATTAAAATATTTAAATTGAAATCTTTTTTGTTTTTATCTCTGATTGAAAATTCCATAAATTTTGTTTTATTTACATTAATTTCTAAATGGTTTTCCATGAAGCATTGAGCTAGTTCATTGCTTCTTAAAAACATTTAATTTGCAATTCTCCTCTACATTGGCTGGATGTCAATAAGGTCGTGTCGTCAGCAAATAATATCACTTCAGATAATTTTCTTGAATATGTCACATCATTTATATAATATATGATAAATAAAATTGGGCCTAGTGCAGAACCTTGTGAGACACCTGATTTTATTTCAAGTTTTTCTGAACTATAATATTTTACATCATTCTTATCAATAAATGGAATTTAGACCGACTGTAAAATAAGTGGCCTCTGTATAATACATAAGTACCGTATTGTGTTTCTTGAGGCAGTTTGGACTCTAGGTAAGCCTGCTATCCTCACAAAATATATCTAATAAGTTATAATTCATCGTAATCTCCATCGCAACATTCACTGCACTCGCTGTTTTCACTTTGCATAGGTTCAGTTTGCAGACTCTACAGCAAATTTCATAGTAAAGATCTACTATGCAGAGGAGTTTGCCCGTTTGAGAGCCACTATATTTCCGGCTGGTGAAGATGCTTTTGTACGATCCCTGAGTCGCTGTATACAGTGGGCAGCCCGAGGGGGGAAGTCTGGCTCTAACTTTGCCAAAACTAAAGGTATAAAAATAAAGTACAAAGTAGTTTGTCAGAACAGCATTGTAAAATATATTATAAGTTTTAGTTTCACAGAAGGCAGTTTAGAGATGACACCAATTTTAAATTTGTTGAAAAATGACGAAATTCTTCTCCATTCCATAAATTAAATTTCAAACTCAGGGATGTTTCATTGGCGTAACGTAATTCAAACTTAACTGTGTCCTTTCCATTTCAGACGATCGTTTCATCCTGAAAGAGATGTCAAGGACAGAGACGCACCCCTTTATGGACTCGGCCCCGCAGTACTTTGACTACATGGATCACTGTGTCAAGTCCGGCTCACCCACATTGCTGGGCAAGATTGTTGGCGTGTATCGTATAATGTACCGCAGCACTACGTCCAACGCGACGTTCCGCAGCAACCTGCTGGTCATGGAGAATCTGTTCTACGCACGACAAGTCAAGCACAAGTTCGACCTGAAGGGCTCAGTGAGAAACAGACTCGTCAATCCAATGGAACATGGTGGAGAAATCGTTCTGCTTGATGAGAACTTGATAAATAGTGAGTGGTAAAATTATTACTAGACTGGAAAAATGTATGTGTTTTTACAAAAAAAATTTTTGAAAGCTGCTGACTAAGATATTTTATCTTTTATTTATTTTCTCTAGATTTGGAAACCTTAGAAAAATGATGGATATGAGTGAAATGCAAGATGCTATATAGTATAGGAAGTGGGCCCGATTGAATTGTGACGTCACAGCATACCCGACGGCATTGGCCATCCCGTTGTGTGAAACATGATTGATTGAGTTGGGGCAGACATTTTCCTGGTGCACGTCAGCCATAGATGGGCTTTTGTGCTTCCCGCTTGGTGCATCAGAGCTGTCAAACCTGAGTTGCTTGATGAACTGCAGCATCTTATCTATGAGCTCCTCCCGGGGAATGTGTCTGCCCCTAATCATTGTTCCAAAGTGCTTTTCCCTTACCTCATTCAGAGCTGTACAGTATTAGAGTAGATGATCTGCAGTCTCCTCGTACTGCCCAGATTTCCTACATGCAATGTGTCTGTTATAGATCCTCAAGCGATCCAGGTTCAATTTCAGGAAGCCATTATTCGTGACCATTCCTGTGATCTGACTTAGTTGTCTCCTGTCTAATCAAAGGGCACTGGAGGCGACCGCCTGAGAAGGGGAGTAGAAAGTTGCTTACTCTATGGTGTTCAAGCCTAGCCCATCTTTTCTTGTGTTCCTCCTAAGCCCATGACTTGACTGGCTGTGAGAAATTCCACAGTAAGGCTGTGGTCTCAACAAGTCTGAGCCTGCTGCCATGTTTGCCAACTTGTCAGCTCCTCGTTCACTTCTATCCCTGAGTGTCCAGCAACCCAAAAGAGTGTTACCGTGTTGCGCCTGCCCAGGGCACATACTGCTGTGAGGCAGTCCAAGATCACCTTAGACTTGAACTCGCAGGAGTCGAGCACCTTGAGCGCAGTCTAGCCTCAGGTTCTCCCTAGCACACTTCATGATTGCAGTTATCTCAGCCTGGAACACAGTTGGATGCGTTCCCATGGGAAGACACAAGTCCACCCCATTTTGGACTCAGTGAATTCCAGCTCCTTACCTCCTTCCACGTCTTACCTTTGAACCATCGGTATATCATTCAAGGTTGCCTGTGAAAGAGGATTCCCTCCCTCAATCCACTCAACTCTGGATGGAAGAAGGATGGTGATTGGCTTGGCAAAGAAGAATCGATTCAGTATTATGTCCGAGGGCATGTCCACTGTCGAGTGCCAGTACCTCCCCTCTTACCGTCTTAGTAATCTGAGAGTGACCTCAGAATCCTCCTACATCCACTCAAAGGTTTCCACACTGAAGTCTGTAGGCAGTCTTCCTCACAGTGACCTTGACATGCAGGTAAATTGGAGTTAGGTTGAGAAGGCAGTCTAGTGAAGCTCCCAGGCAGCTGCTCATCGCACCAGTGATGATGAGACAGGCGGGTCTTTGGACATGTTATGAAAGAAGAAACATTTCTCACGAGGCAAGGCAGCCACTGCCGTCAGGTATGTAGTGACATCATCACTCAGTCTGGCCCAACTACTATACCCTACATCTTGGTTGGATTGAGCAACTGACAGAGTCTACTGATTTTTATTCACTGATTTATGTTGAAACAAAAAACAAAAAAAAACTCTTTCACCAAGAAAAATTGAACCCATAAGTCACATGTTCGCAAAATTTAGTTTATTTTGTGTAATAGTATATTACGTTACTAGTCCTGAAAATAAGTGTTTACCGGAAGAGTGTGGTCGTTCCCGTGCGAGAAGAAGTCGAGTACAGGATTACCATACGAGTCCGGTACACACATTTTGGACGAGTTACGTACGATAGTTTACGCCATACTCTAAATCCGTACAAATCCTTATATATTTCCACCAACTAAAGGTCTAAAAATCACTAGTCATAACCTCTAAGAGAGGTTGTTTTTGTTTATAACCACTCACTGCCACCTAAATACAGTATAATCAACTGATTGGTGTCCGGTAAAACTCATTGCAGTACAGTAGTACGCAATGAAACCCCATTTGAATAAGCTGGCGGCAAACAGCTGTTTTCTGGACTAAAACCTTGCGTGGGAAGTTCGTCAAAATAGTGAAGTGTGGCGTAAAAACAATTGTGATGCAATAAAATAAAGATCAAATTCCTTCTTTCAAACTTAAAAAACTAAAACAATTCCAGGTGATGGTAACAGATTACTTAAAACTTTGAATGTTTCAGTGACGTGTGACAGTCCGTTGTACATTCTGCCGCACTCCAAGACAGTTCTGATGCAAGCCATCCAGTCGGACACACTGTTCCTGGCCGGCCAGTCTGTCATGGATTACTCACTTCTGGTCGGATTGGATGAAACCAACAAGGAACTAGTGGTTGGCATCATTGGTTAGTAAACAATGTTTTCTTAAAGTCTTTCATTGCCAAAAATGTCACATTGATACAGTTAAACCGAGACCATAATAAAAATTTGAAATCAATTTGAAAATCAGCTGGGCAACAGGAATTTTCCACCATGGCACGGGGAGTTGGTCCGACCTGGCCAACTAAATGTAATGTAGAATCTTATACCATTATAAAGATAAAGTTTAGAAAACAATTCTATTCAATTTTGCCTTCTAGTTAAAGATTATTTTACTTTTTTCCTTGTTTTAGTGAATTCCCCATTGAGGGAGTAAGCTATTACTGTAGGTCTCAACAATCAAACATGCCGGTAATCAATTATTGCCCAATAATACACATCTAATCAAGCATTTTGCTACTGTTGTTTACTTATTTGAACTGTATTGTGTCTCCCAAAAATTGAATTATAAATCTAGAAAATAAATGAGAACATGTAAAAAATTTTCATTAAATAAATAGATAATTAAATCATGGGCTCAAAACGTTTGGAGATTCCAGATCTTGCCCTGGTTTTTGTGCTACGGCCTTAGTTGTGTGTGTGAGTTGTTTTCCTCAAATATTGACGTTTACCATTTGCAATCCATAACATTGAAAGTTTTGTTACAGATTACATCAGAACTTTTACATGGGACAAACGACTGGAGACAATGGTAAAGAAGTCTGGTTTGTTGGGAGGGCAAGGCAAACTCCCGACCATTGTAAGCCCGGAAGAGTATAGAGACAGGTTCATTGCTGCTATGCATCGTTACTTCCTGCCTGTACCCGACCAGTGGACGGGTCTGGGCAAGGGGCTGGACTTTTAAGAGTTCAATTTTGCTGATATATTCAGAACTCTTTGTTACCAAGTTAATTTTAGTGTAAAAATGAAATATTGTTCCTTTGTTGTCCAGAAGCCTGTGGTCCTAAAATGTGAAGTTGGTACATAAAAAGGCAATTTTCTTTTATTCAGGGTACAGTTGCCGGTGCACTGATTGGGGATTGTATGAAATGTAGGTATAAAATTTAGACCCGTCCATACATTGTGTAAAAACAGCTCCTACTTATTTACAATATTGAATGACTTCCTATCAAGTATCAATATTTTTAGAGAGAATGCCTTGATATGACGCTTTTTATTGATTTTGTTAAGTTTAATATATATGTACCGTTGCCAAAAACAGTATACCAAAAATAATATTTTTAGAACTAATAAGTGTAAGATATTTGTGTGCTTCGTTTTCTTATAACTATTACCAGTTATGGGACTTCACACATTCCAAATTATTTACATGTCACAGCCTATCAGACACTAGCCTAAGTGGCCTTAAAGAACCCTTTCATTATAACTGTTAGAGAGAAAAACGCAAAACGCATAGCAAGTGTTTTTAAGTTAAATATGTATTGTTGCTAATTTAATTTTTACATGGTTTTTGTCGTGTTGCATATTATTGACATTAACTAATTGAAAATGAAATGTAAAAATATTCAAGAAATTTAGGAATAAAGTTAATGTTTGTTGGTTTGACAGAGTAATACATGTTTCATATAAATTACGGTAATAGCATTTTGTATTTAATATCAAGAAAGAAATTATTTTGGGAGCTAAATTAAAATTATAAAGGTAAAAATTTACGAAATTAACATTTATGAAATCAGTTATCTTTAAGGATGTCTAATAGGTACCTGGGTATGCATTACAACTGAGGGTAAATACTCAGATTTTTCATAAGTACCTCTGGATATTCAAATTATTATTTAGCTACAAGCTTCACTTGAGTTTTAATTTAGCATAGATATACAATTGATATGTTTTAATATTGTAAATTAATAGGTTCACTGTTCAAATAATTGTCTTACACAAACATTTATGTAACTAATATTTTTTTAATGATGCTTTTTCCAAAACTTTTAAATATTTTAGCTACAAAGTAATTTTGGAAAGGTAAAGGGTATCTATTGCATTATTGTTATACTTTAGCAGGTGAATTTTGGACGCTATTAAATATATGGCTATTAAATGTAATGGGGTGTATATATTGTTATTGTACATATATAATATGTATATATTGCCCCTTGTTTCTTATATTGTTGTCACTGTTCTACTAGGCTATTTCAATTGTTACATTATTTTAAGATATAATTTATTGCACATTGTGTAAATGAAACTGATAATATCCATATTACAAAGAAAGATTGTATAGTATAAATGTATTTTACCAATTTTATTTGTAAATAGAAATATTCTTACGTACCTACAAAATACAAATAATGTGATAGTATCTATTAAAAGTCAAAGCTATGATGACATGTTGTATTTGTTTGATTTACCTCACTGGGGTCACCTCTTTTTGATTTATACTGAATTGAACTTGCCACTTACTTTGTGTATCTAGCAGTACATTTAAGATAGTCCCAAGACAACCTTGAAAGAATTGTGTTTTACCCGTGGAGAGTGTTTTTTTTCGTGTTTTCTATGCCAATGGAATTAAATTTTCAAGAGATCATCTTCAGGAGGACGTTGTCATCTTCATTTTGTTCTTGCGAACAAGAATTCTTGCCGTCTAGACTCTACTTCCGTGTTGCTACCGCTTAAACAATTCGTAATTGTTATCGGCCATTTTCCACGTTTTGTAAAACTGGGTCTCAATGTTTTTTTTTTTTGTTTTTTTTAACAACGTGTTGAAGAAGAAGAAATGAAGAAGACAACGTCTGCCTCAAGATGATCCCGAAACCGGTCGCCTTTAAGGTCACAAGAATCACTTGACAGCAGGTAATTTCACCAGTACGTATTGGTCAGTGATTCCGAGGCTTGACTCAAACAATATATATATACATATCTATAATAAAATTAGAGTTTTGTCTCTACATTGCTCAGAATTATATATTTTTAGGTTATTTTTATGTTTTTTTATACATTAAAAAAGCAGAAACGAGTCTTATCTCTATTTCTGTCTGTCTTTCTGTAACACTCAAGATGGCATTTTACGCAATCTTCTCCAGGAAAACGAGAGTACCTATCAAGATCCAAGTCATTTTAATGTATTCACTGGATTGACGATAGTGTCTTTAGCCATTAAAATATGGTCTCACTACTTTGTAAAATTACGGACGTTCAAAAATGCAGTTTTGTGCGAATTTTGTCAAGTTTTCGTCCAATTTTTATCACAAAATCATGTATGAAATAATGAACAGATATTCGGATCTAGATTGTTTTTTCTAGCTGTCACTGATATGTTTTACAAATGTTGTTTACAAAAACCGCAACTATTTCTGATCACGTTTTGAAAGTGAATCCCAACCAAGTGAGATTAAAAACGTTTTTCTTACATAACGGATTTAATTTATCACAAGTGCAATAATATAGTGTAACTGTAAATGAAATTAAATAACGAGGCATCATCCAGGTCAGGAACCAGAGATTCTTTGTCTATAAAATTGTTCTTGAGCTTTGATAACCAGAAAGAGGACCTTGAATCAGTGTTGTATACGGCTGGGAAACTTAAATTTTATTAATGATCGTCGCCAATAGCTTACAAGATTATTTTTTTTAGCTGTCATTTATATGTTTACAAATGTTGTTTACTAATACCGCAACCTTTTCCGATCATGTTTTGAAAGCAAATCCCAACCAAGTGAGATTAAAAACGTTTTTCTTACATAACGGATTTAATTAATCGCAAGTGCAATAGTGTAACCGTAAATGAAATTAAATGACTAGGCATCATCCAGGTCAGGAACAAAAGATTCTTTGTGTATACAATTGTTCTTGAGTTTTGATAACCAGAAAGAAGATCTTGAATCAGTGTTGTATAGGGCTGGGAAACTTAAATTTATTAATGATCGTCGCCAATAGCTTACAAACCAACAAACAAGGTTTCCACTCATTGGCGCTTCAATGGTGGTTGTGTAAAGTGTAAAGTAAAAAATCACAACTACTGCAGTGGGTGATTGTAACAGGGGTTTACGGATGATGCTAAACTCGCTTTCCAATGTGTCAATTTCTGTTCCTACTCACCGTGTGATGCAATCGCTGGACCATACAGCCAATAGGCCCATAGCCCATCTCTTAGGTACACACCTACCACAATTATAACGTAATTATTAACGTTGGTTTTTGGTACTGGTTCTTTTCTGTTGGTAGCAACAAGAATCATTTTTACGTACCAACACATCACTGTTATTTACAAATTAGTTATCGTTAGTGTTGCACCTTATTTATTACAGCAGTATTCAATTTAATTGATGTCTTTAACTGTATAAGTTTTGCTTTTTCTGTCTGGATTACAAAATGTTAGTTTATGCTAAGAAAAAATGATAACGCATTTTAGTAAAACATTTGTTCAGCAAACCATCATGAATTGTTTACGCTTTATTTTGTTTATGTATCAATAGTTCGTGGCCTATTTTGGTAATCTTTATTATAAATTACCAATCTAAATCGTCCATAGTACTTCATTTCATATAGTAAGCCGTCATTTCAACAGCATTTCGGGCCATTTTTGGTCAAAGCAAATATAAACTGTTATGATAAAATTTGATGACATTAACAAACATTTCAAATACTAATTTTATATGTAGGTACTTTGTTATGCTTAAAGCATAGCAAATTCCTTAATTAAGTTCTGTATTTTTGTGTGTATGTCTGTTGGTAACCCATTAAAGTCCTTTTTCTCAGTGTTTCACGGAAAGGAAGAGCACCTTTGATAATGAAAATGTCAACCCGAATAAAGTGTTAAATGGTGAGGTTGTGGTAGTACTTTAAATACTTTGAACCATTGTGGAAAGCAACTTTAAATTATAGACCTACCTTAGGGCTATGCCTAATAGATCTATAAAGCATTTTTTAGTTTAATCATTGGACTTAACATATGAACCAACACGATCCGGGAGACATTTAATTGGGAAGCATTTGTTTTGGCTTGAAACTGTCAGATAATGAATTTGCGAAGGTTTATATATAATAGTTTTGCCAGCATATCTGAAAACCAACTGCTGTTCTTAATATAAGAAGGTTTCAACTGACTACTATAAGATCCCCGTGCGTAGAACGGGCACACAGCTAGTACATGTATAAAGCAAATGCTCGTTTTTTAAGGTGTACTGGTAATTCTAGGAAATCACGGGAACTTTCAGCAGTTTAGAGGGTACATGACCGCACCACGTTACATGACCCAGATGAAGCCACGTCCCTTCCCCTGGCAGGTTTAAGCAAACCAAGCTGACCAATTTTTAACAAGACCAAATTGAAACATCACCAACCTGACTAAAAAGAAGGCCTCTAGTCAAAGCAAACTAAAAAAAAACAGACATAGGGATTGTTAAATAAATTGCAAGAAAACTTGTTACAGTTTTATTTTGTGTTGGATGTGCAGAGTGACAATTTAAAAGTTGGCAAAAATCAGTCAACGGGAAAACCCTCAAAATCATGATTTGAAATTATTAGGCAGCCATAGTCACAGTATCAATCAATTATCAATTTCAAGTATTTAGTGCTTTAATGTTTTCCATGCTTTTTCTAAATGTGCAGTGCATAAGCAATAAGTGTAATGAACTCAAAATGATCTTGTCATCCAGTAATTTCCTGTTTTACAGAACACTGGTTGTCACATGATCAATTATGTATGTTTAACCGTTTAACCTAATGAATTATAACACGATTTCAGATTTTAGCAGGTCCTGTGAGAAGAATGGAGGCGTTGCTTTAATGTCTGTAAAGATTATGCACAAAAATGTAAGGCTATATAGACGTTAGTGGGGTCTGTATGAAACAACATCATAAATTTGATTGTCTCAGTGTACCTGATTTCAATTTCATAGTTGTAGGTGTGTATCGCTCACCAGATGGAAATCTGGAGTGGTTCCTTGACAGCCTTGAAAACCTAGTGTGTCCCTTAAAAATAGAAGAACGAAAAATAATCTGGTCCTGGGTGGTGATGTAAATATAGACATTTTGAATGGTGACAAACATTTAAAAGTTAAACTTTAAATCTATTGATACTTTAATAGGTACTTTTCAATGAAATCACGACCATACAAAGTAGGTATTTTAAGCCAACCCAGATAGCACATTAGGCTTACCGTAAGGTTAACTCAACCTTGTCGCTGAAAGGGTATAAGGTTGTCGTAAAGATTGTCCTGACAATGGTGTAAGGTTTTGCCAAGGTTACGAAAAGGTTTTGCTAAGGGTAAAAGTTTACGCACAAAAGGGTGTTTTTAAGCTTACGTTATAAGGTTAGCGTAACCTTTAGATAAGGTTGCTGTAAATGGTTGTCGTAAGGTTGTATATTAAAGGTTGTCATTAGGGTTTCGCAGACAATGCTGCAAGGATTTGCCAAGGTTATAAAAAGGTTCTTCCAAGAGTAGAAGCTTACATGTATTGTTGGTGTAACCTTTCGCTAAGGTTGCATAAATGGTTGTCGTAGGGTTGTATTAAAGGTTGTTGTGAAGGTTTTGTTGACAAATGCTGCAAGGATTTGACAAGGTTATAAAAAGGTTTTGCCAAGGGTAGAAGCTTACATATAATGTTGGTGTAACCTTTTGCCAAAGTTGCTGTAAATGGTAGTCGTAAGGTCGTATATTAAAGGTTGATGCAAAGGTCTCGCTGACAATGCTGCAAGGATTTTCCAAGGTTGTAAAAAGGTTCTGCCAAGGGAATAAGCTCACACTTAATGCTGATGCAACCTTTTGCAAAGGTTGCTGTAAATGGTTGTTGCAGGGTTGTACATTACAGGGGTCTGTAACTGCAATGCAATGTTACAGAATCCTTTTACTATATTAATCATTTAAGCAAGCTATGTTGATTTAAAATGGCTTCTTAGTCTTTGGCTTCTTGCATTACATCTACATCTGGAAACACAGTTACTGATGCTTATTAAATCTCAGGTTTAACAAAATATCTGCTAGGATGGCCAATTATTGTTAACCTTTTAAGTGGATATTTGCCAAACAGTTACCTTGTTACAGACAATATCAAATATTAAACAGAATATACACACATTAGTACATTGTGTGACTATATGATGTGATAGGGGAGATTATTTGTAAACTTTAGATGAAATTGTGTTGGATTTCGCAATTAGCAACCTCAAAACTACAAGGCTGTAAATTGTATATTTAACTTAAAAACAAAATAATTTCTCAATATGAGTATATTTGTTTTTCCTAGGAATTTACTTTTCAAACACCACTAAAATAGTTAATATCAGTATCATATAACTCACATAGGCCTAGTTAACAACTATTTTCAATAGCCAAGAAGGATTGTGCCACTAAAAACAAACTCTATTGAATGAATAATATGGGCATTTTATTACCAAAACTTACAGAACAAAATTGTATTAGTAGTTTGTTATAGGAATTCTGTTAAAAAGGAGCAGGAAAGTACACGGCAGTGGCTTTCTTCTCTCTGAAAACAAAATTCTAAATTACAAATTGAAATGATATTATAGTGAAATTATTGCTATAGCATGGAACGTGCAATAACAATAGTTTAACATCAATCTTTAGCAGTTATAAATTGTAATTTCCTAGTTCAAATTCAAATAGTTTATTGCCATTCAGTATATTATATCATGGACTAAAGGAATTAAATACAGTCCAACCTCAGTATAACGAATCTGAAGGGACCGATCTGAATATTCGTTATATCAAGGATTTCATTAAAACGAGGTTCGTTATATAGAGAGGTTTGCAGGAATTTCGCTAAGTCGAGGTTCAGAACCAGCGTCGGTCAATCAATATGGTCGGGATTTGACCTCATTAAATACAGTAAAATTAAAGTAGCATAGGCTACAATACTTTACAGTACAGTGTTTACATTGTACAGTAGAACCTAAATTATACGGCATAATAAAGGGGAGGGATCTTGAATATTGTGCAATCATGACAATGGCATTGACCTTGGTATAGGCTACAAACTGTAAGTTTCAAATCACAGCTTAATTTAAACCTCCTAAAACCTAGCCAAACACTGTATTGTATAGTCATAAACCACGTAAAGAACAAAACAAAACAGTAGAGAGTTTTGTAAGTTACTGCTCGTGTTAGGTCGGTAGGCTACTTACAGTACAGTACTGATTTATCACAATAGAGGAATCTCAATAATAATCATCTACTATAGCATTAGTATTGCTAGTTGTACAACAAATTTTAACAAATTTGTATTGAAAATAAAAAAATATTAGATAAGTCATTATAAAAGTGTATAATCATAGCCAACTTAAGGATAGTAAAAACATTCGTAAAAGGAATGTGAAAATAACAATGTTGCTATTCTTTCTCTTTGGTTTTGTTTTTATATTCTTTCTTAGGTTTCTCTTTATCCAAAAATTGTACAATTCACCATAGCTATCCCATATCCCCCAATCACAGCTTACTAAACATTACGTTGTCATCAGTAGTCAGTGAATGAAATCAGTTCTCAGTTGCAACATAGCGCGCGCAGCGACAGCAGACAAAAGGATGTAAAACGGAGCAGACGAATGTTAGCGCAAGCGATGACGTGACCTTTCCATTTCATTTGATATAGAAACAGATTTTCCCAAAACAATAATTGGGTGGGGGATTTGTTATATCGAGGGAAAGACGTAGACAATCCGTTATGCAGAGGTTAAATTTGCAATGTAGAGGTTCTGACAATGACAAATTTGTTATATTGAGGTGTCTTATTTTAGCCGAAATCACGAAAAATTTGTTAAATCAAGGTCGTTGTTATGGTTTGTTCGTTATGTAGGGGTAAAATGTAAAATATAAATTGTGTCTTATGGAGAGTTCTACGGGATTTAAAAAAAATTGTTATATCAAGGAATCCGTTATATCGAGGTTCGTTTTATCAAGGTTAGACTGTATAGACCGACAGCCATGCTGCGATTAGCACAGGTTCTGGCGCCCACCGCTGGGACCTTTAATTGGGTTTTAACGCTTTGTATCTACGTAGTGTCATTGACTATTGGAATAGACAAAGGTAGCGTGTACACCGTAACTACACGGTGGACGCCAGAACCCATGCAAACCGCAGTACAGCTGCCAGCTGCCGGTCTATATTTAATTCTTTTTGTCTATGATTTAGCTCAGTATAAAATAAATAAATTTGCCAAGATTTATCAAAATATATCCAAAAACAAGCAAACTACAACAAATTTAATTACGGTATTCTCCTTAAGATTAACATGAGAACTTTAAATTTGATTTTTTTTATTTTCTCTGAAACCAATAATTGTACAAAAACACTTGAATACACTTAACTATTTGCTTTTTAACTCCTACAAAATGGTTTAGAGAAAAACACATAGGTACCAGATTGTAACGCAGTGAAATGTTTCCACAAAATATAACTTTTTTGGCATAAATAACGAAACACCTTTATTAAGCATTAGTCTGAATTTCTGGTTTTTCAAGCTCAAAAAATTTATATCTGGAAAAATTAGGCTTACGGTAATAAAGCTTTTAACAGTTTTTTATGTTAATACGAACCTTCTCTGTTTCATAAATTTTCCTTGCATAAGCCAGTCGCTTACACCCTCCCTCACCTCTTTCTCCTGGCAATCTCTGTACTTTTTAACACAAATTTCTGGAAGCAAACACAATTTATAAAAAAAAAAGATTCAAAGTTAAAGACTTAATTGAAAAATAGAATTTACTTATTAAATATCTAATACTGTATATCGGTATATATAACCAAGTAATGATACAAAATTTATAATTATAAAGTAATATTTCACATTGGCATAAAAAGTTACTGGAACATAATATGATATTATCCTGACTATTAATACAACTTCAGTATACAATAGTCAATGATATTGTTAAAAGTCAAAAATGGAAAGAGAAATAGACTAGATAATGAGCAGAAAATAATTTGATTATTCACAAAAGAAAAGTTACTCAATCATAGTAAAATGCTACCAAACTATTTATTTCTGTATCACAACATAACAATTCATCCTAAAAATCATATGTGTTAAAATTATTAAAGTTCATATTTTTATACCAGCTGGAAAAAGACAAAAAATATAAACCATAGATTATTGAAATAAAATGTTTGAATACTATATCCAACATTCTCCCACCTTTTGACTTGCAAAGTCAAAATATTAATTATTAATTCAGGTATCTTTGTGGGGGTATAATTTTTCTTCCTCTTTGTGTGTAAACAGGTTGATCATGTTCACGTTCAACACCTTCAGTCACTTGTTTGTCTTCTAGCTTTTAACACAGTATCGCTTGCATATGACACATTTGTCAATAACTAATTTTACAGTTCTTCTTCCACTAATAATCAAAACTTCTTCTCTGACAATAGATAACAATCCTTGGACTCCAACATGTGAATTTTCTTCATGTTTGTATTGTATGTATCTGTGAACAACAGGATGGTTACTCGGCAATACGATTGGAAGATTAAAATTTCTACTATCAGGTCTCTCTGTGATTTTCGTTTTTAACCTGAATAAGCCATCACTGTCTTCAAACGGACACAATGAACTCAATTTTTCATCCTTGATACTATGGAAAGCGTCTTTCTGAATAAGTTTAAACACTTTATTTTGAGCCTTAATCAATTCATCAACCGACAATTCTCCTGATATCTTTTGTTTAGACATATTTGTGTTAGAACAAAATCTCAAAATCCAGCCTACCAATCTGACGATTTTATCAAATCTGGAGAAATATCTGTAATACCAACAATCTGGTTCAGGTTTTGAATTCATCATAATCTTTGTAGTTGATTTGATCTTCCTAAGTTCAGAATTTACTTCTTTCTCATCACAATCATCACTGAAGTTTTGGTTAGGCCACAAGTTTGATGAGTTTCTTAGCCATTGTGGTCCCTCCCACCATTTCGACTCTACTAGCTGCTTAGGAGAACATCCACGTGACGGCAAATCAGCTGGATTCATATGGCCTGGAACATGATTCCAAGATTCAATGTTACTAAGGGATCTTATTTCCTTTACTCGGTTCCAAACAAACACTCCCCAGTAATCTTCTCGACGAATCCATGACAAAACGGTGGTTGAGTCGGTCCAATAAAATGTTTTGACATTTTCAAATCCCAAACTCTTTAAGACGTTGTCAGTTAGACGAGCGCCAATGGTAGCCGCCAGTAACTCCAGCCGAGGAATGGTCATCTTCTTGACAGGTGCAACTCTACTCTTCGCTTGAACTAATTGAACTGTGACAAGTCCATTAGATTCACCCCTCAGGAAAACCGCGGCCGCATAAGCGTCCTGGCTTGCATAACACAAACAGTGAACTGTCCAAGAAATATTCCCTCCGATTTCATTTCCAAAATATCTTGGAATTTTCAAATTTGAAAAAATCTCAAGTTGCTTTGCCCAATCTAAAAACAAAAGTTTTATCTCTTCTGAAACCTTGTCATCCCATCCAATTTTACTTTCCCACGTTTTCTGCAGCAATATCTTAGGCAAGAGAGTAGCAGGACAAGTTATACCTATGGGGTCAAACAACTTGTGTGCAAAAGACAAAATAGATCTCTTTGTGACTATTTCAGGCTCTTTAAACTCAAAGTTTTCAAAATTCAACTCAATCATGTCAGTATTTTTGTTCCAATTTAAACCTAAGATAGGTGTCAAGGTAGAATCATTTTTGAAACTCTGAATTTCTGTGTACTCCCAACTCCGAAGACAGAATCTAGCATCTTTCATTACAGAAGTCGCTTGATCTACAAATTGATTCAAATCTGAAAAGTCATCAAAACTTAAGGTTAACTATAATAACCTTATGTTGGATATAGTATAGAAACATTTGATTTAAATAATCTATGGTTTATATTTTGTATTGTCTTTTCCAGCTGCTATGAAAATATGAACTTTTATAATTTTGAGACATATGATGTTTGAATGAATTGTTATGTTGTAAATACAAGAATAGTTTGGTAGCATTTTACTATGATTGAGTAACTTTTCTTTTGTGAATAATTAAATTATTTTCTGCCCAGTATCGAGTCCTTTTTCTCTCCATTTTTGACTTTTAACATTTGGCGACCGTGACAGGACTGTATGAGTTCTTAACCAGATAGTCACTATTGAGATAATGGAAAGAAATAGGAAACTAAGAAAAACCTTCAGAACAGCATTTACCAGAATTTATAATGGGATAAATGAGGAGCTATGCAAAGATGAGCAAGACCTACACAATATACAGGGTAAATTGAGTTCTCTGGAAGGTAAGATAGAAGAACTAAAAACTTTGGACAGGGAAATTTTAGATTTCTTACTTGATTCTGAAGCAGATGAAGAAGAGTTAAATGAAGAAGTTAGGCTAGCAGATGAATATGTAGAGAAGTTTAATCGAATTAGTTTAGCTGTACAGAGTAGATTGATTAGGTCTAGGGCCACTTCACCTGAGGAGTCCAATGGGTCTGTAATGAGTAAATCTACTGCTGTTAGGACTAAGCTGAGGCTACCTACTATTGAATTCACAAAGTTTAGCGGGGATTTGAAGGATTGGCTACCTTTTTGGACACAATTCAAAAGAATAGATGATGACGAGAATATTGACGATATTGATAAATATCATTATCTTGTGCAGGTTACTTTAGCTAATTCTAGGGCTCGTCAGCTGGTCGAAAGCTATCCTGCTACCTCTGAGAACTATTCAAAAGCTTTGCAAAGTCTTAAAAGTCGTTTTGGTAGAGATGACCTTCTCATAGAAGTGTATATTAGAGAGCTTTTGAAGTTAGTTCTGAGTAATTTAAACAGTAAGGTAGAAGTTTCTTGTATTTATGATAAACTGGAAACACAGCTAAGAGCATTGGAGACATTAGGAGTAACAACTGACAAATGTTCTGCTATGTTATATCCTCTTATAGAGTCTTGTTTGCCCGAGGAACTGTTGAGAGCTTGGCAGCGTCACTCCGGCTATGAAGTTGATGCTGAACTTAAGGATAGACTTGATGGCTTGATGAAGTTTCTGCAAAAGGAGGTTGCTAACGAGGAAAGGATTACTATAGCCGCATCTGGTTTTGAAAATAGTAAGCGACCTAACCTACAGCCTAAAGTAAGTAAATCTACTGTATTTCGACCTAAGCCTAGTTACGCCAGACATACTGAAATGATGCCGACAGCTGCTGGTTTAGTAAATCCAACGATGTCTGATAATTTTAATACTAAAGACGCTAAATGTATGTTTTGTGGTTCTAACCACTTAGCTGAAAACTGTAAAGACAGTAAATTGACAGTAGATGAGAAGGTGAAAATCGTTGGAAAAAATGGTTGTTGTTTTACTTGCTTGAAGTATGGTCATAGGAGTGCGCAATGTAAAGTTAGAGTAAAATGTCCCATCTGTGGAAAGAGGCACACCGCTGTTATGTGTAGGGCATCTGCTGCTGAAGGAAGTTCATTGAGTGAACAACCAGGCAAAGAAAGTTCTCTAGCAAACAATGTTCACACAGAAGTGTTTTTACAAACCTTTTTAGTAAAAATTAGAAACCAAAATCGAGAGCGAACAGCACGTGCTTTAATAGATACGGGATCACAACGGTCTTATATTTTGAAAAATACAGCAAAGGAATTTGGCTACGACATAGTCAGAAAGGAGAAGCTAGCTCATGCTTTATTTGGTGGCACTAGTACTGAAACAATTCAACATGCGTGTTATAAGGTTAGACTAAGTGACTTAAATAACAGTTATGCCTGCAATTTTGACGTTCTTGATCAAGATATAATTTGTAACGATGTTACAACAGTTAAGCCTGGTCCTTGGTCCATTGAGCTTGGAACACTGGGAATTAGTGTAAAAGATGGAGACGGGCCTATTGAAGTTCTGATAGGTGCAGACGTTGCCGGGAAACTTTACACTGAGAAACGATATATGCTTTCCAACGGGTTAGTTGCGATGCACACTTTGTTAGGCTGGACTTTAATGGGAAGAACTATAGTTGAAGGGAATGACAGGTCCAGTTCTATGGCAGTAACTTCTTTACTGTCCCCTATTGATAATAAATCCATTTCAGATTTGTGGCGTTTGGATGTTTTAGGAATCAAGGATCCAGTGGAGGTAAAGAGTGAATCTTCAGTTAAAAGTAGAACAATGGAACATTTTGTAGAATCTGTTTCAGTGGAAAATGATGGCAGATATCAGGTCAAATTGCCATGGGTTGATGATCACCCGCCGTTACTTACTAATTTAAAAGTAGCACAGAAGAGACTCAGTAATCTTACAAATAAACTTAATTCTAGTGGATATCTTAGTTCATATCAACAGGTGCTGTCTGACTGGGAGGAATTAGGTATCATAGAGAAGGTTAACGATGCCGATTTGGAAATTGGTCACTACCTACCGCATCGACATGTGATAAAAGAAAACAGTCTTACCACGAAATTGAGACCTGTATTTGATGCATCTGCTAAAGAAAAGAATCAGCCCTCGTTGAACGATTGTCTAGAAAAAGGTGACAACCTAATTGAATTGATTCCGTCCATATTAAATCGTTTTAGACTACACAGATATGGAGTTGTTGCCGACATCGAGAAGGCTTTTCTTCAGATTGGTGTACATATGGATGATAGAGATTTTCTTCGTTTTTTGTGGATTAATGAAGAGGGTCAATTGGTTGTTTACAGACATGCTAGAGTGGTCTTTGGAGTTACTTGTAGCCCATTTATGCTAAGTGCAGTAATCAAACTTCATTTAGAAAAAACATTAGACTTGATACATTCAGGATCGTTAAACTACTCAAGAAAAGTAGTAGAGACACTGTCGAGAAGTTTCTATGTAGATAACTGTATGGCAAGTTTTGATGACTTTTCAGATTTGAATCAATTTGTAGATCAAGCGACTTCTGTAATGAAAGATGCTAGATTCTGTCTTCGGAGTTGGGAGTACACAGAAATTCAGAGTTTCAAAAATGATTCTACCTTGACACCTATCTTAGGTTTAAATTGGAACAAAAATACTGACATGATTGAGTTGAATTTTGAAAAGTCATCAAAACTTGCCATACAGTTATCTACATAGAAACTTCTCGACAGTGTCTCTACTACTTTTCTTGAGTAGTTTAACGATCCTGAATGTATCAAGTCTAATGTTTTTTCTAAATGAAGTTTGATTACTGCACTTAGCATAAATGGGCTACAAGTAACTCCAAAGACCACTCTAGCATGTCTGTAAACAACCAATTGACCCTCTTCATTAATCCACAAAAAACGAAGAAAATCTCTATCATCCATATGTACACCAATCTGAAGAAAAGCCTTCTCGATGTCGGCAACAACTCCATATCTGTGTAGTCTAAAACGATTTAATATGGACGGAATCAATTCAATTAGGTTGTCACCTTTTTCTAGACAATCGTTCAACGAGGGCTGATTCTTTTCTTTAGCAGATGCATCAAATACAGGTCTCAATTTCGTGGTAAGACTGTTTTCTTTTATCACATGTCGATGCGGTAGGTAGTGACCAATTTCCAAATCGGCATCGTTAACCTTCTCTACTATCTTGCATAACCATTTAGCAAAACTTGTGAATGTACTGATCGCTTGCCTTTTCAAGAACTTTAAATCTCCTCAGTCTTCGCCCCATGGACTTATAAAGATTAGAGGAGTCTTATGAAGTAAATATTGATTAGTCTCCATGATAACTAAAAGCTGTTGTAAAAAGTTAAAGTTTACTTTTTTAATGTTTACATTTTGATGTGTTTATTATTTTATTCTACTAAATAATTGTTTGGATTAAACCACATAGAAGTTCATGGAACTGAGCTAATGAAAATTGAAAGATAAGGAGGACATTCTGATATTTCCAACAATGAAAAGAAAATTGATATGCCAATAGGCTTAAACAGATTACATTCCTTGCTTTGCCAAGATACTTATCAAAAATTGTGATCTCAATCTAGATAAAGCATGTTTCTCTTAGTATGATTAAATTGTAATTGGCATGTTTACGTGTTATGTTATATTATTTCTATTGAACTGTCTCTGTTCTATTTAAGGAATTTTTTTGTTTATGTATGGAATGTTTACAGCTTTGTGTTGATTGGATCCTGAAATGTTTCATAACAATGTCAACAAACCATCACCTGTGTTTTTTATAGGCTGGTAAACCATCTTATTTGCACTAGGGACTGATAACATTCCTAACAAATACAGCCTACACATAAAAATATTGAATTTTAGGTGATTAAAAATTTTCTGTGTCAGCTGGTAACTAAATAGAATAAACAAAAATTGAGAAAATCTACCAAAGATGAATTTAAAAGATGAAATGTTTGCAATATCAAACATTAATTTTAAATAATACTTACCACCAACTATCGCATAGAGACTTGTTGTGACAAAGGCTTTTTTATTGTTTCCAGTGATGGCTTATCCTGTGAGAGAAAATGTCTCTGCCACATTGTCTGACAATATTTTTCTTAACAGGTTTGCTGCCAGACTTTTAACACTGTTACCATTCAACGTAAGCAGCATCCTGGCCTAGATACAGAAACACAAATAAGTTATTAGTTTATATTTATTCATTCTAATGATGTGGGTATAACCTTTGACTAACAAATTAAATGTACAGTAGGCTATGCCCATTAAGAAAGCATTAAGATAATTGTAATGGATATCAAAGTGAAGGCTGTGAACAAATGGGATTGCTGTTAACTATCTTGTTTTTGCACCATATGTAACAAAGCAATTTTTTATAAAATTTTAGTTTTAGCGAATTTCCCATGAATGGATTACTGTAAAGGGAAAGCTCTTGGGTCTAACGGTATTACTTGGACCCGTTACTTTTTTGTTTTGAGATTCCTAGAGGCCAAAAACGCCATCTGTTCAAATTCATAAGTATAATGTCCGGTAGCGCGATAACTCGAGAAAAAATTATCCGATTTTGATGAAATTTGGTAAAACGTGTATACCTAGGTTTATTTGAACGAGTTCGCGAACCAGCGTGATCGGACTATGGAAACAGGGGTTTTTGGGGTAAAAATTGGTTTTTCCCATTTTTGACCTTAAAATCATAAAATTTTACAACTTCTTTCCAACCATTTTGTAGATCTTAACCCTCCGAGCGTCACTCGTCGAAAAATCGACTCACGACACACTTTGTGTAGTGTCACGCGTCGATTTTTCGACACACGAACATCGTTTACGGCGAAGGCTCTATGACTGACTGAATCGGATTGAACTGGATCGAGTTAGGTATCGTTTTTTTCGTTAGATTCTAAGCTTTCTCCAGAGGTCTGTCTCTAAGCGCTTTATGTTCTCCGAGCCAATCGTAATTGTAGCAGACAGCTGACGTGCATATTTGTAAACAGCTAGGTTACCCTCGGACCGATGACTGATGTGTTTTATTACTTTTATCATTGTTTTAGTGTTAAAAATCAAAAGTAGTGATATACGTGGTGCATTATAAGAAGATTTAAAAAAATACCTTTTTACCCTCCTCGTTGCGGCAAAGCTAACTTAAGTACTGGTTAAACTAATGCTCTTTAAATAGGGAATAAATGTGATATTTTTAAGGCAGTGTTGCCACCCATCCCGATTCTGTCCGGACAGTCCCAATTTTTCCCTTAGGGTGGCAACCCTGGGTTATGGGAACAGGTCTTCTGGTAATAACTTAATTGGTTTTCATAACTTTTGCCCATCAAAATATTGAATTTCCCAATTTCTTTCCAAAACAACAACAATTTCTTTAGTAGGTCTAAACATAAAGAAACAAATAATTTAGTATTTAAAGTGTTTTCCTACAGTTATTTGTTCCTAAATAATAAAAAGAAATGTCTAACTTATGTTAAGGATTGGCAAATCTATTAATTTTATACTAATGTAAGCTATAAACAAACATGTTAACCCTTTGAGTGCCAACGTCCGGGGAACCGGACGTTTTTAAAACGAGCCAAAAGTGCCGATGTCCGGCCGACCGGACGTTTTTAGAACGAGCCAAAAGTGCAAACGTCCGGCTGACCGGACATTTCATAATGATCGAACAGTTGTCATAACAACCGAATGGATACTCGGATTCTTTTAACCCATATATTAACATTGAGTCGAAAGTTACTAGATGCGATACATCGATTTTCGTTGGTCGAAATATCGAAAATTCGATCTTTGCGAAATTTTAACCTAAAAAATCGCCAGATCGCGCCTTTTGCATTTTTAGCGCGACCTTCGGGAAAAATCATCGGCATTTTTTGAGCGTTACTTTTATTTCTCGCCTGGCACTTTAAGGGTTAATGTACTATAAAAATAGGCCAACACTTAATTACCCTACCTCCCTACCTGTAGCAGAAAACCCAAGAACTTGTTAAAACCTAATGTTATGTAAATTGGAAGCAGCACTGAGAGACTGAAGGGAAAATTTAAGTACAAAATTCAATCAGGCAGATCAAAATTAATTTTGTCTGCAAGTTGTCCGCAGGGGTATTTTTTACCAATATAATTGCTTACGAATTTACCTAAAAAGGCTACTGTATGTAAGGAGTTTTGCTTCACATCACTGCCTTAATTGTGCATTTAAGTAGAGTAACCAGTAACAGTAACAGTGAAGATATAGGCCTAGATAATATTTCTTGCCTTGTGCAAAGTTGTTTGGAATCAATTTTAAAGGTTATTATTAAAAGTTGTTTGGAAACAACTTAATGGTTTTTTTTATTTTCTTAAAAAATCAGCTAGTGCGATTAGTATTTAAATTTATGTTTAAACTATACTAATAACTTAAACTTACAACTTTTTGACGGAATATTAGTTCTTTCAATTTTTCCTCAAATTGGAGGAACTCCTCCTCAGTCTTCAGAGGTAGACAGACTTTCAGTAGCAGTGTTGCCACCACGTTGTTGCGATTTTACCCTAAAGGCGGGCTAAAATTACCCTAAATTACCCTAAATCTACTTTGAGTTACCCTAAAAATTACCCTAAATGTTAATATTTGCGTTTAATGCTATAAAACATTGTTAAAATCATATAAATCCTACATAAGATGGTTAATTATACTAAATGAAGTTCCAATATCAATCAATTTACGTAAAATTATACTCGATTCTAAAAAACCACCCGAAAGAAGAACACAAAATGTTGATATTGAATTGATCAGCTCTATATCGACTATCGTATAACGAAAAATATCGAATCAAGAACTATCGAATTTTTTTACTGTATCGACCCATTACTACTGTTTTTGGACAATCATATCTTTAAAATACAGTACGGTACCACCAAAGCTTTAATCTATACATAGTAGTAATTTCTTGACACATTTTGTAAAATAATCCAGTTTAATTCAATTCAGCCACATAATTAAATATCAAACCCAGTAATGAATAATATTTCATATTTTATTAGGCCTATAACGTGTTATAGAATCGAATACATTCTAAAACAGATAATTTCCAACTATTGATAAGATCGATTAGGATAACTTATTATGAAAAAATCATCATAGCAAACGATTTCAACCAATTTGAATCGAATATGATAGCCATAGTATGTAATGAACGTTTTTTGCCAAATTTTGAAGTTTTTTTAATTTTTTAGTAAAATTTCCATTATTATACTAACTTTTAGTTTTACCCTAAAATTGCCCTAAATCTACCATTACCCTAAACTTTACCCTAAGACCAGTAAATTACCCTAAAAAAGGGTAATTACCCTAAAAGTGGCAACACTGTTCAGTAGGGAAACATCAAACATCCCTCTAAGGTGTTCTGACTGTTCTGAGGGATAGAGCGTTGCTCCCCTTGTCTGTCTGTCCTTTTTAGTCAAATCCATCACTGCTTCCCACAGCATGCCAATATTTTTGCAGCTTTGGACATCCTTGCAAGCTGAAAAACATAAAGTTAGGCTCAAATATTACAAGCTTTATTTAGTTAATTAACACAATACAGGGGGGATTTATAAGCTTATTATACTGCTTTTTTTGCTAATGTAGAATTACATGAATAATAGAATTTCCCTAATATGATGAAATATAAAAATAAAGCACTTAAAAAAAGCTCCCTGGCTTTTATTTAAATGGACTTACTTGAAGTGCTAGACTGGGAGGAAGAAAAAGCTCTAGGAGTCTCCCGAGAAGAACTCCCAATGTGAGGCTGTAACTCTGAAGCAGGAGATGAAGCAGGCGATTCCATGACCATAATAATGGTCGTACTGAAGATTGCATCACATTTGTTGTACATGGAGATTGCAGTTAACAGTGTCAGGTTTTTTTAGCACTCAGTATTGGTTCCAGCTATAATCATTGACTATATATACCTACAGTAGTATATATAGTCTGTAGGTATAGTCAATGCTATATTCTATATTCATTCATATCTATGGACGTAGTACGTGAACTACGTTTCATATCTATGGACGAATTTACGCCTGCGCCTGGCAATGCACACACCTTCACCTTCTTTTAAACGCCTTGGACAACGTCTACTCTATTCCTTTATAGTCCAGTCAATGAATGATCCAAAAGTAGGTGTAGAGTGCGTGAGCAGGTAACTAAGCGATTCCTTCAGAAACTTGTTCAGGGGGCTTAGGGTGTTAACATACCAAAAGTCCTGTCTCCTAGGTGGTGAGCCAGGGGATGGAGGGGGAAAAAGGGGGGGGGAAAGGTACGCATTTTGGGTTTTTTGATTATATCTCGAAAACTATCAACTTTTTGTATACTATAGTAAATTATAAAATTGAAGAAAATTAAATTTTCTACAAGAAAAGTATATAATGTGTTTATTTTGGTTCAACAGATTACGAGTTATAACTTATTTAATTGATATCTTATTAAAATACTCCTTCCATAAGAAATACATGTAAATTAGTATGCGAAATGGGGCGAATCCTATCCGCCCAAAGGAAATATAACTGATATTCTGGAAATATTGACAAAATTTCCAGTAATTTGACACTTTAATCATGAAATTTTGTCAAAAATTAAAGTGTGGGTGAGCGTTTAAAAATGGGATGAAATGAAATGAAATGAAATGAAATGAAATGAAATGAAATGAAATGCTTTATTGTCGTTAAAACTGAGTACAAAGTTCATGACAATCGTCAAAAGAAAAAGAAAACAATCAAGATGGCAACTAAAACTAAAACTCTAAACCAAAGTACTCTTCATGTTTATACAGGCAAGCCTGGGTTAGAGTAGTTTTTAAAACATGTTTAAATTTTGAAACACACAGGTTTTTGATGGATGCAGGCAAGAAATTGTACATTTTAACACCTTGGTACTCAAAACTATTTTGAGTGGCTGTATACTTATGCCTTAGTGTAGACAGATTATCTTTAGATCTAGTACAATAGTTGTGAACATCAGATATCTTTTCAAAGTGAGAAATGTTTTCTTTTACATACAACAAACTTGCCAAAACATACAAGGATGGAAATGAGAGAATGTTAAGACTCACGAAAAGGGGCTTACAATGTGTTCTTCTATTCACACTACAAATTAACCTCACCGCCTTCTTTTGTAAAGTAAAAAGCAGCCTGTTAGCATAAAAACTGTTGGCCCACAGTGAGGTACCATAGGACAAATAGCTATGAATGTGGCCATAATATATACAAATAAGGACATCATCTGAAACAGTGGACCTAAGTGCTCTTATCATAAATATGCCTTTTACAATTTTAGATGCTACAAAATCTACATGTGAAAACCACTTCAAGTTTGACTGCAAATGAAAACCCAAAAACTTCAGAGTGTTTACATCATTACCATTACTGCTTAGACTAATAGTCAGGTCCTGAGTCTTATCAGCATTAAGACATAACTTGTTTGCATTACACCAGTCGTTAATAACAGCAGATTTTGTGTCCAATGTGTCTGTAACATCATTCAAAGAGTTACCCCGTACACACAAGGCCAAGTCATCAGCAAAAAGAAAGCTTTTTACAGATAAGTCATTAATATTACAAGGTAAGTCATTTATATACAGTATAAACAGGGTAGGGCCCAATATAGAGCCTTGGGGCACTCCGTGGGGCACTCGAACAGGACTAGAATAAGTGCCATTTAGATAGACTTTTTGCCATCTGTCACTAAGATAAGATTGAAAAAACCTAACCAAAACATCATCAAGGTTATAGCAAGAAAGCTTATTCACAAGGAGATCATGAGCCACTGTGTCAAAGGCCTTAGACATGTCGTACGATCTGAACACTATACCACTTTTGGCCTCTAAACTTTGAAAGCAATTTGATATCAGTGCCTGGGTTGCTTGGACAGTGCTGTGTTTGGGCCTAAAGCCAAACTGACTACTTGCTAAAAGGTTACTATCCTCAAGATACTGAGAAAATCTACGATGTACGAGATGTTCCAAGACCTTCGACACTGCAGGGATAATAGATATAGGCCTATAGTTAGCAATGACATTTTTAGGCCCTTTTTTATGGACTGGTATAACCTTAGAAATCTTGAACTTGTTTGGGTAGCAGCCTTGTGTTATACAAAGATTAAATAGGTAAGTCAAAACTTCACTTATGTAACTAGAAGCTAACTTCAAGATGGGGACATTAATTCCGTAAATATCTAAACAAGAGCTATTGTTAAGACTGTTGATGGCTGCATACACCTCTTCTACAGTAAATAGTCCAATCCTAAAAGCATTGTTGTCCTCAATAGTCGGAAGAGCGTTGCAAGAGGTCAAATTTCTAAGATATTGCTCAGGACCATTTGAAGAGGCGGGAACATTACTTCTCAGGTTTTCAACACAGTCGACAAAGTAGGAGTTCAGTCCATCGGCAGTTAGGCAGTCAGGAATAGACAAAGGCTTACTATTACAGTTGCTTATTTCATTAATGATTGACCAGGATGTTTTAGAAATATTACTAGAGTTTAGCAGTAAACTGTTGTTGATTTAAGGGTTTTTTTATATTTCCAATAAAAAAAACACCTAAACTCAAAATTTTGTTACCTCGCCCTCGCCTTAATTTACGATCAATTTTAATGATTAAAGTGTCAAATTACTGGAAATTTTGTCAAGATTTCCAGAATATCAGTTATATTTCCTTTGGGCGGATAGGATTCGCCCCATTTCGCATACTAATTTACATGTATTTCTTATGGAAGAAGATTTTAATAAGATATCAATTAAATAAGTTATAACTCGTAATCCTGTTGAACCAAAATAAACACATTATATACTTTTCTTGTAGAAAATTTAATCTTCTTCAATTTTATAATTTACTATAGTATACAAAAAGTTGATAGTTTTCGAGATATAATCAAAAAACCCAAAATGCGTACCTTTCTCCCCCCCCTTTTCCCCTCTCCGCCCCCTGGCTCACCACCTAGGAGTCAGGACTTTTGGTATGTTAACACCCTAAGCCCCCTGAACAAGTTTCTGAAGGAATCGCTTAGTTACCTGCTCACGCACTCTACACCTCATTCCTTGACTGGACTATTAATCTAATGCTCGAATTTATGACGAAATTGGTATTGGATTGGATTAGAATCTTTACTCGATCTTGTTCATTATTTCAAGAAGTAAGTTAGGCCATGGTGGAAGGATTCCTTCCACCATGAAGTTAGGCCTATATCTGGGTCAGGATTTTTTTTTTAGCTCAGTGGTCAGGATTGTATTGAAAATGAAACGATGAATTGAATCTTTGTTGTTCTTTCCGACTCCGACCAACTCAACAGTAGTTTTACTCTTTACTGATATTGGACAAAAAGCCTACCAGTCTCAGTCTCAGTTTGAGTCTAGTCCAGTACCAACCACCAAACCGTCCAATCCGAACCATTCATTAATCCAATTCCAACCCCAACCTGAAAACGAAAACTCAAACTCTTAACCTGGCTAGTGAAGTGAAGTGAAGTGAAGTTGAAGTGGCTAAAGCAAAGCAAGAAAGCAAGAAGGAAGCATCCGCGATCCGCACCGCGACGCGACCGCACCAATACCAAACCAATATGGATGGAGTCTTTCACTCGTCCGGTTGTAAGTTTTGTTATATTGTACAGTAAGTCTAAATATATCAACAGTTTTGCTACCAGACTACCGTTGAGATGTTTAAATACCTGAGAAAGTTTTAAAATAAGTTATTTATTTAGCAGTTATTTGTTGTGATCTGTACCCAGTGGCAACAAAAAGTACCTACCATAGAAGATGGCGGAACATGCTACTCCACGCGACATTCACATAACTTATGTGGATACAGATGGTCCTCTTATTAAAATATTTGCTCAAATTGATAAAGGTAATCCAGAATACATTGAAAGGCTACTTTACCAATTAAAGGATGTCTTGGAATCAACTGACCTTAAACCTCGTACTTTGAACGATATCAAGGAAGGACTCATATGCTGTGCCAAGTTCACGGATGGTGCTTATTATCGCGCTAGGATTGAACACATAGACACCCAAAGTTTAAGTCTTTTAGTATTTTTTATTGACCATGGGAATGTTGCTCAAGTTGATGTGGCAGATGTCAGACTTCTTGAAAAATTACAATCTGTGTTGGGACAGGACAAAATAGTCCAATTCTTGAAGGGAGTAGTAGGTCTGGCTGAAGAGTTTTATCTTGCAGGAGTGGCTCCTAAACGGAACCACCAGTGGGATGAAAGTACCATAGAATCTCTACGAAAAGAGCTTTGCAATTCAGATCTTAAAGGCGTAATTCATGAAGTAGGAGAGAAAAAAATTGTTAATTTTGGTCTTGGCCTATCTGTAAGAGATCCGGCTAAAATGATTATTGAGTCGGGTAAAGGAGTTCCACTTCCCTTGCACCACCTGGTTGAATATGTAAAGCTTAAGAAATGTCCAACTGCAAACAATCCCAAGGTTCAAGCACCATTGCCACAACATATCAATACATCACTTCCACCTCCGAAACTGCCACCAGCTGTAGGCCTACAACATGTTCCACAAGCAAGACTACCAAATCTATCGCATCCTCCACCAGCTAGATTACCCAATGACTTAAACCCCAGAAATGCCGTTATTCGGCCAAGTGGTGTTCATGTTAGACCTGGAGTACCTGGAATGCAACTAAGACGACCAGAGGCTTCTATTTCAATACCAGCGGCTAATCTTCAATTTTCAACTGAAATGTTGAATCCAGGAGTCACACATCGAGTTTATGTGAGTCATGTTGAAGATGGCCCTCACAGTTTTGCAGTTCAACTTCAGGTACGTTAACTTAAACTAGAAAATCTTAAGTTTTTTTTAGCATAGCCAAGCCTATCAATGCTAAGTTAAGATGTAATATAGGCTAAGTACAGCATGTCATTGGTTTAGGCCTTTTTTAAACTAGGCCTAGCCTAGCCTAAGTTGTAAGTCAAACTTATCCTAATTAAAAACTAAGTTATGATGCAGTACCGTAAGGTAAGGAATGCCACACCCAAGGCCTCTAAGGTAAACTTAGCTTAACTTACATCGATTCAAACCAACTATAAGTTAGACGATGGATTCTGAAATCAAAGTTCTGCCTAAGTTTAGTTTGCTGTTAGGTAAACGTACAAAATACCGGATGCACCGGGTTTTGTCTCAAATAATAAGCATAGGGAAGAAGCTATTTACCGTAGGTGGCATAGTAAGACTAGGCCCGGGACCGATTTACTTTTTATTTTAATATCCCCAAAAACACCAGGCTATTCGTTTCAAAATTGTTATATAAGTTAGGCCTACTTAGGCCTAGCCTAAGTTATGTAGGGTACCGTACATAGACCTAGGCCTAAATTATATGGTATGTCCGTGAACGTGATAGGTAACTTGAGTAATTTTTGTCAGATTTTGAACAAATTTGGTTTAGGTACTTAACTTAAAGGTGTAGCTTAAGGCCGGATAATTCAGACTAATGGAAATTCGCTTAGTCAGCAGGTTTGTTGTGGCGGCGGGGGTATTTTTAATCTCTATAAAATTATTTGGAAAGAAATTGGAATTTTTTTTTTGTTTTTAGGGTCAAAAATGGGAAAACCCCATTTTTACTCCATAAAACTTCCCATTTTTTTTTCCTTGGTGGGGTTGGGGTAATGGCCTAAGAGTAAGTTAAGTAAGAAAGGGAGATGATGATAAAGTTAAGAAAAGAATAGTTGGAGGCAGAATTTTGAGTCAGGGACTCGAAAGTAAGAGAGTAGTATTAGAATAGCGAGAAAAGAAAGATATAGTAAAGAAGCCTGCCAGTTTACCACTCTGATCCTTTTGGGAGGAAGTGTCCTGATGGAAGAGTCGGATCAGGGAGTGCCCAGTTGGGATGCGCACTTTTTGCCCTTGAGAGAGTAGGAGGACAGTGCTTCTAGGACATACTGGCTCGGCACATGTGAGGGTGCTTGATAACACAGTCACTTAACAACCTAAACCCCCGTTCCCATGGTCCGATTATGCTGGTTCGCGAACTCGTTCAAAGAAACATAGGTCTATACGTTTGTACCAAATTTAATCTAAATCAGTTTGTTTTTGCTCAAATATATAGGCCTATAGCCTATATATGAATTTTAACAGATGGTATTTTTGGCCTCTGGATACCTCAAAACGAAAAAGTAAATCGGTCCCAGGTCTAGGTCTTACCATGAGACCTACGGTAATAGCTTATTCCCTATAATGGGAAATTAGCTAATAGCCTATTCCTTATATGGGAAATTAGCTAATATTCCCTATAGGCCTATGGGAAATTCGCTAAAAGCTTAAAAATTGTATTGTTATTATTTTTAATCCTATTTCCTGATAACCTGGCATTTCACAAACTCGGCACTCTTCCAGTCCACATTACGTCGAGATTGGGAGCAGCAAACCTAGGTACTTACTCAACTGATTAAACCAATGTTAGTTAAATAGATTTAATTGGAAATCAATTCAGACAATTGGAAATTCGCTTAGTTGGCAGTTTTGCTGCGACGGGGAGGACGATAGACCACAAGAGAAGGTTCAACAAGTTCAACAATTTTATATTGAAATTCGTGAATAACTTGAAATCCTTAGTTTAACTTCAAGATTTAAAGAAAAGCATAGGCCTACTCAATCATTGTAAAATACTACAAACATATTATTCTGTAACAATCAAATCAAAAATCAAATCAAATCAAATCAGTTTTATTTCCACAATAGGCTAGCCTATATACAAAATTTACAATTAGAAAAAAAACGAATATATATAGCCTTGAAGCATTATACAGTAGCTACATTGTTTACGTAAAATAGTTCAAGTAAAATTAAATTTATAAAGTTATTAATAAACTTAGGCTAAGTTAAGTATAATTTTAAATACTAGTTGAAATGGGCTAGAATAATAACTAATGGAAATTAGTCTACGGATAGACATCAGTGGTCTGTGCGTAGACTCGAGTTAAAAATTATATTTTTTGAGCTAATTTGCAATAGGCTAGAAGAAAAAGTTTAAATTAAATAAAAATGTACTAGCCTATGTGCTATGGGAACGTGATTTAAAGATTATACACAAAATGGGACTAAATATTCTCATTTAAATTGTTATCAACAGAATTGTTTAACGGGGAAGCCAATAAATAAAATGTAAATGGATGAAATGGAATCATCCAAAAAACACGTGTCAACATTTTAAAAGTTTCTTATTTTTATAGCAGCTGTAAAAAGACAAAGCAAATAACATAGTCCTTAGCTAATTCTTTTTTTAAACTTTTGTTGCCTATCTGTACAAAAATTCAGATTGTAAGGCACCAAGCACAATTTTGAGGATATGTTCCTTTCTCAATACCACACTTAGTAACTTAAGTTAGGCTAATTATCATTAAGTTGTTCTTTTCAATTTCACTAGTCCAAGACAAAACCTGGTAGGTTTAATACTGAACTAAGTTAATAACTTATGTTGCTTATACAGAATTGAACTGTTTTACCTTTAACCAAAATTAAGCTATTATAAGCACTTTTTCCCTTTTGCACTTTTCGGGGAAACGCCTAGTTTTCACCCTGAAAATTGTGTTTGAAAATCAAAAAAAGTTCTAGAAATCGGTGATTTTAGTCGCACTTTTTCTGCAAACAGCTAGGCCTACTCTTGAGTCAAAAGGTATGGATACTTGAGTTTCAGCCTTTATTGCAATGTAACCAGTAGACTAAAGGCTCGTCCAAACCGAAGCGGGAAAGTGGCGGGAGCGGGAAGGGGGCGAATGACAGGCGGGAACCAGCGGCAGCGATACGTGGCGGGAAAGAGGTAGCCCACACCGAAGCTGCAGGCAGCGGGAAGCGGGACGACTCCTCAGTTCATTTCCATCTTAGCTACAGAGTGTTCGGTTGTGTTAAGTGAATGTTTGTATTTTATGCGTTCATGTCATGAATCGTAATGTACAAGAAGAAGAAGCTTTGCTTTTGCTAGCAACAGCTGAAAAGATGAAGCTGCAAAACGGCGATCTGTTTAGGTTCATGAAATCAATCTAAATGGACATTTATTTGGCGAGTACCATACCCTTATGCCGGATCCAAAGAAAGACGAAAGGTGGTTTTATATTTATTTTAAGATGACCATCGCGTGTTTTGATGAACTGTTCAATGAACAACGCACTGGAATAATCCTCAGCCATCTTCTCAAACGTCTCGGCACCAAATAAGTCATGTACCCATGTGTTCCCGCGGCGGTACGAGGGGGAAAGTCCAACATTTTTCAAACCGGCGGGACGATCGAACAACGCTGCGGGACGGAGGGAGCGGTACCGCTCTAGTGTAGGTGCTCACATCTAACACCCCGCACGGGAACTCGTGCCGCCACCTTCCCGCTCCCGCCGCTTTCCCGCTTCGGTTTGGACGGGCCTTTAATTCATATTATACATTTATTTGCTTTATTCATATTTTTTGTACAAAGGTGGTAGGTACAATGAATATCGTCAATAAAAAGAAACACGATTACAATGATACTTAAGTAGATAATTAACAAATGAAATAATAACAATAAGTCTTTAGTTCAAGAATAAAATACAAAACATTAGAAAACAAATTTACAAATTTATTTCTGCGTTTATGTGCGTTGGTTTCAAATTTTTTATGCAGTTTCAACTCAGTCTTTCAGCGGGTTGAATGTAAAAAGTACAGGTCTTTCGGTGCTTTTCCAACAAAGGGCGACTTTAACATTTTAAAACAAAATAACTACTGATCTAATCATCATGAAATTTTGATAGCTTTTAGAAACATATACTTATAAAGCATATTTATAAGATTTAGAATTTTTTGTCACTCAAGAAAAATTCTGTTATGGTTTTTGTAAAGGCATTTTATTTCAGGGATGGAACAAGTTAGAAACTACGATGAAAGCTTGAATTAAAGCTCTTAAAAAGATACACATGAAAAGTTAAGTTGCACGTTAACTTGGTGGTCTTTAATAATTAAAATTAACGTAATCAAAGCTGTTCTGAAACGCAATAATGCATGAAATTTGTACCGCTATTGATCCGCAGGCAGGGAGTTCTCCCTGCCCGGGACCGGTTTTGGCAGCACGGACCAAACTGCCGAACCTCATCACTACAATTATAACTAGGCCTATCCCTAAATTGCTAGGGGTAGTTATAATTTAAGTATAATTGAAGATATTGATCTTTACTGTTGCAATCGACTTCCCAACACACTCCGAAACCTTCTAATAAACTGGGTATCGCTAGTCATTACACCTGACACCTTTGTTAAAAAAAAAAAACATGTCACACTTAAAATCGGTGATTTCACCTTCTGATATATGTGGCGCTCTGGGTGTATTGACTACAACGAACAATACAGACAGACTGAGGAAAATATTTTCAGACCTCAATAATAACATTGTAGGACAATGTTGTAGGTACAAATTTCATGCGTTATTGTATTTCACCCTGAAAAACTTGTTTCAAAATTGTGAAATTGTGTCAAAATCACTAAATATAGGCACGTTTGACCGGTAGGCTAAGCGTCAATAGCCTAATACTCTAGTTTAAATTAACCTAAAAAATGTAACCTAAGCTAACCTAACTAAACTAAACCTAACCTTTGGCCATTTCCGGCACATTGCTAACCTTAGCAAGGGCTAGGTTTGGTTTGGTTAGATTAGATTAAATCAGATTGGATTATATTTTATTTGGTTTACTTACCCACAAATCGGTCATTTTCAGCACTTTACTATTTTCAGTATTTTCTACAACTTTTCAAACCCGTTTTTCTGGGTTAAAATGGCATTTGCCGCAAAAGTGTAAGAAGGATATGTGTTTTAAACGGCCCAAATAATAAGAAGAACACATAGGAAAAGTAAAAAAAGAACTAACTTAGCAATAAAAATTTTTGATTTCTAGCGCTTTTCGCGATGTCCAAATGCGATTTTCAAGTTAAAATAGTTCTTTTGTTTCCCTCAAAAGTTCATAAGGAAAAAGTGCCTAAAATAGCCTAATTTTAATTACTTATATAAGGTAAAAAAAATTCCAAAGTTATAACATAACTTCAGTATTACCTATCTAAAGACCCTCTACACTAAATTTGGAACAATTCCTACCACCAATGAAATTGTCAGATTTGAAAACAAACTATACCAATACCGGATTGAAATGTAAAACTGGCACAACAAATGGCAAGCGACACAACGTTCCCCTTGCGAGGCTGAGCTCACACTAGATATCCATACTAGAGAGTTAGATGCTATGTAAGTTTTTGCTGGTTATTAAATCACCCTTTTTATAGTTTAAGTGAATTTTTCATGTCTGACATTGATATTAGTTTTTAGTTTCTGACTGATGTAGGCCTTAAATCTGTAACTTACTTTGTTGTTTAAATTATTTAAAGTAGCCTAAGTTTTGAATGTTATAGGCCCTAATTGATATGCTAACCACTGGACATTTTATCCTTGCAGATTACTGAGACTTCTTAGCCTAAGTTACTCTCATATTGACCTCAACTATACAAAATGTTCTTTTTGTAATTTGTTGCAATAAGTTCTTGATTCTTGGTTAGTTTAACGTAGTTCGTGCGCAACAGTCTGCACTCCGTTAAGTTAAATAACGTAGGCCGCACTCAACGTGTTAATGAACGGTATGTTTATAACTAAACCAGGCCTCATCACAACTTAACCTTCACTTCTAACCTATGAGATTTCTTCGGCACATTCTTCTAAATAAGGCTACTTAACTTGAAACTTAGTTCATTCCATTGGAAGCGTATCCACGCCATGGTCGCCAATAGGTACTTTTCTAGGCTTATTATTTATTCTTCAAGGAATTCTTTTACACTATTTAGATTTTTTTAATTTTTAATTTAGGTAACCATCAAATTTTATCTATTTTTTATCTTCTGAAAATAGGCTAGCGAAACTTCAAATTAAGATACTGCGTGATCCAAATTGGCCTGCACTCTATTTGGAATTTGAAATTCTGAGTGTATCAAAATTAATGGTAAAAATTACTAAATATTGAGAGATTCTCTTCGGACTGAGATTTTATTTTGATGTAAACGAAATTTTAAATTTATTGAATCTTTGAATTACCAAGAGTGGACTGTATAGGTTACCTACCTAGATTCATTGATTTTTTCTCTCCAACATTCTTATGATTTATAACCTATTTTTATAAGACTAAGGCATACGGTTAAATGTTAAATACATTGAGAAATCATTTTGATGATAGGCTATTTATACTTAGAGTAAGTTAAGCCTTTGGTAGTGCTTTGCACCACGTTGATGATTAAGTCTTATTTACTTAATAAAAAAAATATTAATATTTCTTAATTTAATAACATATTTGACCATTTTAGTGATCAATTGATGGTTCCAATGATGTGAAAATACATAAAATAAAAAGAAATACTTCTTGTAAAAGATTACAGAAAAACCGTGGCTTTTTAGTCTAAGTAAGTGATATTTCCCTACGTTATTTGACTGTGCAGATTTATGTTAGGGCTACTGGATAAATGGTTCGGATGGTACTCTATGTCTATGCCAACTAATGTGTGTTCTTTTCCTTCAGAACGTTGTTGACGAAGTTTTGACTCGAATGATGTTGGACCTGAACAATATAGAACCACAACCAATCACTACTCCTCTGAATCCTGGGTCTATCTGTGTTGGCCGCTATGCCGAAGACAAGACTCTTTGCCGTGCGATCGTCATGAACGTCATGGATGACAAATTGAAATTGTATTTTGCGGATTTTGGAACGTCGGAGATTGTGTCCTTCTCTGAGGTGTATCAGATCCCTCAACAGTAAGTGCTTTAATAAAACATAAAACAGAGCTTTCCAAAAACATTTATACAACAGTGCAAACTCGATAAGTTATGACAAACCTTGGTAAAAGTTGAATATACTCTTCCATGGATCAAAAGTTAAGAACATAACTTAGTTGTGAGAGCCAGGCACTAAATGCACTTAGTGACTTAAATTCTATCATTTTTGTAGTTTACATACAGTAGTTGATGGGTCTTAACAGTTGCTATAGACCACAATAAGTAGTTTAGTTTAAACTGGTTAACACATTTTTAATTTAGATAAGTTAGTTTAACTTGTTAGATAGGTAGGTCTAACTTGGAGCAGCACAATCTGTTGATGGCTCACTTCAACTACGACAATTTTGATAAAAAAAAAACTGCCGACAACTTAAACAAGGGGTTAGAATGTCTAGTTGTAAAGAAATTAAACAAATTTTCCAATTTACAATAGGCTACATGAAGTGAATGTATGTTAAAGAATGTATACTAAAGTGAAACTAGTCTCACCAAACCCAACCTAACTTCTATGACGTTTAAAAATCATATTTGATTACTTTATGTGAGGAAGATTTTGAACTTGTGAAGGTTTGTGACTGCATTACGTCCTTTGTTGTTTAATGTTGTTTAGTGAACCTAATCTTAATTGACTTTAACATAATTTCACAACACTTAATAAAGTCACGAATCTGCATAAAACCCTATCCTCCTCACCTGCCTAAATAATAACTGCTTAGTCTGCAAACAATTCCATTGTCCATGGAGTTGTGTGTTATGGGTTTGTTTGTTTTGCATTGGATATAAACAGCTGTTTGCACCCCACATACAGACCTGTCCAAACCACCATTATACCATCCAAACCGCTGAATAATTCATAAGAAATTAAAACTATAGCAGTTAGTTTATAACAAGAAAAAATCAAATAGGCCTAGATCCATGTGGATGGTGTACTGCATTTGTTGCCTATTAATATTATTCTATAAGAAATAATCATAGTCATATTTATCACCGTTTTAACACATTGGTTCTTGTTATTCAGATTCGTAGCACCCAAAGTGATGAGCCACCGATTTACACTGGCCAATATCAAGGACATTACCTACACAGAAGAAGAGAAAATGATGTTCAAGAATCTGGTTGCCAATGCTCGAGACCTGACGATGACGGTTACTCCTCCGGAGGCTAACCCACTCAAGCAATACTGTGAACTATTCCTCCATTGTAAGAACATTAAGACCATAATGGCAGAACTATCTCAGTCTCAACATTTCTACCTCAGATACTCTCCGGTCTCTTCTCCTCTCAAGTAAGTTTGGTCATGAACCACATAAAATACCACTGACATTTTATTAATTAATGTACTATTTATTGTCTACTAGTCTGAGACAGAATTTATTATAAAAGTTTAAGATGATCAACAGTTGCATCATCATCATGATCATCATGATGTTACAGTAGATATACAGTTGTCAAGGATCAATTCTGGGGCCATTCCTTTACTTAGTCTTTGCTAATGATCTACCAAATGCAGTTCATAACTCACAAATTAATAACATATCCAGATGATACTACTCTTTTATGTAAACACCCCATCCGGGTTAATTTATTTAAAATGCTAGAAAATGACTTATCTGCTATGAATTCTTGGTTTAAAGCTAATGGCCTTCTTTTAAATAAAAATGAAACCTTTTCTATTCCAACTACTCCAATTCAAAATACTCTGATGACTCTTATGTCAAACCCTTATTGCAGACAGCAGATAGTTATAAATTTTTAGGGTTACACGTTGATCCTTCCTTGAAGTGGGATGAGTATGTAAATTTGTTAACAAAAATTCTCCATAAAAGTTAATTTTCTAATTCTAAACTTATCAACAATCCTGGAGATAAACATTTTGAAAATGGTTTACTATGCATATATATTCAAACTTAACATATGAAGTGATATTTTGGGACAACTCACAGTCTTCTCCGGCAATATTTAAGATTCAGAAAAGCATTGTCCGTGCTATGTCAAATTCCCCCCATACTGCATCAGCCAAACCAATTTTCAGGAAACTAGATATTCTGCCTTCACCTTGCATTTTCATTCTACATACCCTTCTATTTGTTAAAGAATATTTTCACAAATTCACTCTTTTTAAATCTACACATAACTATCCTACACGTAATTGTAATCTTTCTTTGCCAATACATCGAACAGCAGCTTTTGAAAAGACACCATTCTATACAGGCAGCCGATTATTTAATAAACTACCTTCTCATATTCGCAATGAATCTTCTGCCAAAGCATTTAAAGAAAACTTGTTAACTATCTAAAGAGCCACCAGTTTCATTCAGTAGAGAATTTCATTTTATATAGTATTAGTGGTTTGTAAAATGGTTCATGTGGAGAGTTTGTTTTCTCATTATGTTTAAGTTACATTTTAATTTGGTTTTTAACATTTTTGTATCATATTTTTTGACATGTCATCTACCATTGAGGAAACTCCTCTGTATATGGTGTAATTTGTGAAAATTTACATGAAAAATGAATAGACTCCCTCTTTTACAGACTTCTCGGAACTGCGGCCAGTCCGAATAACGGGTTTTCCGGTTAAACGATGTCCCCAAAACTTATTGTAGCCGATACAATATTTGACTTAAATTTAGGAGAGCATTGTATTTAGACATATAACTGTCCTAAACTCTTTCCCACGAGAACAGTCATTTCAGTACCACCCACTTCTGGCCGATCTAGTCCGGTTAAACTGATGTGCTGATAAAAATTGTACGTTAAGACATGTCATTTCCTCTGAGTATAGTCCGGTTAAATAAACCGATGTCCAGTTAAAAGGTGTCCTGATAAGAGGGAGTCTAATCTATAGCAAATTATTTTTTAGCGTTCTATCATTTATAGTATTTAAAGTTACAATTTTCCTATGTTTTAGAGGGTCTCAAGAAAAAGTATTTGTGTCCTACGTTGTGAATCCTGGCAGATTTTATGTGCAGCTAGATAAAAATGATTACTCTTTGAATCAGGTGAGTAAATTAAGCCTAAGCTGTTCTTATGTTTTTACATATTTTTGAAACAAGTTCAGTTAACAAATAAATAAAGTAAAAATGTGAAAGGCATTTTATGAAACAATATCCAAATAAAAACGAAAAAGAAAACAAACATTAATAATAATAAATGCACACGCTGTCATATTTACATATCTGTAAATTAAACTATATCTTTTTCATTAAAAAATCTTGTTTAGCTTTGATATCTTGGACGTTTAGCGTTGCCCTATCTATCAACCTATAAGGATTCTTTCTGTTTAAGTAAGACATGTTTTCTGTTTCTACTGTAAAAGTTCATTTCTTTCACTGTCTCGCACAATGTAAGATCTCAGAGCCGTGCATTGCTGTTCAACTTGTCCTTTTCTCCATTGCTTGTTAGGTAGAATCAATTTAAAAAAATAAATCTCCAGGATTCCAATCATCTTGATCATGATTGTTGCAATCAGTATTTTTTTCCTCAACTGTGCATCTTGCAGTTTCTTCAAAACATCGTGCATTTTAGGCTCAATATCTGTTACAGACATTGATACAAATCAATGTTTGGACCAATGTTAGGAGTATTTCTGTAATCCATAAGGCCAAGCTCCGCAAGTTCGAAGTACCACATTTCCTTATTATATGTTTTGTAAAGGTGTGCGGATATCCAAAATTTCCGGTCGATTTCGGTTTGGTTTAGATATCCGTAACTGAACCGAGCCCAAATTTGATTTCCGACATTTCCGGATAGACTATATAATAACGTTTAAGACTAAGGTCAAAATGTTCATAAGGTTACCTATATCATTATTAGTCTCCCACAACATAATAATTTCAACACCACTAGTTCCCATCGACGTTACAGCGGAAAAAGCCTCACTCAATCTTTTTAATACCCCCAGCAATTTTCCATACTTAGCGAATTTCCATTCTTTAATTTCTAACGACTACAATTGATTCAGAATCTGCCAAACAAGCTTATATGGCAACACAGCGTACACAACAGTTTTTAGACCGGTGCCGGATTGGATGGTTTACGCACATTGGCAAAGAAATTAAATTCTTCTTTTTGTCCAGATGTCAATTCTACAATTTGTGTTTGCCTTCAATATCTAATTGGCAATCTTTCATGTACTCTTGGTATGTCTAAATGCAGTATGGTATTGAAATATAAGGCAGCAAGTTCAAAGGTAGAAATATATATATATATATTTTTTTTTATTCAGAAACAGTAGGCCTACCTAATTTCTGACAACCTTTTTCTATTCTAGGAAAATGTCTCCTGTGCAACAGATTACAAAAATTGAAAATTCAACCTTTTTAGCGAATTTCCCTATAGGGAAGTAGCTATTACCGTAGGTCTCATGGTAAGACTTAGGCCCGGGACCGATTTACTTTTTCATTTTAATGTCCCCAGAGGCCAAAAAAACCATTCGTTCAAATTTTTATATATGTATATATATATATATATAGATTTATATATATATATATGTGTCCGTGAACACGATAACTTGAGTAATTTTTATCCGATTTTGATGAAATTTGATTTGAAGGTGTAAGGCGGGATAAACTTGAATGAGTTCGCGATCCAGCATGATCGGACCATGGGAACAGGGTTTTAGGGCCCTTTCACACAAGGCCACTGGTGGCGGACACCGGTGTCCGCCACCAGTTACCGGCCGGGAAACTGCAGTGGATGATACAGGAAACTTACAAGCCACTTTACTACAGCCACTGTACAATGGTAGTTGTGAAAATGCTGTTGTACAATGAACATCTCCTTCTCGCGTTGATAATAAAGAAAATAAGGCAAAGACACAGGCGTACTATACCAAATTGCCGGTTACTTTTAAATTTCCCAAATTAGATCTTCAGTATCCACTTTGTCTTCTATTATTTTGTTTATTCTCTTATTCTGTTGTTTTCCTTTGTCTTTTCCTTTTTCAGCAACGTCCTCTTTATTTTTCTTCTAATCACTAATTTTCACAAACAAGTCAACACGAAAACACTCAACAACTACCATAATGCGTTTGTCTTTGCAGTCTGTATGTGAACTGATTCAAAATAGTAGCTGCGCGCTCATCCACGGTGGCGGCCACTGGTTGCTACGTGTGAAAGCTCCCATTTAATTCAATGCCCCGCGACGAGTTGCCGCCACTGCAGTTGCCGGCGGTTGCCGACTAGCAGTTGCGCGAGGAGACACTGCTCGGCCACTGTGTAGTGGCGGGCAACTAGAGTGGCTGCGTGTGAAAGGTCGCATTTAAAATAATGTTAAAGCTGTGGCGGGCAACCAGTGGCGGCCACCGGTGGCGGCCACCAGTGGCCTCGTGTGAAAGGGCCCTTATGGGGGGTTTTATGGGGTGAAAATTGGTTTTTCTCACTTCTTACCCTCAAAACACAAAATTTCCCAATTTTTCTCTAAACCTTCTTAAAGAGCTTAAAAAAACAAACAATTCAGTATATCAAAGTGTTTTTGTACGGTTATTGGTTACGGATAAACAGGGTTGCCACCAGCCATGAAAACCTTGAAAAGCGTGAATTATGCGTGAATTTAGGTGACCATGAAAAAGTGCGTGAATTATGCGTGAATTTCGTCATTGGACCATGAATTCTCAAAATCATTATTAACAATTCAGCCAAAACCCCTAAATGTGCTGAATCAAATACTCCGTATTAAAACCATTCTCGAAATGAACACCGAGATAAAACGTCAAAGTGGGAGTGTCGAGATAAAAAGTTTTGTTGCCATGCCACGAACAGAAACGATTGCGTAGTTTATTCAAGGTCAAATCCGATCGTAACCGACGTCTGCCGAGTAGTCTAGAGATGGGAATTATCGTTGTTTTCCGGCAACGGTTATAACGATAACGCACTGCCCAATAACGTGTTGCGGCAACCTGTTATTTCAATAACGATTGCCAACTCACTCGTTGCCGCTATAAACCGTTGTCCGCCGGTCGGTGTTGCGGCGTTCAGTTATCATTGTCGGTTCTCGGTTGATCAGTTCAGTTTTCAGTTGTAGTCGGGAGTCGGGCGTTACCGCGTTGTCCAGACAGGATGCGTTATTCTAGTTCGTTTCAGAAGTTATCGTTGCTCTGGTAGCGTTGCGGCAACGGCACTAATGGCAATGCATGTTTTCGTTTTCGTTGTCCGCGCGGCTTTCCTGCAACATTGTGTAGATAGATACGTTATTATAATAACAGGGAGTTCTCCGCAACGTGTTGCCGCGATAACGTTGCCGTGGCCGCAACACACAATTGTTATTCATCCTGTTATGTTATAACGCCCATCTCTACCGAGTACCGATCTACCGATAAAATCGATGCTTTCGGAGCTAAAACATCGATCACATCGATGTTTGTTCCGAGTTTCTCGTCTGTTCTCTGCACTGTAACAGCCAATTAACCTAAAACCAATACAATTCAGTTACGGAAAACATCAATATTTCATTACTTTTGTTGGCCTAAAAGACCGATGTAACAAATCAAATCATCGGTTCGGTAATCTACCATCGATGTAAACAAATAACTTCGAACATCGATAGAAAAGACATCGATGTTTCGAAAACATCGACAATCGGGATTGATGCTCGCTCTCATTCTCTACTCTCTACTGCTACTCTAGTGTTCGTGTGGAAGGAAATTCAGAGTAACCATAACCTAAAAGTTTTAAACTGATCTGAGTGATCTGAAACTTAGAAACGAGTCAAACGTTTGAAGTAGTGGTGGACACTGGACAGTGATCACTTGTTGCACTCGTGATTCCGTTTTGTGCTTCTTATAATTGATTACCCAACACTCAGTGGAACAAGTGTTCAAATTAAATATTTTTTATTATTGATATATTATACTTCCGATACTTTACAACGTTAAAATAAGAAGTACCTTGCCTTGCCATAAAGGTCAAAATGGCTTGCGCCGGCTGGAACTTAATCGTCTGCTGTGTTTGTTTTGGTCAAATATGTCGTCATTTCAAACTACTGTCAGTGTTTAGTAAATGTGTTACAACGTGAGATTAAGTTTATTTTTTTGGGCCTAAGTTGCAAGAAGTCAATGTTGTGCTGAAAAATGGTGATTTCGTTCTGAGGAAGGTAAATGTAAATGTTTTGTTGAAGCATTAACTAGGTGTTTTCAGTCAATACGAATCTAACTAATGAGATGTAAATTTAATTAAATAATTGTTTTAACTGTGATTTAAACCTGTGTAGGCAAATAATAATATATAAACTGATCCAATCTGAAGAAACATCCTCCTAACTAAGTTTATTTTAACCTTTTCTGTAATGTAATTAATTATTTTTTTATTACTTAATGTAAGTTAGCCTATGTCTAAACTTACATACATTCCATAACTTTTGTTTCGTTCTTAGCTTTAACTAAATATTTATTTACATAATCTTACCTTTTTAGAGTGTTATTATCAGTCAGTCGGTAACCTTTAATCTTCTCAATAAATAAAAGTTGGTTCAGGCCTAACTTAGCCTAGATTCAGCTTTGGATTACAATGTTGTAGGCTAGCCTACTGTGTTACTGTATAAAGTAATAAATTGCATGTGCGTTTTAGTAGGCCTAGATATGGCCCATTACTAAGATAACCGTTTCTTGATCATGTTCTTAACATTTCTTTTTATAGTAGCCTATTATCTTAATTTGATGTTTAGACAGTAAAGTTGTAGGCCATTGCTGGATTAACTTAACTAAGTTAAACCTTTTATGTTTAGATGCAATGTTTTTTAGGTTAGGCCTAGACCTAACTACCAATCCGACTTATTTTTTTATTTATTATTTCTTCTAACGTTTGAATTTATCATTAGGCCTATGATGTTGTTAAATCAGATGTTTCAATTTTTTAAATAATTACATCGTATTATCACACACAAGATTTTTATTAATATCCTTTTTCATCTGCGATTTTACTTTTTTTAGACTGGATAAATTATATTAAATTCTTATTTTTAACTCTAAAATAAACGCATGAAATGTGTTTTATTTGATAGTAGCACACAAAACTATATATTGTAGATAAATTAATGTACAATTCTGAACTAGGCAACACTCTTTTATGGTGAAATTGTGCGAGCATATACCCCATGAATTTTTCAAAACTACCAATGAAAACCTTGAATTATGCATGAATTTTTTTATCTCACTTTGGTGGCAACCCTGATAAAACTAAAAAAATGGTAAATTTAAAATTCCCATGTTATTCTTATGGAGAATATTGTAAAATGTTGTAGTTTGCTTGTTTATGGATATATTTTGATCAAACTTGGCAAATTTATTTATTTTATAGTAAGCTATCAATATTTTACTAAAAACACACTACTTTATTAGTTTCCTTGTAGCAGCAAACCTAGGTACTCGTTAAACATAATGTTATTTAAATAGATCAATTGAAAATCAATTCGGCCAAATGGAAATTCGCTTAGACGGCAGGTTTGCTGCGGCGGGGGTATTTTCTATATTTATTGTAAAATGCAGGCTTTATATTAGGAGAAACTTTGTTCCCATTGCTGAAGAAAAATATTGCCACTGTTAAAACACCAGAAACAGGGATATTTTCTATTACCCATTCTTGAAATAAGCTTCCCACAATTTTAAAATATTTAGGCTACAAGTCATTAATTTGTACAAGATCAAGGTTGAAAACATTTTATTTAGCAAAGCCTATTACAGCATACATCATTATAATACTGTATGTTCTATCAAATTTTTTTGAATTAAATTAAGCATTTTTTTATAATACTAACTTTTTATAAAATCTTTTTAGTTAAATATTGTAAAAGTCGCCTATTTCTTAGCTGAGCTGGGTTTCCTGTGAATGTATCGGGACATACATTTTTTTGACCAAACCTTATGACTTGGGAACCTGTTTGTGTAGGTGATGAAATATGTAGCAGATCACTGCTCCAGAGCTCCACACGTACCGTTGTCCAATCAGAGGCCTGGAGAGCCTTGCTGTGCGTTGTTCAGTGATGGAATCTGGTACCGTGCTGAAATAATCCGACTCACCACTGACAACAAGGCTTTCATCAACTTTGTAGATTTTGGAAACGAGGAAGAGGTAAGTATCATATTCCTATATTGAAAGTAGACTTCCCGGCCAGTAACGTGTAGAGTTGATGTAGGCTGTTCCTGGGGTTAGCATATTAGACCACGAAAGGTATTTTCAAATTTTAAAAAAATCAACAATATCAGCAATCTGGCATGTACATTTTCCCATTATCGTGTCAACATCCGTCATCATGTGTAAATGGTGGGGGAAACTTTTATGTTTTATGGGGAAAATTACAAAAGTTGCAATAACTTTTAAATCATAATTTTTACAGTAATGGGGGTTGTACCATTTTGAGAGTTAAAGGACTATATCAAACACACTGAATTTTTTTCAAATCTCATCAAAACCGCACCAAAGGTGTGGTCAGCTTTGTACACACCCACACTCTGACATCTCCTCAAAAACCACTTTTTTGGGTTCAGGGGGGCCGAAAACGGATGTTTTACTCAAATTTGTTACTCAGATGTGTTACTCAAAACTCTATAACTCTATGATTTGACGAAAACAATACTTTTTCCTAGGGGTGTGCGAGTACTCGAATCTTCAAGCTTTTTGGTCGAGCTTTTCATTATTCGGCTCGGCTCGAGGCATTTTGAAAAAGCTCGAAGTTCGAGCCGAGCTTTTAATACTAAGTCAAAACTAAAAAAACACTTAATTTGGGTCGTAATTGAAAACAATGTTATCACAATTCTACGTTGTTCATGCATTCGAGGTTTGATAAGCACGAACACGAACCTCAGCTCAGTCAAGACGCAATGATTATCGATCGTAATTTTGAGGAGATACAGTAGTAAAGAGACAATCTACCACCTATCCTATCGCGTTGTCTTTCTAACACAGCTATTCGTAATTCGTATCGTAATACACAACGCAGTGCGAGTGCGTGATTGGCTCGTCGCTATGACGACACATGGTTGCCGTGGCAACCTACAGTGCGCACTGAGCACTGCGCCTTGTGTGGGAGGGGAGATTATACCAACAAACTATTTCAGGAATTCTATTTTGGGACCGATGGAAGATAAGGAAGAAACTAAAAGTGGTCACGTGTGCAAATGTAGTGCAAAATTAAAAGTCTTGAAAACCAACGAGAACATTAAATTTAATAAAAAATGTCTAGAGTATGGTGTCATTCCAAAATACGTATCAATTAAAACTAGCACTAAAACATTTGCTGCAAGACGAGCTAAAGAAATGGCCGAAAAATATTGGATAAAATTTGAAATAAGAACTTTGTATGCAAAAAAGAACATGTTGAATAAACTTCTTTTGAAAACACACTTAGAATTACTCAATAAATTACACCCTAGTCAGCAAACCAATATTATTGATCAGATTGAGTTTCAAGTCAACAAGAAAATCCAAATGAAAAAGAGGACACAAACAAAGAAACTAAACAATCTTGTGAATGTCCAGATAAAGAAGGATATTATAAAATGCAACCATAAATTTCACCCTTCAGTAGTCAATAAAACTCAAATTGAATTTGACGATGAGGAAATCAGTTTATTAAATAAAGGTCTCAATTTCAATTTCGCACGTGGCACCAAGAATTCCTTAGTTTCTGAGCTTTTAAATTCAGAAGCAGCCATCAGAACCATGAAAGACGATAATGCCAGAATGTCAGTCAGAGTTGTTGTATCCAATAAAGCAAAACATGTAACCAACAACGATAACATCAAACGTAAGCTCACTACCACACACAGTTCACTCAGACGTGTAGCTGCACGTATTAGAGATAAGCTCACAGAAAACGAAGCCATTATCTGTAAAGCTGATAAGGGCAGTGCAATAGTCATTCTCACAAAGTCCGATTATGTAAAGAAAGTTTACGACTTTTTTGAAGCAAATGGCATTAATAAACTTAATAGCGACCCTACTATAAAATTCTCAAAGGACATAAATAAGCAAATAAGCTCCAGTAAAAATCTATTATCAGCTACAGAAATGAAATGTCTTAAAGTAACAAACCCTCAACCCCCAATCTTAAGAGGATTACCGAAAATTCACAAAAATGATATGCCCATACGTCCGCTCGTTAACTTTATCCCATCCCCAGGTTACAAAATTGCCAAAAAACTTGATACGATTATAAGAAGAGAATATAAATTCCACAATAACAATAGTCTAAAAAATAGCTCCGACTTAGTTAATAAAATTGCCAATATACAGTTGAAAGATAACTACTTGCTGGCTTCCTTTGATGTGGTCAATTTATACACAAACATCCCGATTGATGAAACTTTGAAAATATTGAAAGAAAACCTATGTAATAACTCTTCTCTCAACATTGCTATGATTGACGAACTAATTAACCTCACCAGAACTGTACTCAAACAGAACTATTTTAAATTTGAAGACGACATATTTTCACAAAATGACGGACTAGCCATGGGTTCGCCCTTATCTAGTATCCTTGCTGAGATTTTCCTAAACCATGTTGAGAATAAATATCTATGGTCAGATAATAACAGACTCAAGAACAAAATTGTGTTTTATTACCGCTATGTTGATGACACGATTGTCCTGTTTAATGGGACAAAAAGACAACTAAAAATGCTTGGCTCATTCCTTAACAGCTTACATAACAAACTAAAATTCACGTTGGAAGAAGAAAACAACAAGTCATTAAACTTTTTGGACCTCACAATATCCAGATCAACAAATAAATTTCAATTTAAAATATACAGGAAACCGACCACATCATCCCAGACAATTCACATCAACTCACATCATCCTCAAAGTCATAAAATGGCAGCATACCACAGTTTCGTCAGCCGATTGCTATCTATCCCTATGAACGATAACGACTACAATGAAGAAATAAATACCATCAAGTTCATCGCAGTCTCTAACGGCTATAGAAGTGATATGGTCGATAAACTAATACATAAACATAAAAACAAAAATAAAACTTCAACCATGAATTCTGAAAAAATAGTTTTTACTTCAACAGAATATGGCATTAGTCTAAACAACACTCTAAAAAATGAGCTGTCGAAAAACAATGTCAAATTATCTTTTAGAACCTCAAACAAATTGTCATCCCTCCTAAAAGAAAAAAGAAAATCCTCATCTGATAAAAATGAACTAACAGGTGTTTACAAAATTAATTGTGACACTTGCCCCAGTTTTTATATAGGTCAAACTGCGCGATCTTTCAAAGCACGTTTCAAAGAACACCTGCCAAAGAAGTCCACACAGAAACAAAACTCCGCATTTGCTGAGCATCTAATTACAAACAATCATTCATACACTTCAATAGACAATAATTTAAAAATTCTACAAATCCACAAAACCAAAGGCAGACATTTAAATGTAATAGAAGAGTACGAAATCTACAAAGCTGGCAAGGAAAATCCCCAACACATTTTAAACGAAAAAGCCTCTTTTGAAAGTAATTTTTTATATGAGACAGCAGTCGGCATTGAAAGAATAGTAACAACACGCAAAGGACCTGATAAGAACTGGAGGAGGGGGAGGGGGATGGCAGATGGACAAGACGGCAGTGACGACAGTCTGGACTAGCAACTTAATGTACGCGTACCGTCCGCCGCGCAGTTAATTTGTGGCCACACGTGTGTTTGTAAATAATGTATCTATGTGTTGTTTCTCGTGACGTATTTATGGACTGTATGACGACCTCTTCGGAGTGATATTTATGTTCCTTCATCGCCTGAAGATGGCCCCACAGCTGGGCTGAAACCGGTCGCCGCTCATCGGTGATGTCTGATCACTTTGACGGATTAAAGGTATTTTAACCTCTAGATTAAATGTAGTGGGCGACACAATAAGGCTGTAAACGAGTATCGTCATGCCGTTGTTCCTTGTTTGTTTACTTTTTCAGATTCCTTATCAAACGCCCCTATCTGCTATCTCTCTTTCTCTCTCTCTCTCTCTCTCTAACAGTGTACTGATTAAACAGATTGTGGTTGACGACTTTTCTACTTATAAGATTCCCTGCGGTTATTTTAGTTCAATCAAACCCATAACCTTTCTAATGTTTATCAAAATAATTAATTAATCTGTTTTGTATTTTATTCCCTTTAAACCAACCCCTATTTACCATCTATATTTTATAGAATAAAATGTTTGTTTATAAAGTTTGACTGGTCACTCAATTTTGTACCTATTTTATTTTGTTTAAAAGTAGGGGCGTGCGGATATCTGAAAAATCGGGTAACCGGGCCCAAATTCGATATCCGACACTATCCGTTATATATCCGGCTTTTCGGATAGACAATATATTTTGACGTTTTGGACAAAAAACTAAATCTCCATAGCCACCATTAGTTTCCCAGGACAAAATTACAGCAATACGTTTCCAACGACCTAACAGCAAACGGCAAAGAAGCCTTGTATGATGCAATACTGATAACTAGTTTAGTCGTTATCGGCTGTTTTGCTTTACGATTAGATTCGTCTGGAACGAACAGACATAAAGCAGAAAAGAACTACCATGGTCAAATGAAAGTCAACTCGTGCTTGTCTCCCTCCTGATACTAGGGGCGCTGCGTAATAGTTTTTTTACAGTACTGTTTCAAATTCAAAGTAGAAAAATCTAGCCTACTACTGTGAAGTTATGTAAACAATAGATTTAATGTTTCCCAAAAAAAAGTCAGAATAGAAACAATAGAAAGGCAACACAATAGAAGGGTGGGAGGGGTTGGGCAATGACTTTGAAAGGAGCGCGGGTATAGTGAGTCAAGTAGGACCGGAGGGGGAAGGGGTGGGTAAGACCTTGAAGCTATATATAGACTTGCACTACTTCCCTAAACCTAAAGGACTGGCCGGCGAGTGGTATTCCAATCACAGGACAAGATACGTTGTGTTTTAGGTATTCATTGCCCGGGTTGACTTTGGATTGTCTTACTGTGTAGAAACTTAGAATAATAAAAAATAAAGTTAGAACTAACCACGATTATTTAGCATTGATTGTGTACATATTAAATGATTAAACTATAGGGACCATGGATATATACAAACTTTTGTCGTGATTTTAATTTCAACATCAAAATACAATATTGCACAATCGTGATATTTTAGGTCATCGACCTTTATTATGCATCCGGTATTGCTGTTTCGGAAGAGAAGCACGTTGATAAATTATAAATTGATATTCCCGTAGTTAAAAAGAATTATTTTATAAATCTATAAAACAAAATCATAAAATCTTACATACAGATAACAATAACGGAAATTGTAAAAAAGGTATAAAGATAAAACGTTATTCTTTCTCTTTGTTCTTCTATTTCTTGGGTTTCCCTTCATCACGCATTCAACAAGTTGCCATGGTTACTAATCACCCATGTCGTTATCAGCTTTTGTGACATAACGCACAGCAGGGGGGTAAAACTTGACGAAAATCGGTTAATTTTTACCTATTATTTAATTACCAATGAATGTACTACTTTATTGGTATTTGGTACTGTATTAATAATCGGTCAAAATGGCAGATTTTTGTCAAATTTTACACCAAATTTATTGAAATTTCAAGGTGAATATTAATAAAACAATTATTACCAAATATTTGTATTAATTTAAAAGATTGATTTGTGGTATTGGGTTCCCCACTGAGTGCAGCCGAGCGGCACTAATGAGGGTCGGACCTTCTTGGGGGTGAACAATAGACGGCTTATCAGACCCTCCCCTCCCCCGTGGTCTGGAGAAAGCTTGTAAACAAACTATTGCACAAGCGACTTGACATTTGGCTGCTTCAACTATAATTTTGTCAAATGAACTGTGATGTTTCAAAATCAAAAACAATAATTTGGGACCATACTGCTTAACAATAATGGACTGCAATTATTGTTAAACATACAATCCATTTTTAACAAACTAAGATTATACGATTCAAATAGAATTATAAAAATTATCTTGGTATTATACTTGGGGTAATGAAGTTATGTAGGCTAGTGTAATTCTCAGTTCATCAAGGTTCTACTGAATAATGTTTGGCAGTGAATAAGTGTAGAATGCAATTTATAAATTCAGGGATACACACCTTTTACACAGTTATAAAGTCGTTAATTAATAGAAATAGTTAATTCTGGAAAATTAAAAATAGTGATCGCATTCATAAACCTGTTGTCAAAACAGCAACACGGGTGTAAGGGTTTATTGTTTTAGATGCAAGGGTGTTTCAAGGACAAAGTACAGTGTTGGGCCTCCCGGCTTAGGGGGGGAGGGGGGCGGTGAGACTGTGTGAAGAGGAGGAAACTGGTTTTGGCTATTTATTGATTAGTTCCCTGACCCTTCTAGATAACAAAATTGAGTGACAGTATTAAATCATCGTGTACTTTATTTCATTTCTTGTTTACTTTGTGTGTTATTCTATTAATTTTAGTGTTTTGGTCTATTTCCTCTATGTCAATTATATCTTTTTTAATATATAAGTTTACTTTTTACTTGTCTCTCCACCTTTTTGGATCCAAACCAACCATGTTCTTTTTTTGATTAATACGATTCATAAAACAAAAATATTTTGTGCATGGAAAACAAAAAGAATAATCACGTGTTTTAAAATTTATTTTGTATTTATTTATACAAAATAGAATTAAATATTCATAGTAGTTACAATATACATTATGTAATCGAGTTGCTAGTTGTTTTGTCGTCATTCAATGTCGCGATGCTGTTCTGTTCAAGAATCAAGAATATTTATTTGCCATTAAATAACAGAACGTTACTGTTATGAAAGACAATCTGATTGTCTCAGTCTGCACTGCATATCTCGTCAGGCCTTCAATCGATATCCTTTTATTTCTTGCATCTTAATTTAGTTCAGTTCAGTTCTTATCGTGATTATCTACTATTTGATGTCTTGACAATTCTCAACGTTTTTAAACATATTAAAATAACATTGTGTTTATTTAAAAATTGACAGAACATTATTATTATTATGCACTTTTTTAAGAAAAAAAGTTTAATAACTTAGATAAGGTGACGCTAGGAAAAGCTCGGCTCGAAAAAGCTCGAGCTCGAAAATTTTTTAAAAAGCTCGGCTCGGCTCGGCTTGAGGTTGAAAATCACTATTCGCACACCCCTACTTTTTCCTTATATCATAGGTAGAGAAACAAAACATTAACCCTTCGCGGACGGGTGAAGGATATATCCACCTTTGATGTCTTTGGCGATAAAGGACGGGTGGCGGTTATATCCGCATATGGGTTGTTATGTTTCGGACGGGATACGGATATACCCGCCTTATTTTCAGACGGTCTGGCTTGTGTTTTTTCAGTACTCAAATATCTCGGGCTACCAATGCGCTACTTCCCCACGCTCTCCGCAACCCCTGCGACCTTGAAAAGCGACACGCCAGCCCCCGGCCGCCCTCTCCCGCGCTCCTCCTCCACCAATGCTGGGTGCGCAGCACAACGTTGACTTTGTTGGCGCTAAAAGCTACAGTTGTTGTCTGTCTAGCAGCATGAAATATTGATAACATTTCTGTTCTTTATTGCCTATCCTTGTCACGGCCATATTTTCATAGACGGGCGACAGATATAACCGCAGTTTTCCTGCTTTGCCGCACCATTTATTTTGTGCATATAAACAAGTAAAAAAGTAGATAGTATGAGATGTTCCATTGTGTTTATTTTATGTAGGCTAGGTACAGTATACAGGTATAAAAAATTCAAATAATAAAAATTAACTATTTTTATTTGTATAATTTTTGCCTGTCATAAGCCATAAAAGTTGGCACCTGTCCGGGAAGGGTTAAATGTTAAATGTGAAAATAACCTGCAAACAAGCTTATTGAAAACAAGTTAATAACACATATTTTGGAACTCTTTGAACTGAATCTTAAATTATATTGTAAAAAATTGATTCTTGAGTGTTAAGTTTTACAAATTGTTAGTTAATTGTGCATTTCTCCTTACAGATTGAAATAACAAACCTGAGACAGATTAGTCCAGAATTAGTGAAGTCTTTGAAGGCACAAGCGATTTTATGTTCCCTAATTGGATATGAGAACAGGTAAGACTCTGTTTAGTCTGTACCCCTACAATAACATGCATTAAAATATCTAAAGCTTTTTACGGGAAGAAATTTCCACTACAGTGACAGTTTTTATTATGTATAGATTTTACTTGTAGATGGATGACCCACCTCCCCAAACCACATGCCAGAGTTAATTTTTGTAGAGAGTGTTGTAAGTCAAATAATGTCAGCACTTGTAATTTCAATAGTGTTTTTAATGTCAAAACAAACTTAACTTCCGGTTGGCCTACTCAATATCCATTTTCTTACGACTCATATTAATAGGCCTACAAAATAATAGTGTACGATAGCCAGTTCGGTTAAATAGGACGGCTGAGTCTTTAATAGTCTTAACGTAAGCTAAAGCAGACTAAAGGTATGTGTTAATTGCTTTGAAATCCAATCCTGTAAAAATATTAATGTAAATTATGCTTATTTTTTATACAAAAACTATCGGGATACCCAGCTTTGCTCAGATTGAATAAAATATTATATTTAACTTAATTAGTTAAATTAGAAATCATTTATTGTTATATACACATTTTAATAGACCTTTATTAATACATTATAATTCACATAATGTAATGTTTTACAACTTATTCTTTATCTGCCCAAATGAAATGTCATTATTGCTTTTAAAATGGAAATAAACATGCATTGCAATCGTCAAAGTAACTTAAAATATAAAATAAGTACCATATATCATACAGTGCAAACCATGTAAAAACACTGACTGCTCAGTTAACAGCGCTTAGGGAGATCCTCAAGACAAGATGACCATGTCATGTAGTGGTTATAGGTGATTGAGTATTTTCCACTCAGACAACTCAATCATTTATAAACAAAATTTTCCAGATACAACGTAGCTGAAGAGATATCAAACCGATTGGAGGAGCTGATTCTTGAACAGCAGGTGATGATGCACGTGCAGGATACTGTAGAAATGCCAGGACAACTGAGCAAGCTGATTGTGAGGCTGATAAATACAGAGGGAACGGACATAAATAATGAGTTGGAAATGAACCAAGCCCCGGCCCCCGTCCAAAACAGCTACCAGGCTCCAGCGCCAGCCAAGCCTACGCATACAGCACAAAACAATCATGCTGACGGCGGTGAGTGAGCTCAAGTTTATCCATGTGGGGAGTGGAAAATAATTTTGTATTTTGAAAAGCTCTTTTATTAGCTATATTAATTTATTCAAGGGATTATTGATAACATTTTCTATCATGATTAAAATAAAAACAAAGTTTTCACCGAGTTTACCGATCTAGATACTGATCCGGTCCTCAGGTTAGAAAGTTCCTGAACATAACAAGACATACGTAAACTTATTCAGTAATGAGTTGGTTGCTGATTTTTATCGGTTCTGGTTTGTTAAGTTTGTTTTCTGCTTTGTGGTTTTTTTTATCAATTAAATAAAATTTTTCTCTACTTACAAAGAGAGAGAATTTTACATGTTTTTGATTGTAATTTGTTCCTGTAATATATTATATGTTGTGGAAAAGTCGGTATTGGCTAAAAATTCTTATTTAGAAACACTAACAACTTCTCCTTTTCCTGTTTACATTTGATATGGGGCAACCTAACTATCTTATCTATATAATTAATATGATAAGGTATTTCTCTGTAATACAGTAGAACTCAAATTATCTTAACTCCAACTATCCAAAGCGCTTACAGAGAAAATAATTTTTTTAAATCTGAAAACCACAGTAATAAGAATCATTGTTATATAAGGCAAAGGCTGTGATCGCAGAAAAATTTAAACACCCTCACGCTTAACATGAAAACATCATGCGATTACGAATACACCTTTTTTCCCATTCATCGCAAATTCATGCACAACTTCTGCGGTCTTGCAGAAATCATAGACCTAATTGTCGCGTTCACAGAAACATAATTATACAGGGTGATTGGTAGTCAGTGTGACAAAAAATTTTTTGTGTAAGTACAAAGTAAATGCAGTGTGATGATGCATATAAAAGGTTCCAAGTCAAAAAATTAGCTTCCCAAAGAATTGTTTTATGTTTTTAAAAAATAACTATGTTTTTAAACTTAATACACCTATTTAGCAATTACCTGTAAATGGATTTGAGAAGATAAGGTCATTTTCGTGTTCTACATAAAATTTTGAATAAGAATAATGGAAAATGACAGGGATCAGTTGTAAAAACTCCATTGTAAATAGATTCAAAGATAAAAATTAAGATGTTTGATAAAAATTTAAAAACATTGGTCTATTGCATTTGTTCACACCCTGTATACAAGAAAGTGTCGGAATATGTTAAAAACTGCACCATTTTATAAGCTTTCCAACCATATGCTACACCATTGAGCTTTATGTCTGCTTATGTACGCTTTAGTGGTTTGAAGACTATAAAGCATGGTGTCTTTAACATTTAAAACATTGAAAGTCGGCATGAATTAAGCAAAAATTGTATTTTTGTTTCAGCTTGAACAGTAAAAACAGTAAACAAGTTCCCTGTTTTCTGGTATTCAAACCACTAAAACAAACAAAGAAATATCTAAACCTCAATAGTGTAGCATATGGTTGGAAAGCTTATAAAATGGTGCAGTTTTTTAACATATTCCGACACTTTCTTGTATACAGGGTGTAAAAAATGCAATAGACCATTGTTTTTAAAATTTTTATCAAACATCTTAATTTTTATCTTTGAATCTATTTACAATGGAGTTTTTACAACTGATCCTCCGTCATTTTCTATTATTCTTATTCAAAATTTTATGTAGAACACGAAAATGACATTATCTACTGAAATCCATTTACAGGTAATTGAGAAATCACTGTATTAAGTTTAAAAGCATGGTTATTTTTTAAAAACATAAAATAATTTTTTGGAAAGCAAATTTTTAGACTTGGAACATTTTATATGCATCATCACACTTCATTTACTTTGTAATTACACCAAAAAACTTTTGTCACCCTGTATAGTCTTCTGTAATTTGGTAGCAAAATGTGAAACATATTTCACGGTCCTTCAGCCATAATCATCAACTCCCACAGTCATGAAAAGAACATTTTCTACTATACACATCATAATAAAATTGTCTCCTGTGTTCATGAAAAATCATTATCACCCTTCGCGATAGCGACAAAAACGTGAACTTTCAGATTGGGAAAACTTCACAGACGCATTCTGCAATCCCAATACAGTAGACTCCCTCTTATCCGGACTCCTTGGGACCAAGGTGTTTTTTCCGGTTAAATCGACGTCCCCAAAAACTCGTTAAAACGGACCGTTTACTGTGATGTTCGACTTGAATTTAGGAGAGCATTGTATTTAGACACGTTATCACTGGTCTCAAATCTTTCCCACGAGAACAGTTGTTACAGTACTGCCTACTTCCTGCCAATCTAGTCCGGTTAAACCAATGTGCTGATAAAAACTGTCCGGTTAAAGAGATGTCATTTCCGCCAAGTGTAGTCCAGTTGAAAAGTGTCCGGATAAGAGGGAGTCTACTGTAGTAAAACCTCTACCAAGGGAAATTAAGGTCTATTGTTTCCCCATTTCGGTGTAATTTTAATGGAGTGACTGCTTGTGATCTAACGGAGTTACACATAAAATAACAAGTAACATGGTAATCTTTGTTAGGAGTCTGCCCCTTTAGCCGTTCTTTCATTTTCAAACAACACATTTAAGTGTTAATGCTGCTGACCCACTTTCTTTATAACCATTATTATGTTGAATACGGGATGTTTAGTAGGCCTAGTTGGGAAAACAGGAAAATTGGGATTTAATCTTTATTTTGTTGTCACAGTGGTCACAAATTTTCAATACAGGCATTTTATAGTGAATCTTAGTAATCGGGAGCCTACCCGTAAAAAAACAAAAGCCGAACTGATACCAAATCATTAAATATCGCTACCAGCACAACAAGTACTAAAGCCACATTGTGGCAATGTACTGCTTGAAAGTGGGGATGTTGTTATACAGTATTAGTACAGTACAGTACAGTACAGTACAGTAGTAGTAGTACAGTACTGGGGGTGTTGCCAGTATACCGGTAGCTTAATAGGATTGTAACAGAAGTGGTCATTGGTGAGGGTAGCAAATGTGATAAGTGATACATAGTTTAAACATGTTATGCTTTAAAGTCCCTGCTGTGATCACATAAATTACCTTAAAATGCAGAGTGCTGTATAAACTAGTTTTTAAATATTGCAATTTATTTTTTCAGGCTGGGAAGATACGTCAGCTGCTACTACACAGAATAACAGCTGGGGACAGTCAGAATCACACGGACAAAGGTATTTCAAATTGTCCTTAAAAATAATATGTGGTACAGTCATGGTATATATGGTATCATGGTAATATATGGTACAGACTCATGTTAAAATTGTGTTGTATGAGTAGTTTTGAGCCTTATCTATACTGGAATGCTGTCTAAAAGTCATAAAAAAAGTGTTGACGTTTCAGCCTAATCTATAGCCGACTTGTTAACCAGTAAGGTCTGCGAATAGGCCTAAGCAACACAATACTAGAACAAATAACTAAATTTATTAAATCTCTAAAATTAACTATTGAAGGGTAATGAAATTAGAATGATAAACTACTACTGTTACAATTAACTAATTCCCGTTTACAGCTTATGATGGATTCTTTTGTTAAAGTAAATCCGTCCAGATCCTATAAGGTCTATGGTAATAGCCTTTTCATAAGAAATTTGTTAAACGAAGGAGTAAAGGTGGCTATGGGGATGGGAAGGCCGTAATAAAAAGTTGTTCATTCTATTCACAATAAGTACTTGTATCTAAATATTAAGAAAACTCACAGTACCCAAGATATGCCAAGGTCAGGGAAATTTACAGAAAACGGTCAGGGAATTCACTAAAGATATAATTGTAGGAACCATGGAAAAGGCCTTATATTGTATTAATACAGTATAATGAATATATATTTTTGTTTGTAATATATTGATATTGGCAATAAATATATGAGAATACGTAGTTACCATGGATAAAACATATTCCTTTAGTAGATTTGTCATTATTATTGAGCAGCTGTTATTGTTAGTTCCGTATGGTGTCATTAGGATCGTTACAATATAATTCTTGATATTTCAGTTAAATTTAAAACCTTGTTTAACCAAACAGTAAAGCACAAATCACGAAATTAACCCTAAAATAATAGAAACAAGATTTTGTCAACGATAGCGCCAAGTGTCACCAACATGAACCAGACACTAAAAATGAGCTTCAAATTTAACATTGGGCTGAGAAGTCTACTTGTGTTGGTTAGTCTACGTAGGTACCTATGGAATAAAATTAAGTTGTCTTAAAATTGTTTTACTCTTAAATTGACTATTAATACATTTTCCTCTTGTTATTCCCCCCTCTTGTGTAAAGAATAATGCAAAGGAGTGTGAAAAATCCTAAGGTGAGCACAATGTTTCCATAACAGTAGTGGTTTATATTATAACATTTTGTTACTGTTAGGTACAATAAAAGTTGGAAAGGACAAACACATGAATGGAGGGATTGGCATCAAGCACCAAACAAACAACCCCGGTAACTTAGTTGTGGCATGGTCGTTGTTCTGTGTCTGTAGCGCACAACTTTATTTTATTCTCTTTTTTTGCTTAAGTTGTGTGAGGGAGTGTGGTTAAAAAATATATAAATTACTTGAGGACAAAGTAATTAGGTTAATAGTTCTATCAATATTAACGCTTTCTGTGCCTCATTAACCAAAGATCGCAAAACATAATTTCACAATGGCAGGGACAGAATTAGTTCTTTAATTGAATCACATTAAAAAAAAACTCAGATAACACTTCAACATATGCTACTCTATCAAACCTAACTAACAGAAAACCAATAGAATACAGTATGTGTTTATACAAGCAAAACATTGCTCCACTTGGGTAAATTTACGCAGATCAACCAGCTCAAAGGTATGGCATTGTTCATTGTTAAAACCATTGTTTTGCCAATTGTAGGGGTGGGCGAGTACTCGACCTTCGAGTAATTACTCGAGTTTTTCAAATACTCGGGTCGAGTAGTAATTACTACTCGAAAATTTCGAGTCGAGTAGTTATAAATAGTGCCAATTCACGATTTTCTACATCCATATTTAATAAATTATATTTTGTTTTGTGTTGATGCCTTATTTAATCCCCATTCCTACAAAAAACAACTATCTTACCTCATATAGGTTAGACCAGCGTAAACCAAATGTTCAACAAACACCCATCGTCATTCGGCAGAGCTAGCAAGAGGACTACTACTACTAACAACAGACTTTCACTTTACAACAGTCAACAATACGTCTCGATAACGATACAGTAAGTTGAAATAAAGCATTGAATGAATCTATCGAATTGCAATAGTCGATAGTCAACAAGGGAGTCTCGTGACTAGTAGGCCTAACAATGGCAGACGATTCTTGAAGATATTATAAAGTACAGTATCAGATTTAGTTTGAACTGCCATAAAAATATTTTATACCAAAATATAGAAATAACAAAATATTTTATACCAAAATATAGAAATACAACAAATAAAAATAACCTATTGTAGCATAATATTTTTTCAAATTAATCGGTATTGTTGGTGTTTAGTTTTACAAACCGATAAGTTACTGCAAGGAACATCGATGCATCTGAATGACGCAATCTCATTGGGTCTAGGCAAATGGCAGAAAGAAAAGATCAGTTCCACTTTAAACTCAGTGTTGCCAGATGGACGATAATTTTTGTACTTTTACAACTGTGGTATTGGCGTAAACAAACTATAAGTATAATTTTCTAATGAGTTTACAGAAACATGATTTAAATTAGTCAAACTATTAACTTTTTTTACGAAATAAAAGCTATAACAATTTTATGATAATTTTGCCGACATTCACCATAATGGTGTAATGATAAAAATGGCAACGTCAGCCCTGCAAAACAGCTGTTTGATGGGAAAACAAAGCAGAAGCAGACAGCAGGAGCAGACTGACTAGAGAGAGAGAGAGAGAGATAAAGATGGTGACGCATAGCAACAACAAGAACAAAACAAAACAATGGATTGGAGTGAAGTTATGTCAACTTTGAATGTTTTTACTTTGAAGTGAATTTGTGACTTAAAATAAAATTGATTTTGTCAGTGGAAGTTTAATAGAAAGTAAAATAAACATATTCTGTTTGTGATTTTGATTGTACAATTTTCAATCTGGTGGCAGAAACATGACAACTACAGTTTGAATTGTAACTTAATCTAGAAAATGTGAGTTTATAAAGAAAGGCCAAATAGGCTATACCAGGCTACAGTGAAATGTGTTTTAATTTTAAATAAAGTGTTTAATGTGGGATTTTATTTCGAGATAATAGGCCTACTATGTTTTTATTTGATATTTTCAGTCTGTCAGAGACGAGTGACTTGATCATTTTTATAAATGTAATGAGTGAAGAGGATAGCCCTAGTACCCATAACCTTCAAACTTCAGACAGATGAAGTGCTTATCCAAGTGATTACCTATTTTAAAATACCTCATTGATGTTTTTAACTTGTGATACAATATGTAGTTTGATATAAGTTTTCTGTTAAATAAATAAATTTATTTTTATAAATTCTGTTTCTTATTTGAATTGAAATTATTCTTAAAGTTAGGTACCTTATTAATTTAGTTAGTTAGGTTGATTATCATGTTAGTGAGGAGGAATTAAAGGCAAGAAAAAATAAAACACACAATAACAAGTGATGTGTAGGCCTAAATAATTTAATGCTGCAGCCAACAAGTAGTCTAGGCCAAATTTTTTACTAATAATTTGGTACTAATAATTAGTAACCATATAACTCAGAAAATTTGGTATAAGTACGGTACTTAAACTACCTATTTAGGCCTAGGCAGGGTTTAGGCTAGGATGAAATTTTTTTCAGCAAAATGCTGCAAACTCTCTGCAAAGACAAAAACTTAGTTAGGCCTAACTGTAGAAAAAATATTATTCAATAACTTAAGCATTTAAAACAAAAAAATCCAGTAGGCTAATATTACATTTTGTTTAAACATTACATCTTTCAATTTTATTTGTAGAAAATTTGCCATAGGCCTAGCCTGCAAAACAATGTAAACTTAGCATTTTTAAGTTGTGAATAGCAAGATGCTAAAAATACTACCGCAGCATAAACCCTGGGCCTAGGCCTACTTAACGCGCGACTACTCGACTCGACTCGAATTGAAAAATCACTACTCGCCCACCCCTAGCCAATTGTTAAACTAAGTTTAACCCAGAAAAGATTGCTCTTGAAATTTGTGAAACAAATAATTTAAATAACAATACAGTAGTTGTAAACAAACTTGTTATTGCTTTCTGGAATTTTAAAAAAATCTCAAAAGACTCTTCTTTACCCCCCACAAAAGGGCAAAACATGTTAAAATAGTCATATCATGTGTATCGTACCTTGCACTGACCGTTTGGTAGGCATATTATTTTACTTCTAAAGATATTGTTAAAAATTGTGTGATAGCAGCTTAAATATCCCTGAATAAACTACTGGAAAGTGTACTGTGCTTCCTGAAACAAGTGTAATTTATTCTGAAGAGAAATTATTTGGTTTAGGATTACTTCAACTGCCTTTCAGATCTGTTTAAAAAGTGTATTGCAACAAATGTATATAGGCTCAACATTGCAACAAATGTATATAGGCTCAACATTGCAACAAATGTATATAGGCTCAACATTTTCCCTCTGCTGCTAACATAATTTTTTTATTGAATTCAAGCTTTTTGCTTATACTAAATGTTGTATTCATTATTTCTATCGTTTTGTGTTTGTTCTACATGGACAAAGTCTGCTTTTTTATCTTTTTTAGATAGATATAGAGGCTAACATACCTTGTCTGTCTTCAGCCTTTTAGTATCCCAAAAAATTCGAGTTGAGTTGTGTGTGGTCTGCCATACAACCTGCATTGGGCTGTCTTAAATCTAAGGGTGGTCGGCCTATTGTTTTAATGTTTAAAGATTTTTAACGTTGTGTCTTGTCAATATACTTGTGTAATGGTGAAGATCTTTGTTGGGTATTTCTCTTCAATGTGATTTTTGATTTGATAAATGGGTCATCCAACCCGAAACTAGTAGCCTAATCCATTGACTCCTCGAAAAGGCTAAGACAAACAAGGTACTTTGACCTCGTGGCAATAATGTAGACATTTTTTGTTCATTTTAAGACATTGGTTTGGGTTGTCTTTGCCACTGTTAAATTTGCTTAAGTTTGTTGTGTGAAAATTACAATTATTTCATTAAATACTCACATTTTATTAGGTACTATTATCAATGGTTACAAGACTGATTGGTTACATTTTGCTACATTTTATTACTTATCACATTTTATTGAACTAAAATAACCTAAATTATTATAAAAATAATATACCAATCTTTTGAAACTAAAGACATAAATATATATATTTTTTTTATACACCCATGGGATCCCTTATATGTTAAAAATTATGTTTTTCCATTTACTTATACAGAGTTTAAATTAATCTTGAATGTAGTTAATTATTGTAAAAACATCAAGCATGGAGAAGGAAGTAAAAATACAATTTCAAATTCATCAAGTTTAAGCTTAAAAGATGCACTAACACACTAATCTTTATAATTAAATGTTTGCAGTGAAGAAAAGAAGCAGTGGAGATCGAGGGAAGGTGGTGAAGCCGAATCAAGATTTAATAAAGATAACGGAAGGCGATTTAACAGAGATGATGAAAGCAAGCCTTTCAACAGAGATGACAATCGGAGTGGGAGATTTAGTCGAGATTCAGACTCTAAAGGTGATGCAAGGTTCAACCGAGATTCAGATTCACGCGGAGGAAAGTTCAATGAAGAGAGAGGAAATAAGTACAACAAGAGTGACGATGAAAAATCAACATGGAGGAAAAAAGATGATGACTCTGGTGGGTGGAAACCTCGAGGTGACCGAGAAAGTGGCGGTGGTTGGAAACCAAGAGAAGAAGGCAGTGGTGGGGGATGGAAATCCAGAGAAGAAGGCGGTGGTGGGGGATGGAAACCTAAAGAAGGCGGCGGTGGTGGATGGAAATCCAGAGAAGAAGGCGGCGGTGGTGGATGGAAATCCAGAGAAGAAGGCGGTGGTGGTGGATGGAAATCAAAAGAAGAAGGCAGTGGTGGTGGTGGATGGAAACCAAGAGAAGAAGGAGGTGGTGGTGGATGGAAATCCAGAGAAGGTGGTGGCGGTGGATGGAAACCCAGAGAAGAAGGCGGTGGTGGTGGATGGAAATCGCGTGAAGACGGTGGAGGAGACAGAAGAAACAGGTTGGTGTTTACTATCAAGCTATTGTACATTTACATTAGGTGTAAAGAGATTTTGTCCCTGCGCTCTGACGCTCTCTGTTCTATATATATACTTCAAAATCTTAGCTAAACTACGCTGGTGATTCATACATTTGTAACTAAGCAAATTTTACTTGTTTCCCTACAGATTTGATGGTGAAAGAAGAGGAGGTTTCAATAAAGACTCAGGCGATCGAAGCAGTTTCCGGAAACCATGGGATAAAGGTTTTAAGACTTTACTTAAAAAAAACAAAAACTATAGTTACAGAGATTTACCTAGATGCCTTGCTAAATTCTTAATTAAATTCATCTGTCGTTTTATACATTTACCTTGAATTTATCATAGAAACATGTAATTTTATTTTTCAACTAATATGAACTGGAAAGTTAAAAGATGATGTAGTAGCAGTGTTTAATGATTAGTAAATAACTCGACAGTCATCAGCTGACAGGCCACACGTCTAGCTGGCTTTGTCGTTCTATTGTGTTTTACTTTTCAAGTTTTAATTGATAAATATTCAACATTACATTTTAAGATTCACTCAATATATAAAAATATTATAGTAATAAATGTCTATTAAAAAATTAGTATGTCATGCATTGATTTAACTCATTACAAATTTCAATGTTCTGGATAACTTGACAATCCCCAAACTCGACAACCTAGAGTTAGTGAGGTTTTACTGTATAATATTTTAGGAAAAAATTGTTCATATACATTTTAATAGTTAAATATTTGTTTTTTATCCTTTTTAGCTGGAGGTGATAGATCAGGTGGAACAAAGTCACCTAAGGTAAGTCCAATTTTCACTTAAAAGCTTAGTCATGGGGGCTTAAATAGTTTATTTTTACTAAAAGTGATCATGTTATTGTAATATTGGGGGTGTTATAGAAGAGGAGCGCACATAAAAGGTAATACAGTGCAATATTGAAATTCTAAAATGTAGGCTATATACTTTCTCTCTCAACATACAGTTTGGCAATATATGGGGACACATCAAAACAAAATCTGGACAACATTTTGATATTTCAAAAGAAGGCTATAAGAATTATTCGCAATCTAGACGAAGACGATTCAGTAAACAACACTTTTCTCAGCTAAAAATTCCAACGGTGTATGACCAGTACATTCTAGAATGTATAATCTGTGTCAAAAACCAATTCCATAAAGTGAGTTCACAGAAATGACCATTTCTACTTTAAAAGAAATAGAGACGCAATAAACTTATTCCAACATAATTACCCATTTTATAGAAAAAAAGCAACCCACAACCCACATTATTCTATTATGTATTCTTCTACAACTAGTTTAATCCAAATTGTACATGCTGTTCCTCCTGGAGATACCACCATTAGTACCCACATACCAAATTTGGTCAAAATCAGACCACGAGTGTAGTCTACGTCCACACACACACACACACACATACACACCAATCACTTTAAAAACCATACAAAACACACAGGGGCACCCAAAACTTTTTTTCACCCAAAACTCAAACTCAATAAAGATTACCAAAAACAATACTTTCTCTACGTATTTAGGGAAAGGAAGTAAAAATATATATTTTATCTTTTAAATTTGTTTTTAGCCCGACACAGTTGGAGGGATGCCTCATTCCACTGTCAAAGTTGGGCAGACGGATAAAGTGGAAGTTTGCTTCACAACCTCGCCTCTTGACTTTTACGTTCAGCTGAGCAACACGTTCGAGGAACTAACCCAACTGATGGACAAGATTGCTACCGGTTGTGACTCTGGTGAGCATTTTACATAAATTACCCACATTGTTAATGTGCTTTACCTTTAAACAATTCTTCAGCACTATGACTATGTCATCAGGCGCACATAGCATGTTAGCCATGTCAATTGATGAAAATAAGTGGTAATGGGAGGAGGGAGAAAAACACTGTTAACTGAAAAACTGAAAAATAATTATTAACAAGTATCTTAAAATCCATAAATAACATTTTTACATTGTACAGGCTGTCCGAACTGGGAACAACAAGAGTTGTAAATGAATTTTGATGACCGGGAAAAAATCTGAGAATTGTACGTGAGTTTTGTAAAGAACCGAGGAATTTGAATTTTCTTTAAATCACTGTAAAAACCACCTGCAATCAAGTGAAGTCATCATGACCAAAAAAAAAACAAAAATACAGAGTTTTTCAATGTTGAAGTTGGCTGTCATTTGGGAAAATGGCAGCTATTTTTTTAAAACAATGACATTTTTTAAATCTAGATGTAATTATAAGACTTGCCATTTTTTTCTTAGGAGTAGACAATAGACAATAGACAAAGCTTTATTGTACATAACGCCTGATACAATAATTACAAATGTAATTCCCAAGCTGGTACGTGGTCAATTTATATTTAATTTATATCTAGGTTTCTTAATCTAATCATACTCTAACAAGAGTAAAAACTATTAAAATTTATCTTTAAAAAACGTCTGAATTTTGTAATACGCTTTCTGGCTGAAAGTCTCTTTCAGCTTGTAAGTAAAATTTGATTTTGATAAAGTTCTGTATGAATTAGGTAAATGATTGTAGATTTTTAATCCCATGTAAAGAGGCCCAGTTTCAAATTTTGTGTGCGAATGTTTGGGGTATTGAAAAGTTTTGTTATTATTTCTCGTTTGATAGTTATGACTTATTTTAAATTTTTCATAAAAGAAAGGATATGCATGAACATACTTTGCTATTTAAAATATATAAAGAGATGGTAATGTTAAAATGGAATGTTTTTTGAAAAACACACTGTATCTCCTAAATGGCATTAGAGCAAATCAAGAACAAAACCTTTTAAAATTGCATTTACATTTTTTTTATCAGAAAATACTCAATTGAAGCTGTTGTGGCCATATTGGAAAATGGTGGTCATATTTTCAAAACTCGAAACCATAAAAAAAAATCTTAAAAAATAAACGGGAGTTCCCAATAATAAGTTAACTGTCCTCATAATAAAAAAGTTAGCTATTTGTTCACTTTAGGTTAGGTGAGACACCCTGTATAAGTTTGTACAACGAAAAAGAAAATCGGTCCCAGGCCCAGTCTTACCATGAGACCTACAGTAGCTTATTCTTTGTATGGGGAATTTGCTGAAATCATGTCAACACCATGTTATTTATTCCATTACTATGTTATGAATGTCTATCCTAGCATTAGTTATGGCATGGTGCAGAATTATCTAGAAAAAAAGTATAGGCTAATTCTTTACTATTTCCAGGTGATATATCAGACACGACGGATGTCCAAGAGAAGTCAGGATGTCTAGCAAAATACTCAGAAGATGACTCTTGGTACCGAGCGGTTGTCTTAGAAAAGAGCTTTGACTCAGTCAAAGTACTCTTTGTTGACTATGGCAACGAGGAAAATGTATCAACGGACAAAATTAAGGTATGTAAATTTTTCTGTTTAGCTTCTGTATTTAATTTAGTTTAACAATTCTAATAATCACCTATTGTATAACTAACATACTAGCCCTACCTTTTTTTTTTACTGGATAAGAGAACTGTATGCCTATATGCGAAGCAGTCTCTAAATTCTGAGGTCAAATTAAACTTGTTTTGAATATTACCAAAGGGATGGCTGCAAAAACGTTTGCAAATTTCAACTACTTAATAGGAAAAGAGAAGTTTCATGTCTTGTTGGAATGTGGAATCTGACCTTATCCTAGGTGGAAATGATGGAACTAAGACAAAATAGGTTGACTGGGCACCACCATCAAACACCCGGTCAAAAATCCCTGGTTTGTTATGGTTGTGTGTTGATTACGCAGTGTTCATATATTCTTTTATTTATTTTCGCTTATTTTGTTTCCTGTTCTTTAATTCTGCTTTTGTTCATTCAAACTAAGTTGGATATCCACCTGTTTCAGACTCTACCAGAAGATATGATAACATTGCCAGTACAAGCCATCAAATGCAGACTGCTGGGTGTGCCAGAAACTGCTGAAACCGAACCTTTCAAAGCCTTGGCAGAAGGCAAGCCTCTCAAAACACAGTTTGTGTCAAGAAATTTCATCACCAAAAGTTTTGAGGTATGCAAGACCTATGTTTTTAATACAGTCCAACCTCGGTATAACGAATCTGAAGGGACCGAACTGAATATTCGTTATACCAAGGATTTCGTTAAAATGAGGTTCGTTATATAGAGGTTAGGTTTGCAGGAATTTCGCTAAGTCGAGGTTCAGAACCAGCATCAGTCTATATAGGTCGGGATTGGACCTCATTAAAACACAATTAAAGTAGCATAGGCTGCTTACTCCAATCCACCTAAAACCTAGCCAAACACTGTATTGCATAGTAATAAACCACGTAAAGAACAAAACAAAACAGTAGAGAGTTTTGTAAGCTACTGCTCGTGATAGGCCGGTGGTAGGCTACAGTAGTGCTTTAAATCACAATAGAGAAATGTACTGTAATTATCATGAACTTAGTACAAATCGTATTGAAAATAATAAAAATATTAGATAGGCTAAGTCGTTATTGAAGTGTATAATGATAGCCAACTTAAAGATAATAAAAACACTCGTAAAAGGAATGTTAAGATATCCATGTTGCTATTCTTTTTCTTTGCCTTGATCTTCTATTCTTTTTCTTTCTAAGGTTTCTCTTCATCCAAAAATTGTACAATTCACCATATTACTTATCACCCAATCACAGCTTACTACACATTACGGCGCCATCAGTCCTCGGTGAATGAAATCAGTTCTCAGTTAGTTGTAAACATAGCGCGCATGCAACGACGACAGCAGACAGGGATGTGTAACGGAGCAGACGAATGTTAGCGCAAGCGTTGACGTCACCTTTCCATTTCATTTGATGAAGAAACAGATTTTTCAAAAGCAATAATGGTGGTGGGGGGTTTGTTGTATCGAGGGAGAGACGCAGACAATTCGTTAAGTAGAGGTTAAATTCGCTATGTAGAGGTTCTGACAATGATAAATTCGTTATATTGAAGTGTCTTATTTTAGCCGGGATCAAGAAAAATTCGTTAAATCAAGGTCGTTGATATAGATTGTTCGTTATGTAGAGGTAAAATCTACATTGTGTCTTATGGAGAGTTCTAGGGGATTTAAAAAAGTTCGTTATATCAAGGAATTCGTTATATCGAGGTTCGTTATATCAAGGTTAGACTGTACTTTAAGTTTCTATACTTTTTGCTAACTCATCATTAAATGTCTTTAAAATTTCCATTCATTACTTATCCATCCGTCTAGGGTTATAGGCCTAAAGCTGCTGCTGTAGGGATTAAGTCTATTTTTCTTAGATAATTATTTTCGGTTTAAAAAGTTATGTTCTTCTCTTTGAACACATTGATGTACAATCAAGTTGCAAGGTACAGGTATAGCTGCTAGTATGTCTATATTTTCAAGATGTAAATTTAAATAATATGTCCATTAGTCACAGTTATTTGACTGAAAATCTACTAAGGTTAGTTTTGTTTAAGGAAAGGCTCTAGGCCAGGATTTTAAATGGTAGAAAAAGGAGGATAGCAGCTAGCTTACCTTGAAAGAAGTGTGGGTAGGCCATAGAACAAGTAGAAAAATATTTTGTACACAATATTTCGTCCCCTAAGGGACTTTGTCAAGTGTAGAGAGAGTTTATAAATTACAAGATGGCTGCTGTCATGGCTGATGGCTGTTGTCAACTACAGAAAACCTAATATATCAACTGGAATGTCAACAATGCCAGGCCCAATATATAGGCATGACAAAAAACACCCTAAGAGAAAGAATGAATGGCCACCGCCAAGATGTCAAAACGGGCAAAGAAAACCCTGTGGCCATCCATGCCAACAATCACAACATGGACTTTGATAACTGCTTCACAACTAAAGTAATAAAATCCCTTCCAAAGGATGAATGCAACCCTTCCATGTTAAGAAGGTGGGAACTGGCATTCCAGTATATAACCAACTCCAGAACTCCCCCCAACCTTAACCTAAGATAAACCTGTCCAAGCAGCTAGCTAAATACATAATAGGCCTAGTTTGTATATAAAATATTATATGTGTGTGTATATATAAAGTTGTGTACAAAGTTGTAAATAGACTAATGAGATGTGGCAACCCTGCATAGTTGACAACAGCCATCAGCCATGACAGCAGCCATCTTGTAATTTATAAACTCTCTCTACACTTGACAAAGTCCCTTAGGGGACAAAATATTGTGTGCAAAATATTTTTCTACTTGTTCTATGGCCTACCCACACTTCTTTCAAGGTAAGCTAGCTGCTATCCTCCTTTTTCTACCATTGAAAATCTACTAAATTTGTTTATTGGTTTTTAGTCATAAACGTAGACATATTTTATTTGAACACTTGGCTACAGTCTTTACATGTGGTACATACAGGATAAGTGCATTGTCTGAATTTGCAGTATTACATTCATTTTAAGTCACATATGCTTTTATCAGGAGCTAAGCTATTAAATAATTTGATATAAGTTCAGTTTTCTGTCTGCACCACAAAATTAAACGTATCCATAAAAAACAACATCGTTTTAGCGAATTTCCCTATAGGAAAGTAGCTATTACTGTAACGGTCGTATTCCCCTTAGAATACTAACCGCTACTTTGGGTGACGTAGCTCAGGAATGAAACTCAACACTCGCTTACAAAACCCAACTTTATTAATTACTCAAAACAACACAAAGAAAACAAAGCTAAACTAACAAACAAAAAGGTAGAGTAGACTGGAACTGTATAAATCATTTAGTTAGAAACTGAAACCCCAATTTGGAAAATACCCTAAACCCCAATTTTGAAAACCCTTAACATTTTCTTACCTGGACCCAAGGCCAAGGGCCTTGGGCTCCAGCTCCCCAGCAGGACCCTGTCCTCCGGTGCACCTCACAAACACTACCCACCAAAACTGACCCCTTGATCAAGTGCACTGGCCTACTTAAAGCAACAGCCTTCAGTAGGTCAGCACAACAAGTTATTGTTTAACACTACCAGCCTACTCACAGAACATTGCCAAACACTTCCTATTTACAATATTTGACCCTCCTATTACATTACCGTAGGTGGCACGGTAAAACCTAGACTCGGGACCGATTTACTTTTTCATTTTGATGTCCCCAGAGGCCAAAAACACCATTTGTTCAAATTTTTATATATGTATATATATATATAGATTTATATATATATATATACGTCCGTAAACGCGATAACTTGAGTAATTTTTGTCCGATTTTGATGAAATTTGGTTTAAAGGTGTAAAGCGGGATAAACTTGAATGAGTTCGCGAACCAGCATGATCAGACCACGGGAACGGGGCATTACGGGGGGTTTAATGGGGTAAAAATTGGGTTTTCTCACTTTTGACCTTCAAAACACAAAATTTCCCAATTTCTCTATAGACATTTTTAAAGAGCTAAAAAAACAAATAATTTAGTATACAAAAGTATGTTTGTTCGGTTATTAGTAACGGAGAAAATTTAAAAAACTGTAAATTTAAAATTCCCATGTTATTCTTGTGGAGAATATTCGAATATTGTCAAATGTTGTAGTTTGCTTGTTTATTGATATATTTTGATCAGACTTGGCAAATTTATTTATTTTGTACTAAGCTAACAATATTTTACTAAAAAACACACTTTATTAGTTTCCTTGTAGCAGGAAACCTAGGTACTCGTTAAACCTAATGTTATTAAAATATATTTAATTGAAAATCAATTCAGACAAATGGATATTCGCTTAGTCGGCAGGTTTGCTGCAGCGGGAGTATTTTAAATCAATGTAACCTATTACATACCCCACAGTGATAAGTCAGCGCACAGTGCTCTTGGCCTGTGAGTGTTACTTCTGTGGTACAGTAAAAGTGTATGTAGAGTGTTAGTCATCTCCCGTTCTGGGCTGTGGCTCTCACTAGCACACTCGGTGGCTCAGAGAGTTGTTCTGGACCTTTGGCCGGACCATAAGTCATAAGTCATAAGTCATAAGTATTTTATTGCATAAAACATTCTTCATTACAAAGGCAATGGTGAACAGATGCATGGTCAATCAATAAGTTATAAAAACTAAAAGTAATAAGTTACAACAAAATACAACAAGAACAGCACAATTGAGAGAAAGTTACCAATTCAAACAAGTTAGAAAAAAGACAAATTCAAATGAAGATCTTGAAGCAATATCAGAGAAAAAAACAATTAAAAACATTCTGTGTCATATTTTAAAAATTAATGTCACGGTCATTTAGGAAATCTGCCAGGAAGTAATATGATTTCTCCACCAATAATGATTTAGTCCAAATTTTAAATTTTTGTGGTGTATAGGATTTTATTTTTGTGGGGATCTTATTATATAAACAAATCCCCATATAGATGGGGTTTTTTTCAAAATGAGAGTGTTTATGAATTGGATAATTTAGCAGATTTGGGTTTCGGGTATTATAACTATGAGTGGGTCTAAATTCATCAAAAAGTGTATTATTTAAATGAACAAAATTTACTGTTTCATAGATGTATAAAGAAGTCAATGGCATTATTTTTAATTCCTTAAAAGAACGACGACAGCTTGATCCATATTCTGCCCCTATCATCACTCTAATAATACTTTTTTGGACTTTAAAAACTTTGCTAATATCCCCTGAGTTTCCCCACAGAACAATTCCATAACGAAGCAGAGAGTGTATATAAGCATAATAAATAATTTTTAATGTTGCTAGTGACACTGAATTTTGAATACATTTAATTGCAAACCTAAAAGAAGTCAACTTACTAACCAAATATTGAATGTGTGATTTCCAATTGAAACTTTGATCTATATTAATTCCAAGAAATTTATATTTATCTGTGATATTAAAATCCGTTCCATTGAGTTTGTGGTTATTGTTAATTCTGATGTGGAATTGCATAATGTTAGATTTAGATTCATTTAGTAAAAGTCCATTTGATTCAAACCATTTCTTCAGATCTTTCATTGTTAATTTCAAAGTGTTTTCTAATGCAGACAGGTTTTTTTCCTGAACTATTACACTTGTATCATCAGCAAATAGTACGAACCTTTTGGAAATATGTGCTGGTAGGTCGTTT